ATTTATCGATGTTATTCAAATTCGATTTCCGTGAAGATTAAATCAACTTTCCATGTGAGTACATCCATCGAGTTAAATTATAGCGTTTTTTTCTTTCAGGTTCCAAATGTTTCGCTTTTTAAGTTACTATGATGGCCTTGTTTTCGCCTGTTTAATTTGATCCTTCTGGCTTTTTTAAAAATGAAAGAGTCCACCAACTTTCTCCCCTTGAGAACACGAGACATGTGTTTGTACTGAATGAGCTGTCCTAGAGCTGGAGCGTTCGTGGTCTTGCTCTTCGCAAATGATGGTAAATGACCAATTGATGTCTGTTATGGAGGAGGAATAGAATGTAAATGAGAAAGCTATAAATTCTTCTGATAATTCATTTAAACCTTATACATAGCTTTGCTTTTCACTTCTCGTCCAGCACCGTTAAAGAGCAGTTAATAAGTGCACAATGTATTCGCCGTACCAAGCCTTGTTTCTTGAAAAAGTCCTTGACAGTTTTGATACAAGCCTCCACGGTTACAATTGTAGTGATAAACTTGTCTTCCATCTAATTTTTTGTAGGAGGAATGCATGACGAATGTATACCCATCAGCGACGGCTTCCTTATTCACATAATATTCCACAAGATGATTGTTAAGTTTCCTGCTTATCCATGTCCTTGTCTTTTGTGAATTCTGAATTGCAAATTTGCGATAATAAAGATGGGTCAGAATCTGATGTCGGTTTCTCGAATAATTTGTTATGAAAACAGGAATTTTTTTGTCAAAAGTATATTATTAAAGACAAAACAAATGAATTTTCTGAGCTCTGATCGACTGAATCAATTGTCTGTTGTCGTAGTAGTGTAGTAGTATATTCTGTGACCGTAGTATCTATGTAGGTGGCCGCAATTTTAGTGTATGTGGCTATAGCGGCTCCATAATTTTATTATCTGAACGGAATTAATCATTTTTTAAATTTTGAGACTACGTGACAGAAATCAGGCAAACCATACCATTAATAATAATTTATCAAATGCTAATATCGAGTTTGTCCTTAACGACACAATAGCGGAGCAAATTACACTCAAAAGAAAGTTGTCCCAACCATCTTTATCTGTTTTACTACAGACAATTATCGGATAATTCATAGGCTTGGTGGAGACATATTATATGAAGTAGCCGAGTTGTGAGTTACGTAAATTTTTGAATTCGTGTTTGTAAAAGTCAAAATTACAGGGTTTTTTCATACATTAACAATGTCATACCCGTTTTTTCAGTGACTGCTGTTGCACAGTGTTTAATGTCGTGATTCAGTTCTCCGAACTGAAAGAGTAATATCGAAAGGCGAGCTAAGATAGCTTGCTCACCTATCACAGTTTGAACAGCAATGATAATTTTGTAGGAGGAAGCAGGCGTGAATCGCACATCTATGCGATCATCCTAATTAAGCTGTCGTCTGAGCCCTTAAATGCGACAAACGGTGGCTTCCCCGCTTCGCCATGGCCGTCAGCGTAATTCCTTTTTTTGAATGAAATACACTTTCAATGTTATTTACTTGGCTTGAGGCTACTAAGTGATTCTGCGATCAATGCTAGCCAGGGATGCGCATGATAGGCTTTTCTTGCCGCGCAGTATCCAATTGGGCAGTAGAAAAAAATCTTGCTGTCTATACAAACCTAAAATAGAGCAAACGTGTTGATTCAGAAGGAGTAGTAAATATCGCAACGCGCGAAAATCACTCGTATTGCCGATCCGAATAGAACGACTTACATGTTTCAAAGCTCAACGTAGCCCGGCTCTAGATTAGCGGACGTCTTCAGCTTATTCGTTTTTTCATGCTTACATGGCCCTTATAAAATTCGGATACAGGTGCCGTCGCTCTTGAGTTTAAATCCGCATTAATTTCTCGTGCTGGCCGGAACAGTATATGTTGTGTAAAAGGGCAGTCGAGAGATTGTCAAACGCAGCGAGCGTTTGCGGAAGCGTTTAATTGAGGCACGTGAAAACGAGTTCGATGTTCAGCACAAGTTACGCTTTCTGTGCACAATCTTGATACGCAAGAAGCAAAATTCATCAGTAGCAACGTCAATCTCTTATCATTCTGTATATTTTGCACTATCAAAGAACTGGCTCACAACCCTGAAGTAACAAGCAAAATTAGCAGTGAAGTAGGTGCACTGAGTTGGGAACACTAGCCAAGCGCGCGCAAAGTGTTCTGAGCAGGGCGAGAGTACAAGTTCGCAAAATTACAAATGGACCACATGGGAATCAGTCTTCACCCTTGCGAACCTGTAAACAGTTAGTGTTCGTTACTACGCGAGCCGCGACGATACATAATTCACGGTGCAGCAGACCAAAGTATTACCAAACGTAATATATTCGAAAACGACCACATATTTAGCGCAATGACGCGTACGCGTGAGATGCTGCTAAAGGCATCGGTGCTCGCTGCTAGCCGCTACCTACGGTTCAGTACGACCTCATTTGTCGTGGAACATGGGTTCGCGTGCGACAACGATTCTCCACTGGAAAGGCGAAAGTACTTTCTCGTGGCCCTGCGCAGTTGATTTGTTGGTAAAACACAATCCTATCGTCGTCCAATCAGCGGTCGGATTCGCAACGAGATCACGAGGACTTCCTGCTCGTTTGGCTGATGCTCGTTATAATTTTGCTCTTGTTTCTTTTGGCGATCTTTACAGGCTACACACACAGTAACTGGGAGGACGTAGGCAAACAGATTATCTGGTATATCGTTATCCCGTGCGTTCGATCGTGGCTTTATTGTTCATGCTGTGAGGGCAAAAGGCCATTCGGCTTAGCACTTGAGGTACATATACTCATCATCCGAAAGCGACTTGTCAAATACGCTACGATATTATGAAAGTCGAGCAAGCACGACTTCATCTCCATCGTCCGATAATGACGTAGCGGCTTGAAGTATGTGTGCATAAAGTCTTTAGCACAGCCATCAGCGTTGTTTTTTCGCAGACGAGCTGGGCTTCAATTCCGATGCCGACGACGTAGCGAGTCATGACGCAATCTCGAGCACTTGGTCGACGAGGAAAGCTTAGCAGCGATGCGTAAGTGAATCCGAAATTGGACCAATCACCGAAGATAGAGGGCCGGAGAGCAGCCCCAACGGAGTGTTGACGAACTCTGTTGACAAACTTGAGTAATTTTTCGCCCGGTGTTGTGGGTCAGCCGTCTAGGGCTCAATTTGTTAGGAATTATCCGAAGCTAGTAATGAGGTGCCATTTGCAGATATGCCTGTGCATCGTATCCGTCAATTTGTTTTCGGAGCTCACTTTTTCATCGTCGCCTCGACGCGTCAGACTGTCATGGATGTGGTATTCGTTTTATTATAATTATTTACGAGTGGGGAAGATGAACGCTAAATACTTCAAAAGGGTCAATTCCAAGGTGCCGGTACCTTAGGAGCACCTTAGGAGGGGGCACGTAACCTTGCTGAATCTTTGTGAGCTAAATATGTGCAAAATGTGAATGTCGATCAAGAGAAAACAGCACAAATTGTGTAGCATAATCCGCTGTACCCATGGGGTATGGGGTGTAGAAGTATTTGTCATATTTACGGTGGAAGGCTTTTTTGTATTTGATTTTGCAGAATGGAAATTCCGCCAGAGCCAAACCGATTCGAAAGACAGCCATTGCCCAACTATCTTTCTGCTGGCATTTATTTCACACATACATTCTAAGGCAATATACATGCGATGTGCCAAACGAGAACGTCTAGAAACGAGCTGTTTGTGCAGTCTGTGCAATATACAGCTGCTGGATACATCCTTACCGAATATATTTATCCATGTTAGATTCGTTTGTCAAACGTCTCGACGGAAACTCGTGCATCCAGTCACTTGGAGTTTATATCGCCTGCAACACACCTCGTCATGATAAATGTCAATGATGCGACGGCGACCAGCTTCGATAGCAAGGCCTTCGATCACTCGCTCCGAGCGGCAGATTTGGCGTGTAGATTACCTTTGATATGTTGTTGACCAGCCAACGTGAACTCATCGGTCTCTGGACAAAGTACTTGCATGGACAATCTGAAGTTTCATCGCACGACCACATCGGCATGGTTTGGGTGCAGTCGGAAAAAGCTAGTATAGAATGCGGGAAAGTGATATCCTCTGACTTTCGATGCTCAAACTAAAGGAGCAGCAGACAGATTGAGTTCTTTACAACCTCTGGAATTTAGTTCGACGAGCTTAAGTTTCCTACTAAGTTTATTACCAATGCTTTGCAAGACTAACAGGAACACAAGCGGGCTTCTTAAACTTTGCTATCACAGCGAGCTCTTGAGAACCTCGCGTCGTGAGCATGCTGTGCAGTCGAAAGAGGCCAACATTTACATGGCATACATTGCTGAAAATGTGCTGATACCAAATTGCATTTGACTTTTACGTAATATGGACCGATGGACACAGCAATGACGTTACAAGGGAGCAGGGCCAGACAACCACCAACATGACTTCGCAACATTTAGAACTTATTATGTCATGCGATGTTGACAGTTCTACGCTGTGATGCATCTGCATATTTATTTAGCATACTCGAGATATCCTCGTTAGCCACACACGATCCTCTTTAGCCACACACGATCATCGTAAGCGTTTGTACAAAATGAGGAGAAACCCCAGTATAAAATTGGCCACAACCGATCGGATGCCTCACAATGGCATTCGCGAAAGCAAAAGAAGGGTACCGTGTACATCTTATTAAAGATTGAGTAATGGTCGTAGCTAGCTTAACGTGGTTGATCATCTGTGCTATAAAACACCACCACAACGTGACAATACGATGTAAACCTCATTCCCATCAAGTGACACTTCCTACCCATCCGAGCCGATGGTCTGAGAGAGCTTGTCGTCTCGTAATCGTACTTAGCAAAATGATCCAGCGGGTACGTTTTATTAGATTTTTCTTAGCTTACAAGCCCCTTTGCACTAGTAGTCTCACTCCCAGATTCGCCTCCATTAAGAAACCTGGAAATACACAACAAAATACATAATGGCGCTACCCGATCGTCTCGCCCGAAAGGCGAAACGAACGGATGTGGACTATGCCATTCTATCTTCTGGCCAACAAATTCCCGAGTTCTCCCCGGAAGACGACTCGGACGACGAAAATTACGGCTCTCAAAAGAAAAAGCGTCGCAAACAATCAGCCCAGTGCTTCATTTGCCACCGACCGTCCCGAACCTATAAAAACACCATGCTGAAATGTGACAACTGTTCGAGATTGTAGGTCTTTTACCGTTTACCATGTATCGTACTTGAACAACTAGTGCACTTTCACAAGTTTTAAACGGTGTACTTTTATTTCATATCAGGTACCATGGAGCATGTGGCAGACCATTTCAGTCGGCATCCATTCTAGGGAACACAAGCTGCTACGAGTGTCTCCAAGAAGCCAAAGTAGACTCGTTGAGCTCCTTACCTCGCCAGACTCTGGATTCCGTCGCCAACTTTGTACAGGTGCTGAAGCAAGCCAAGAAAATTGTCGTCATAGCTGGAGCAGGAATCAGTGTGTCATGCGGCATCCCGGACTTTCGGTCGAAAGACGGCATCTATGCCATGGCGCGTAAAATGGATGTAGTGCTGCCGGAACCGGAATGTCTGTTCCAAATTGACTACTTCCGGGACGACCCGGCACCGTTTTTTGAGGTGGTGCGCACTGCTTTTGCCAATTCGCCCAAGCCGTCACCAACGCATTGGTTCTTAAAGCTACTACAAGACAAGAAAAAGTTGCTGCGCGTGTATACGCAAAACATTGATGGGCTGGAGCAAGCGGCCGGTGTGACGAGGTGCATTCCTTGCCATGGTAGCTTTGCATATTCAGCATGCATGCGGTGCAAGAAGCGAGTGTTGACGAGCACTCTGATGCCTACGATCCTGGCAGGAGTCATTCCTTCGTGTCCAGAGCTGAATTGCCGCGGTGTACTGAAGCCTGAAATCACGTTTTTTGGTGAAATTTTGGATGATAAAGTGAGCACGACTATTACGAAAGACCGCTTACGGGCAGACCTGCTGCTAGTCATGGGAACGTCGCTCAAAGTTGCGCCAGTCATGGAGATTCCAGGATACTTACCGTCACACATTCCTCAGGTGGTGATCAATAAAACACTGTTGAAGAAAAAGAGGCTAAAGACGAACAAGCTATCGGCGGATGGACAACGAGTGAGTCGATCAAGGCGCAATTCGGACGCGACAAATGATGAAGAGGAGTTTGACATGTCGCTATTGGGCGATTGCGATGACATCACGCGGTACATTTGCAGCCAAGCTGGATGGGATCTGGATCCCAAAGCGATCAAAGCAACAAAGAAAAAGCCTTTGATACGAAACAGCCAGATCATTTCTCATCACGGATTACCCAGCCATAGCATCCATTGCTTTGGAGAATGTCAGTGCAATAATCTACTCGCGGCTGACATGGATGATGACGAAGAGGATGATGAAGAAAAGGAAGAATTTGAGGAAGATATTGTGTGGTACGTTGGGGTGGACTTCGATGGGTCGTATTGAGTAAAGCTGATGTGAAGTGCGTTTGCAGCAATCGATGTGAAGAGCGCATCGAAACAGAATTCATGGAGCCCGGGTCGAATACAAAGATTGGTCACTACCGCTGCAAGTACGTACCATTGTGTCAGCATGCTCTACGCGCTCATGAATCTTGCATAGAGGAATTTAGCTAACCTTTTGACTTAATTTTGTGCCGCTAGTGATTGCTTCGATTACGACTTGTGTGGAGATTGCTATCCCAAGAGAAGATACAAGCACAAAGACGGTAGACACAGCTTCACCCAGTGCCTGTAAGATGATGCCTTTAAGATGACTTACATAAAGCAAAGTATAAATAACTTCGTTGCGATCAGCAGGAAGTCACTAGTGTCGCGTTTGATGATTCGATGAACAGAAACTCATTAGTGTTGCCTTTGATATTCAGACGTCAAGCTTCTTTGTTCGATCGTACCTCAATCGACTCGACGATCTATACACGACAACAAAGCATCCTTCCACAGCCTTTTGCCAATCACTGGATGCCAAGTTTAACGAAATCACCAATTGTAGAATGAATAAAGCCAACAGTGCACTTCTCTACGCTAGTTGGATACAACTCTATGCTCCGTACTGCATCGCCAGATTCGTCAAGAAGCTTCCTTAAGGTTTACGGGAATGTGACGGCAATTTTGCCAAGTGGTTGTCCGAAGTACGCCGCAATAACGGCTACGCAGGAGGCACCCTATTGCGATGAAAAAGACATTGGCGCTACACCTGCAGCACTGGAGACCAGCGACTGAACCCCAAGAATGCCGCCCCTTTAAAAACTCTCCAGGTACGCTGCGCTATCGCAAAACTCACCTAGCGTATCCTCTTTCGTCCGTGCCTTAACTTTGCTGAAGACGGCGGCGGCGATTTTAAACGATTGGCAACTCTGCCTAATGAGATAGTTCAGTTCCTTTGCATGCCGACACTCCCTTGGCTCCTTTGGATGCTTTTACATCTAAGACTGTTCTGGCTCTCAAGTAAGTTCGACCAGATGATTTCCACGCATTAAATAGAGTCCGACGATGTCAGTTGGTGGTGTCATCCCAGAGGAATCGTGCTTCCAGAAAACGACTTGCGCAGGCTTGTCCTTAAATGACGTTTGATTTAAATGCAATAAATAATTGCACGACCGCACCAGAGACGCTCCTGCTAGGGTCTGTTCATTTCGTGAACTTGTGGTGGCTCATTAGCACGTTTCATACGATTTCATCTAATTCTTCATACAGACCTTTCGTCGGAGGCATCTACCCGTGGATACTTTTCGTTGTCTGCTCAATTTACAAGCCTACTGCTGGGGCAATGAGAAATGCCAGAACGTGTGCACAACCACCGTACTCAGGTTTTTTATCTTCTCACGATCCTACTTCAATGTCAATCCATCTACGTCAGTCTTGTTCTCGTACACCCTCGATCGGTAGCACACGAAAGTGTGTCCAAACACGAGATCTCCTCCTTTGGATTCCGCCTTGCTTCGCAAACGATGACCTTTCTTCCTGATCCACACTTCCAGTTGTCTCTCCCCCGATAGTGTGTCAGCTGTACCTCTCCTTCTTCCCTATCCCCGATGATCTTCTCCCCCATTTCTGCAGGTCCTTGTGCTCCTGCAGTCCAACGCGCAGAACGTTGTCGTGCCCGATCCTCTTTTGATGCTACGTATCAGATTCCTGCCGATTAGCTTCTTCTATATCGTGATATCGAAGCATCGACCTCTGAATCGTCTCGACATTCGCTTGGGAGTACCGACGTCCTGGCGCTCGTGCTGTTCCCATCAGACAGAGCTGCAGTCGAATCTGGCCAGAAGCTCTAGTGTTTTTCTTTAATGGAAACCATTCGTCCACGGTGGACCCAAGGGACAATTGCCGCAAGCAAACGACCGACGCCCCGACAGCCGGACTATAGAACATAATGTGGTTCTTCACTCGAATCGTCAAGTACTCGGTACTCGGATCACCAACACTGAGCTGGAACTTTTCATTCCATCCGACAGAGTCTCTACTCGCACTCGACTGCACTTTCGTGTGAAAGGTTTGGTGCCTGCCTCCTAGTGCCTTGTCGACTCCCTTAAGTGTCGTTTCTCGCCCAAAACCACCGGTGATCGGTGTATCACCTAAATACAACTTGCAATAAAAGTTTTTCGACAAAGCTGGCAGACCTCGAGCAGAATGCACGCGCAAAAAGAGGGTGAACGTCCCGTCGCGAGCTCGGATAGACGATGCACTGGCGGGTCGTTGCTGGAGACATGTCGTAAGTGACTGGTCGGACGGAAAACGAGACATGGAGCCGTTTGAAAGTAAAGCCGAGAGTGGGACACTGGTCAGTTCGTGCGAAGCGGTTCGAGTAATGAACGGAGGTTGGTGCATAGGGATGAAGGCAACCCACACATACGGAAGAGCATGCTGAAACGAAGAGCACTATTTAGGATGTAGAAGCATAGAGTTTATTTGTGGTAGAGAGTATGCAGAAGTAATTACCTCATTTCATTTCAAGCTGGTAGCATGGCCGGACAGGTTTGCGCTACGAAAGCGGCAGCATGGCCGGATGATTCTCCCGTTACAAGAGCGTTCATATGAGTCGTGAGGAGGTGTCCATGGCACCGTGGACCAATTTGTCTTGAACACGACAACATGGATGAAAGCCGTTGCATTCGCTAGCATGGTGGTTGGGGAGTAAAAGACAGGATCTTTGTACGAAGGAGTCATACACTCCGGTCCAGTTACTAGCGACGAACATGCGATGATTCTACATGGTCGGTACCACAGAAACTAACATGCGTGCGAGTAAGAGCTTCGTTTTCAAGACCGCATATTTTGACAACGCTGACAGACAACGTTTCTATCCGCACTCTCGAAATCGCATGTATACCCGTTGGGTGAAACTGACGTTACTTATTCAACGACGTGTCGAAATACTCGTGGAGTCGCCTTATGTGGTAATGTCATTGCGATTCTTGAGAGGATTACGCGCTTTTTAGCCATAGCTTGATCGCACAGTGCGCAACCGAGAAACTGTCCGTGACTTTGATACTAAACATGCACTAAAGCCCCACAACACGCGATATTTGTCAGATAGTGAACGCTTAATCGATCTGCATTCACCATAAATTTGTGATAACAAAACGTAGGGGTAGCATTCCTGAAAAGAGGTGAAGCATGCTGGTCACAAGGTTTGAGTAAAAACATGATTCTGGCGTCACTTACATGGCTCGCTTATCATATATGATTTTGAAAAATAGCTGCACAATCTGCTCGGTTCAACAAACTTTTGACCTCCAGGGCATAGCAATCAGAAATGTGGTCACAACTGTGAAAAGGAGGAAAATAGTATTCTAACCTATATTCTACGCTGGTAGATTCCACTGGAAGTCGTCAGACACACGCTCGGTCGTATTTGCAAAACTACCTGATCTTCAATGGATGCTACGCTTTTCGTGAGCATTTCTGATTTGTGAAGCGCAGTGGCACCACAACCCTTGGATTTTAACTCAAGCTTACATAGATTAATCTACGTGCAAAGTGTAACGGGGTGAATCGTTACATAACAATTTATAAGAAATTGTTAATAGAATATAACTATAAGAGTTATATTCTCAGAATATTGTCATAAGGACAAATATTCTGTAGCGCTTACAAGTAGTTCCTAATTGGTTGATATAGGTCATTATATCAACCAACGAAGACGCGCCACGACAGACGCACGCAATGAGTGGTGAGCAGATAACTGATTTACACATTTGTATTTAGACATAGTTAGATGAAGATAAATAGTGATTTATTGCAGACATTAACTATTATAAATACAGTTCTACTTTTTACTCTAACCAAGTACTCGCTTCTTCTTACCGTCTTCCTCTGCACGTACTAGTGTACGTGAAGTTACAGGCACCGCCTTATTCTGTTATCAGAATAAGTAGCTTGTACTGTCACCAGTACAAGCTTCAGGAGTGCCCCGTTACACCTAGTAGCACTTCGTAGTCCGTCAAGGACCGCGTTCACATCCAACATGAATATGTTGGATGATGAAGATGACCAAAGCTTTCACGCTACGCGTGACGGCTACTCCCATTTGAGCGATGTCGAATGGGATGCGGTTGAACGAATGGGTTCGACCATGGGCATCCATGCTGTTAGCGTCATGCTAGAGGCTCTCAATAGAGATGCCCAACATGCTACTATCGCCAAGTTCATTCAAAATGAACTTGACGCAGAACGCGAGAAAGTAGCCTTGCTTCACCAACAAGGTTCTCAACAAGCAGAGTTGTTGAGAGAACAAGGTGCTCAACAGTTTGAACTATTGAGACAGCAGCAGGCTGCTGCTGGCGGGTCGATGCACTCGCGTCGACCCGAGACTTTGAAGATTGACATCTCAAAGTATAGGGGGGTCGAAGAAGACTCCCTCTTGAGATGGTTCGTCGAATTGGATGACGCCATAAGGGCGCGTCGCATCGACGACGGGGATATGCAAGTTGCATTTGCCCAGTCAAATCTGGCAGGACGTGCCAAGACTTGGGCACTGGGGCTCAAGCTGCACGACCCATATGCGTTTGGGTCGTTGGAAGTCTTCAAGTCGCGGCTCAGACAAACGTTTGAACCGCCTAGAGCTGAGTTCAGGGCTCGAACCGAACTCTTGAAGCTCAAGCAGGGTAAGCGTGATGTGCACGCTTACGCTCAACACATACGACATCTTACGAGTTGTATAAGTTCCAATCCAGTGGATGAACACACGTTGGTTTCGGTGTTCATGCAGGGTCTTGCGGATGGTCCCGTCAAGACTCACCTGTTCCGGATTGAACTAGATTCACTAGAACAAGCCATTTCCATTGCGGAGCAGGAAGACTTCAGTCTGAGACAGGCTCGCGCCAGCTCGACATCATATCGTCAACCGAGACGATATGACAACGGAGGTCCAGAGCCGATGGAACTCTGTTATGTAGAGAGCGAGAAGGTTCGCTCTACAGGCTACAAGAAGTTGCAGAGATGCAACAGATGTCAGAAGACAGGACACTACGCTTACGAGTGTAGTGCCCCTCGTCCAGTGTCTCGCGACACTGGGCGTAGTGACCGTCCACCGATGAGAAAGGGGCAGGGACGAGGGTCCGCAGTTGGTGCAAAGACGCAACAACGGGATGGACCGTCAAAAAACGGACAGGATCAGTAGGTGCGGAGCACCCTACTGATCCAGCAACGTCAAGAGAATTTGTAGGCCTCTTGATGAAGGTTGCTCCCAACACACAGACGTTGTGCGTTGCTGCTCTAGGTAATGAGATCTCACTCATTACCTTGAAACTCGAAGTGACGAATAAGTTGTCCCTTCGAGCTCTAGTCGATTGTGGGGCGTCCAACAATTTTGTGCGACGCCAATCGCTAGAAGATGGTCACTTTAAATTCAGTGAATGTGACACACCTCCTACGAGGATGACGGTACGTCTTGCGACAGGCGCATCCGTAACCGTCATGAAGCGTATAGTGAAGATTCGCTATAAGCTAGAAGATACCCAATATGACGATGACTTTATCGTATTGGATTTGGATGACAAATTTGATGTCATCCTTGGAATACCGTGGCTCAGAAGGTACGAACCACGGGTAAACTGGCAACATCGAACAGTAACGATGCCTGCCGCTTGTTCATCAGATGGCCATCTGATGAACGTTTTGGAGCGTCCACAAGCGTGTGGATGTACTACGAGTGAGTGCGATGGCCTCACTTGTGGTACGGTCGTTAGTACGACTGCACAAAACCTTAGTGTACCAAACGGTTACACTTCGGAGCAAAGTTCCGGCGGCTGTGAGTAAACACAGGCTGCGCCGAAGGTCCACCACTCGAATAAGTCGGGTGGACTGGGACAAAGATGTATCCCTAGAGGGGAACATCTAGAAGAGAAACAATCGATCGCTCAGGTTAAGCGAAACGATAATCCTAGATCGACTGGAGAGTCTTTCGTAGAGGATCTCGCTGTGGTTGCGCAACCCCAGCTAGAGGAAGTAAAGGGAATAAGTCCCAAGATTACGGCGGAAATAAGTTCCCCGAAACCCGCGGGAATAAGTCCCCGGGAAGACGAAGGAATAAGTCCTTCGAAGCCTGAGGGAATAAGTCCCCAGGAAATGACAGAGACATTGAATGTCATAGTCAATAACGGATCATGTGTAGGCGCTTATACACTTGATCTGATTGCGCCTCCGAAGTTAACTTCGGAGATCACTCAGTTGCCAACGCTCGAACATAAAAGGTTCTTGCGTGATCTGCGTAGTGGCAAAGTCAAGCAGATCTGCATACTCGTCGCTGACGACGAGTGTGTAACCGACATAAGGTCAGCAACAGTGTTTACTGAGAACGAGAGAGTTCTCAGTAGTTCATCTATGGACGAGAGTGTCCTCGATGAAAAGACACGAATTGAGCGATATGAGTCCCAATCATGGGAATCGCTCAAGGAAAATCCTCTCTATGAAGATTTGGTTGAATTCAAGGATGTATTCCCTGAAACTGTTCCGTGCGAATTACCGAAGGATAAAGGTATTCGACACGAAGTCGAGCTTAAACCAGGCTCGAAGTACTGTGTCATGAAGCAGTGGTCACTGCCTCGTGAACAAGTACTTGCGATCGACAAGTTCTTTGCCGATCGTTTAGCAGCGGGCCATGTGAGGGAATCAACTTCACCACATAGCTCTCCGACCTTCTGTGTGCGAAAAGCAACAGGAGGGTGGCGGATAGTGCACGCGTTTAACAAATTGAACGCTGCAACGGTACCGGCTCAGACGCCGATACCGAGGAAGGACGTAATCATTGATGGTATGTCAAAGAGTACTATCTTTTCGTCCATGGATTTGATGGATGGCTTCTATCAAATCATTATGCGAGAACGGTATATACCCTATACCGCAGTTAGCACGCCTAGCGGCATGCTCTGGGAATGGCTAGTAATGCCACAAGGGCTCAGTAATGCCCCTGCCACGTTCAACAGATGTGTATCACATCTGTTGAGACCAGTACGAGAGTTCGTGCCGAGTTATTTCGATGACGTATTCATCCATAGTCGAGCTATGGATGGAAAGTCGGACGTTGAGGTTCACAGGTACCACGTCCGACAGGTTCTTACAATCATGCGAAAGCATCAATTGTATGCAAACCTCAAGAAGTGTATATTTGCCGCAAGCGAAATACCACTTCTTGGGTGCATCGTTGGTAAGAACGGTGTACGTCCTGATCCCGAAAAGATCAAGGCGATCACCGACTGGCCTGTGCCGGTCGATGTCAAAGGTCTTCGAAAATTCCTTGGGCTAGCGGCGTATTTGCATAAGTATTCACGCAATTACGCCGAGATGACTGTACACCTCTCTCGTTTGTTGAAAAAGAACGAGAGGTGGTTATGGAACGCTGAATGTCAACGCTCCTTTGAGGGTATCAAGCAGAGCTTGATACAATCCCCAGTCCTAGCAATAGCCGATCAGGACAGGCCATTTCATGTGGTCTGTGATGCCAGCGATTTTGCAATCGGTTGTGCATTAATGCAGTACGACCTAGAAGGCGTTGAACGCGTCGTCTGCTATCAGTCGCGTCAGCTGCAACCAGCTGAGCGAAACTATCCAGTGCATGACAAGGAACTCCTTGCCATGAAGTATGCACTCGCGAAGTTCAGAGTCTATCTATTAGGAGATAGACCCTTCGTTGTTTACACTGACCATGCGTCATTACGCACGGCAGTGAACAGCCCGCACCTTTCACAACGAATGGCGCGGTGGATGTCATTCTTTGCAGAATACAACTTTACGGTTGAGTACAAACCAGGACGACTTAATGTCGTCGCTGATGCACTCTCACGTCGTCCCGACTTTGAACCCGTCGTGAAACCCAACAGTGAGACAGTCACTGTTGCGGTTATGACGTCCTCAGTTCCATCTACAATGCTGTATGATGATGTGAGGCGGGCATACGCCCAAGATGGTGAGATAGTGAAGTTGTTGTCACATCTCTCCCAACCATCCCGAGAATCGTTGAAACGATTGTCGCCTGCGTATCGATCTGCATCAGATCGATACACTACTCGTAACGGTTTACTGTATTATACAGCCGTTTCTGGTGACACACCACGTGTTGTCATTCCAGATGATACTGATCTGCGTTTGCGGATCATGTTCGAGTATCACGATGCTCCTATAGGAGGACATCGTGGCCGATAGAAAACATATCTCACGGTAAGTCGAGACTTTTACTGGCCCCGCCAGTATCAGTTTGTGCGAAAGTATGTTCGCGCATGCGAAGTCTGCCAACGAGTGAAGTCAAGTCCTTCACTGCGTGCAACTTTACAGCCTCTACCGGTTCCGGCTGAGTGCTGGGAATCCATCTCAATGGATTTCGTCTTCGGGTTACCCAAAGACGCACGCGGGAATACGGGTATTCTCGTATTTGTTGACAGATTCAGCAAAATGGTACACCTTGTGGCTGTACCAGAGACAATCACGGCAAGTGGCTGTGCTTGCGTCTTTATTGACACCATCTTCCGACTTCATGGGTTGCCCCGTGAACTCGTATCAGACAGAGATCCACGATTCACTGCTGATTTCTGGCGTTCCGTGTTCAAATCACTCGGAACGCGCTTGAAGATGTCAACATCTGATCATCCAGAGTCAGATGGTCAGACGGAACGTGCCAATCGTGTCCTTGAAGAGATACTTCGAGGATACGTACACTCCTTTAAGAGTTGGAGTGAGTTTTTGCCAATGGTAGAGTTTGCCATCAACAACTCGGTGCATGCGTCCACGACACATACACCGTTTTACGTGAATGGCTTGCGCCATCCGCGTGTACCCACCTTACTAGAGTGTAACTCTGGTTTAAGGGGGGGGAGGGACTCGCGCGAGCAAAAACCGAATTGGTTCACGCTCATCACGCTCTGACGAAGAAGTCATTGCGTTTGATGCCGATATCGATAACATCGATATCGAAGAATATGATGCCAGTGAGAGTGCGGAAGCCCTCACTGAAGACAATGATCCCAGTGAGAGTGCGGAAGCCCTCACTGAAGAAAAGGTTGTTGTTGCTGCAGTGCGCTCACAGCACACTGAAGCTAACGAGTCATCAGATGAGTTCATACTGGCTCGTGAAACGGTAGTCCGTTTTGTGCAAGACTCCATCGCCGAAGCGGTGGATAAGCAAAAGCAAAACGCTGACAAGAATGGAAGGGCAAACACTCTTTTATTTAATAAAGGTGACTTAGTCCTGCTGTCTACGGTTAATCTACCAAAGCATGTAGTGACTAACTTGGGTAGCAGTAAACTACTACCCAAGTACATTGGCCCATTTCGTGTATTGCACCGCCTAGGCAATGCATACACGATCGAGTTACCACGTAAGATGCGAACGCATCCCACGTTTTACGTTGTTCGGCTTAAGCCGTACCATCAGTACGCTGCTTCTTCCGATGAAGAACGCCCTTGCGCTCAAGCATCTCGCAGAGAGCCTTGTGCTCCCGATGGTGGGCATCAACAAGGGTCTGAAGAGCAGCTATCTGATCCCGAGACCGATCAACAATCCCACGAGCTACCCTTAGCTCGTCACGAAGAGATGTCAGAGATCTCTCGTTCTCAAGCTGAGCAAAGGCAAACTCAGCTCGATGCTTCGAGGCAGTGTCCACCATCTGGAGACGCCTATTCCGCTCATGCTCGAGATCGTCGCGTAACCCTTGCGTTACGCGATCAAAGAAGCTCTCGGGAACACACCGATCCACATGATCGTGTGGAGAGCGTCTTTCCTCCTCCTCCACCTCCATTAGAGGACTCTCGCGGTGGCCAGCGCTATCTAGTTGAGCAGCTGTTGAACCACCGCGACGTGAACGGACGTCGGACGAGTTACCTCGTCCGGTGGCGCGGCTATCCCCCGTCCTGGGATTCTTGGGAGCCCCGCTCCCAATTGATGGTTGACGTACTGGGTCTGGTCGAGCAGTACGACGCGGCACATCCTGTGCCGCAGAAGGACCGCCGGAGAAAGTCTTCCCGGCACGGTCGTAAAGGGATTTCAGGTTGTCAATCCCTTCGTACATCTCAGTAGAGACACGTACGCGCCACCACGGGCTGGTAAGGAGGTAAGCCTCCTTAGGTGCTCGTGCAGAGTTGTTCACACAACATGGGCACGAGTCTCCCCAAGAGAGGCAGGGTAATCCTTTCTCCCTTGACAGACGATGCAGCTTGTAGCGTGCACCTGTCGGGGGTTCGCTTTTCAAACTTATCACGAGCTTTGATAAGTTTGTCGTTCCAAGCGTCACGACCTACATCCTCGAGGTTATGGATGTAGGCGTTCCACGCCTGAAGTAGTGAGGGACCATCACGTTTGTGATTCCCACTATACCATCGATGTCTGAAGAAAGCATCGATGAAGAACTCATGTTCAGCGCGATAGTCCTTCGCGCTGGGGTCAAGGTGATGGATCCTTGACGAATCGAACAATCGTGTTCGATAACGATCACTCGTCGTCGCCGACAAGTGATCCATGACGGATTTAGGAGGCATCCATGCCTTCTTTTCTGGAGCGAGACGCAACACATTGCGGTCCCGCTCTTCCTGCGACGTGCCGACAGAAGTACTGGCACCTCGCTGTGAAGTGGTGTCCATTGGAGAACCGACACCACTATTAGCGCCCGAGTCTCGCGACCTCGAGCGCCTTCGCTTCGGCGATGGTTCATCTGATTCATCAGATGAACCAAAGATGCTGCGACGCAAAGCATCGTCCATGCCACGCTTGGCAGGCGGCTTAGATTCAATCGCCGTCGATACGGATCCGTCATCCGTATCAGGAGAGTACGAGACACCGAGCTCGTACTCTGTGAAGACACGAGTGTCTTCATGACCAGCGCCTGCGTCACCAAGTGACACAGGCTGGGTCTCTTCAGCAACCGATGGGACATCAATTGCTGTGGTTTCTGCTTCGGCGTCCGCACAGAGACGTGCAGACGCGCTCTCGGCGGCCTTGCTCGCGCATCGCATGGGCTTGTTTACCATGCGATGAAATGTTGGAAAGTGGACGCGGACCAACAAGTGCAAACCCTGTCCCAAATGATTTGGGACGAGTATCCATTTAGTCAATCAGTCACTAAAGTGACTGATTATTAAGGGGGGGGTGATGTAACGGGGTGAATCGTTACATAACAATTTATAAGAAATTGTTAATAGAATATAACTATAAGAGTTATATTCTCAGAATATTGTCATAAGGACAAATATTCTGTAGCGCTTACAAGTAGTTCCTAATTGGTTGATATAGGTCATTATATCAACCAACGAAGACGCGCCACGACAGACGCACGCAATGAGTGGTGAGCAGATAACTGATTTACACATTTGTATTTAGACATAGTTAGATGAAGATAAATAGTGATTTATTGCAGACATTAACTATTATAAATACAGTTCTACTTTTTACTCTAACCAAGTACTCGCTTCTTCTTACCGTCTTCCTCTGCACGTACTAGTGTACGTGAAGTTACGAGGCACCGCCTTATTCTGTTATCAGAATAAGTAGCTTGTACTGTCACCAGTACAAGCTTCAGGGTGCCCCGTTACACAAAGAGATTACACACCGTAGGGTACCCTGTGCCCTGTGTCTTAGACACACGGGATGGTGTCCCACTGAAAGATATATATATAAAATCTCACCGGTTTATAAGGGCTGACGGGTGTCAGCCACAAGATGGGAAAGACCTTGAAGATATTCATGTAGGACATGAGTGTCCAGATTAGTAAATATCAGAATTAGAGTATTCTATAAAGTTAAATGTAAATAGATTGATTCCCCTTTGATACAGTCTAAGGAACGTGCCTTACGAGGGGTCTTTGATTGTCGATCGTTAAGAGTAAGCAACACTTCCCTGAGGTAGCTACTTTCGAGCACTCTAAATGCTGTAGATTCACTAAATCGCTCGGTCCTCTGAAACAGAGACCCTAAGCTGTACGCTTGTTGTCTCATAGAGTTTAGTTCTATAGAACTATCATTGCTCGTTAAAAAATAAGTCTTCCTCTGACTTACGGAGCTGGTTAGCTCCGCTACACTACGCACGTTTCTTGCAATGTGGCATTCTCTTTCACTACATGGACGTGAGTACACCAAAGTTACATCATGTGACCATACTATTTAATCTTGTAGAAACCGTTTTGTGAACTGTAGTAGATTTCAATAGAAATATGATGTGATTTCCAGTACTCGTCTTCATGAGTGCAAGAACCGAATTCAATGATGAACACGGCACCGCAAGTGTTCAGACGACATTCGATCTTTACGGATTACGTGTCGAGAGAAAAAATTCTAGAGTCTTTACACTAGTCGACATCATACGATTGTCTGCTATAGTGCACGATGACGTAGGAGAAAATCTCACAGAGTGGACCAGGCGGTACAAGATCTGATGACCGAATATAGCACTGAATCTGATGTTAGTTGTACTCAGACAAGCGCTACAAGAAATAAAACCTGAAAAACACAAGATTCTTTTCAAATTATACAACAACACCATCTTGAGCACTTGAGTAAAATTAGACGTCGACGTCTTTAGTGATGGCTATGTCACTTTCTTGTGATCGAATAATAATCATTATTAAAAGGCAACAGCGAGACCAATACGTTTAAGAGTCCGTTAACCTCCCTAAATTTTTATAGTTGAATTCCCTCAGTTAAATATGACGCTACATTATCGGCTTATTATCTGTAAATAACAGAGGAAGCAAAACAAATTACTTTGATTTTATTTTTGATTTTTGTCAAATCAAATACAACTATACCTCTTTTGCGCAAACACGTTGTGTGGTGGACGTCATTCTCGGCAGCATTTCAGCCAAGTTAGTGATGTACTTAGGTCAAAAATTGTTATTGAGTAAGTGACTTAGTGTAAAGCCATCATGTTGAACCAAAGCGAGCAACGACCAGCATCACTAAAATTAACCAACTTTGCAGGCACGATCCCTCGTGCGTTACTGAAATAAATGCTTACTGGTACGAGCGTGCAGTTCCATCGCCTTCATTGACAGCACCAGCGAATGGATTTGTCGTAAAGCAGCATCTCACTTGTGGTGGTGCCTTAACATCTTCGTAACAACAAGCATATGCGTTTTAACTTCGCATGCGCGCTTGTCAAATGCTCCCTATGCACGAAGATATGTATCTACTCTTACTTTTTATTATATGGACTTATACTACACAAACGCAGACGATAAAAATCGAAATCGATTGTCACGGCATGTTAGTGGTCGTGCTTCCATTGTTGTTCCGCTTGAACTTCTGCTCCTGCACATATCGAGCCGTGCATTGGCATTCGACGTCTTGGATTCCAATGTGAAATGATATTACATAATCCTGTGTTGCGCTGTGTTAATTGATTCAAGCTTGTCTGTACTAACAAGCATGATATCAACAAAGTAGTTAATTTGATCAAGTTTCTGTGGACGCTAGGAAGGACATGCATGAAAGACTTGAATTCTACTCTTGTGGCTTACATACGATGTTTGTTGTAAAGGAGGAGAAAGGTAATTGTGGGCATGTAAATAGTTTCGGAAAGTTAGTGCATATGATTATAACTAAAGTAATATAAAATTTGTCTTGTACAACATAAACAAACATAGGTACACACCCATTCTTTGATACGCATCCCAGATCAAATGTCGGATGGAAATATTCTATACTATTGATAACGCCAATGCAAACGAATTAAAACATTTACATGTTTGGAGAGAGCAGCACTGCGAATTTAGTAGAATGGTGTAACATGAGTGCTGCGCTTAAATCACATTAATTCGCAATCTACTACGTGCACAACCTGCGGGGAAGCGATGTGGTATCGAGTGGAGCATACCAAAAGCTAAGTACTTTCTCTACAGCGTGTGATTTTTACGGAATTATTATAAAATTGGTCATCGATGTTGGTCAAACAAAGTCTTCTGATTCAGCGTGCACAGGTTAGCGTTGTAGTCTCGGTCTCGAAGGAACAAGATCGTAATTTTAGTAGCCATGTCTTTAAGCAGTTTCATTCCACAAAAGCTTCTTTTGCACCATATCCACTTAACTACTAGCACGTGGTTTTTTTGGTTACATGTTTTGCAAAAAAAATGGTGAGGGTGCTAGTGTGGTACTTATATATGTTTTGCAAGGACTCACCTGGCATAAATTCTATGATGAATCGGAACTTACGCTTTACGACATCTCCTAAACTTCTCTTCACATTGGGCTGGGTGTGTCTGACTACAACATGCATTTACAAGTAAGCCGAATATGTTATTTTGCACTGCAACTCAATCATGACCTAGACTTTAATTTAATGCGTTAATCTAGCTCAGACTGGACTGTATATCGGTAGCTAAGAAATTGCTTAAATTATTTATTCTGCGATTGTTTAAAAAAAATCTTACACATTAAGTAGGAACCTTTTTTTAATGGCAATCAATCGACACAGAAGCTGCCAGCATGCCGCACGTCTACGCCACCACTCTAATCAGCATCTCGTCTTCTGGTAGCAACGCGAAAAGGAATACACTAATCATACTACCGCAGTGATCTGATTATATAGACACTTTTTGGATCTAAGTTCCACAGCAGCATACGAACTAGACAGAGTGGGTGCTAATTCTACTCGACTTCATTGCTCTTGTTACATCCTCCGACTTTATCTATATAAAGTACACTGCTCGGTTCGTGTCGATACTGTATACGTGTGCCAGTACGATTTGCCAATGCGACTAAATACATTTGACCATAAAGTGGTGGTAAACGATTCTGCTGTGTATTGGTTGAGTGTTTAAAATTTATTTGCAAAAATTCCGCTGGGCCACAGCATGTTATATTCATAGCATTTACTCAGCTGCTGTAATGGGTCACAGTTAACAAGTACTGACACAGTGTAAGTATTGCCGCGCGTCACCCTACGTAAACAGTACGGGCAAAGAAAGACTGACACTTAAACACTCGTCGATTAGAGACAGATGGACAAGCTGTATAAAAATTATATAATTATTACCTACCAACTTGCATTTCGTCATCAATTAAATGTATTTATCTGCAAAAACGTGTATAGAGGTCTTGCTCACCACTCATTGCTCGCGTCCATCACCGATTGGACCACTTGAGTTGACTGATATGATGACTCACATCAGCCAATAGATGATTGTTTCAAATTAGTGCCCTACATGGAGATATTCATAAACATAATCAGCTATAATGGTAACATATGAACGTAACAAGTAGCACATGTTGAATTTTGCGAGCCCAAAGAGTGAAGCTTTTAGTGACTGTGCGCAAAAAATTCTAACCTTTGATAGTTCTTATCCGGGTCTGTGTCTGTTTGCGTGTCAGTACGTGTTGCTAAGTGCACCTTACACGTACTTAGTGCGATCTAGCCTGACTTCCCTCACAAGTACATAGGTGTTCTCAAGTCACTCTTTAATTAGGTCACTATTGTGACGCGTGCCCGTGATTGCCTATAAATCGATGAGTAAATTTCACTATCAGCACCATTCTAGGTCAAAAGTCTCATTTTCAGCACCAGTCCCAAAAGCAGCACTAGCCAATAATCAATTTAATGTAGATAACACTGCTTGGTGCTCCCAATCATGAAAACTATATAACGCTATGAGCGTCGTGAGTTTAAGCGCTCGGTGAAGGCAAGATTTATCAAGATGGTACCCTGCACGGTGGCGGTTAATTTAGGTGCAAGTTATGGAGCCACTCAATTGGCTCATGGACTAATTTTTCAGTCCGGTATTGCTGAAACTAGATTTTCGAAAGACGAATGTTTCAATCAGAACTGGCAGCGCAGAGTTAAAAAAAGGTGGCAACAGCAAGACGTATGTGTGCCCACAAGATCTATGCTAATGGAAGCTTCGTTTGACGGAGAGAAATCGGATGGGTGCAGCTTCAGAGCACTACATTTCCACCCTAAATATTATTCGCGCCGACGTGTGCCTGGCAATCGCCAAGCCAATTTCTCGGTAAATAAGATGGCTTCGCATCAATGTTCATACAACACAGCAGGTTTTCTGTGACCCTGAAGAGGATGAGTTAGACGTTGTTGACTACAATAAGCGAGACAAAAGATGAAGTACCTCTTGTCTTTTACCAGCTAATTATGACATTGTGACTGCAGTTAATGTCCTGTTATCCGTGTCCTTGTTGTTAGCGCTATCGGTTGGTAAGTGATGGCTGATTTCGTCGAGCGCAAAAAATGAGCGTGACTAAGCAGCTTTATGCACAATTCTTCGCATGAGATCAGTCGTTCCGTGCTGTTAAAGCACCACATTGTCCAGCACTAGAGAAGATGTCATTAGACCATGACCTTGAGCTCATCGTTCCCTTTTCATTCCAAACAAGAACCCACGTAACACACAATACACACCACATCATATGCAAAATCATATGTTTGGCGTGCAATCGATCAAAACTATTACGTACAGCAGCTCTTCTCCAAAAAAATTTTATTCAGAATCAGCATAAAATGCTCGGCGCTCTAGGTATTTTCCACTTTTTATTAACGAGAAAAGGTGCTATTTAGTGTTTCACTCCATTTTGAAGCTCACAAAATACACAAAAGACCACGTACAAATTCATTAAAATCACCTTTGTACGCCCCACTATTTGGTCCGAAAGTGGGAAAGCGTACTCACTAATCCTACAATGAAAACAAATACAAAAAACCATACACACAGTGTGAAAGCCTAGCTCATAATATAATCACACGTCCTAGTAATGTATAAATTGCCTGAATTGACTTGTTGGACGTTGAGGCCTCGGCCGTATCCCACGCAACAAGCACGCCAAAGACTAATTTAAATCGACGCGCATCTGCGCCCTTGCATACATCATTAATCAATTACAAAGCAATGAACAACATCGATTAGCTTGTGAGCTACCCCAGCCACAAGATCTAATTGTTTTTGACAGTTGTTGTCTACTGTCATCATAAATTAAGCCCTGCTTCATTCCGCGAGCCAGTCGGGTGTGTTGTTCTAGCTTGAATGTATAAAGCGCACCATCCGGTCGTATGGTGCCTGAACAGCATAATAAATAGTTGCAGCATGAGCAAGTCTCCAGATCCAGTGCCTTCATGGCCTCAGAGCTTTTGCGGATCGTACGTTGGGCCAAAGCGTTACCTTCTCTTGTTGCGTAATTTCCGACAGCGGACGTAGTACAGCACACAGGAAGATTCTACGTCAGCTCCTAGCCAAACCATGCGCAAAAACATGACACAAATCACACATGTTCCTGTCGTCACGCATGTCTCGCTCACGCATCGCACGTCGCGTCGAACCGCAAAGCGCATTACCCAACTATCTAGCACTTCTTTAAAGCGCTATAGTCACAGGCTTACTTTTGATAAGTAGTTTATTGTGATCTACACTAATTTGATTATTGGCTGGTTCTGCTATTGGGATTGGTGCTATTAATGAGAATTTTGACCCAGGATGGTGTTGATGGTGAAGTTTACTCAAAATCGGTCAAAGACGATTAAAAACACGTAAGCCCATGCCGCACGCAAAGTCTGATCGCGTTGCTTGAACATACTGCATAGAACTATTACATACATTAGAGAGCATCATACCTATTCTTCAGTGACTCCTGTTGTAAAGTGTTTTGCAACTTGATACATTTCTCCGAAATGGACTACTTACGTCAAAAGGCAAGCTACAGAGCTTGCTACCCTATTCTATGCACCAAGCTCATCATTACAGCTTCCGTGTAATAGTCCGTATTGCGCCAGCTTTAGAGCAGACAAGAAAAGTTTAAGTCCCGGTAGAGATCACGATGCTTCTTTACTTAGATTTGTATGCATTAAATGGTGGTGTGTGTTCCTACATTTTTTGCTGATATAAACCTGCATTCCTTATTTCGCCACACGAGCAATGTATGTTTTTTCGCAAGTTGATGCCATTCAATCCCTGGAGCATTATCGCGGTGTGGCTAATTCTTTGTCACGTTGAACGATCGAATTCAGGGTCGATTGATATTTCTTTGCTCAATTGGTTGCCGCATTTGTGTTGTATACAAGGTAGTCTTATTTGACGGGTCATCATTTGGTAAATTGTGCTTGGAGACCTTGTCCACGCTTTCACAGTCGGCTTGTATACTCAACTGAATACGCACTTGTTTTGTGATGTAACCAATACGGCTGATGACGTTAGATGAAACGTCTATCACGTAGGATAGCGTTTTAGTACGTCGTCTGATAGACCACCAGCTGCCGATTAGGTAGAGTACAGCACCCTAATCTTGAAAACCGAAGCTGCTTCGATTAACCGAGTGTTACATGCGGGCCGCAGAATCGGTTTGAAGAATCTTTTAAGGGTCGTATTGTCGCAATAATTTCGATCTTGTGTACGAGAGGCACAAAGCAGCACCTCAGTCATATTTCCATCCTTGTTTAACATCTTTCGGTATTGTGGATGTGTCATGCAGTGTAGTAGTCTTGTCTTTCCGAATAACAAGACCAGTTCAAAAATGAAAAAATGTAATTACTGTGAAACCGCCAAAATTTTAACACCGGGGCATTATTTAACACAATCTGCAGCGACTATTTTTTATGATTCGGTAAAAAGTTAGTCGTTAAGAGTCATTGCCAAATACTCGCTGCCTTTTTGCAACCGACAGTCAGCGAAGCAAAAAACTACGGAAATGCAAACATGCCTCCGAGGAGTTATAGGGACTTGCTTCGTCATGTCGCCGGCCAGTCTGTAGGCATAGCTGCTTTCCCGTACGATCGTGTAGGCATAGTTGCCTCCCCGTACGATTGTGTTAGACTACACTGTATGATGCCAATATTTCTAGACACGTTCGCACATTTCAATTAATTGTTTGTGCACTTCATGTGGTACATCAGTTGTCTACTATATAAATTAATGAGTCGAAAAGTCCAAGGAGATCTCCGATATATAACGTATTAAACCCGACTTCATCACTTTCGTCGAATTGGATGTTTTGCCGTATAGTTTCACGCTTGTGAAATGCGATCATGACAGCGAGCTCAACAGTATGTTCCATGCTATTTTTAGTCATTCGGGTAGCAAGTGGTGACATTAGCAGTCTTAGACTGTAAGGATATCGTGTGTCATAGAGTAGTATCAAAAATCGAATGATGTTCATGAGCCCTGTGTTCTTATCAGCTGCAGTCTTAATGATAGTAGCATGGCAATATTGGATAAGCGGTGTTTGATAAGAACATCGAGGTCCTTGTACGTAAACTCCTGACAAAGCTTAGCCAATGGATAAAGCATCGCTGCATTTGTTCTTTGACCGTAAAGTGCAAGTTCCATTCAGCATTAATTAAGTAAACATAACCGGATGATGACGCTGGGACCTTCAGACTTGCATCCTACCTGAGAGACAGTGCCAAGAAGTTGTTTTTCATTGATGCGCTAAGAGTCATTACCACCACATCAAAATTTGACTATTTCTAAATAGACGCTTTGTGTTCATTGCCAAAGACTTGCTTTATACTCTTTAACCCACGTCATAGTAACATCAGACGACCAAAAATAAAGAAACTCATCGACAAGCTCACCCACAGCGGGTACGACACGCCAAAATTACAATTGTAATCCCACCCGGTATAAAACATTGTCCGTTTTTTTCAGTAAAATAACCCTTGCTTACATACGGGTCTTCAGATACAGCTAAGAATAACACTATTTTTGCAAAATTACAGTCCGCGAGCCTCTGCGCGTGGACTCGCGATTGGAAGCGGCGACCGGTCACATTATGACCCCAGCACACAACTTGAGCTAGGCATTTGCGTTTATACACAGGAGCACGATCTTGTAATCAAACAGCATGGCTCGTTCTCTGTTTCTGTCTTGCAGTGTCGATCGTAGCCACAGAAGCTCCAAAGTAAGTTAAGAATGCGTCGTACCGCAGTGTCCGGTCCAAATTCAAAAGACCCGTGCCTCTGTCACTCTGACGCGGACGAGATCATCGTCATAGACGATCCCGACATCAACATCTCAGCCTCCTCCTCCTCGTCACAGTCCATCGAGTCGTCCGAATCCGAGTCCATCTGTAGTTCTGGAAGATACTGTTTCAATTGACACTTGAGTTTGCGAAGTCGCGCCATTTCCTTCCTCACTTGCAGCAGTTTCCTGTCGAGTCGTTGCTCATACTCCACCATCGTGGACAGCTCAACATGCTCGTGACTTTGCTCGGACGGCAGACCACTCGAGCACTTATCAGTCGGTAAAGGCACGTTATTTCCCCAAACTGCAGCAGGTGTGCCTACGAGCGGCAACATTTTCGGCATCGAAATACTCGGTAATGGTGGCCACGTCTCATAATCGTCTCGTCTATGTCGATAGTCCCTCTTCTGTCGCTCCATGATGTTGCTTCGAAAATCCATTCCGTAATCTTCCGCTTGCTCACTGTCAATTAACCGATTCCCTTCACCACACAATCGACTCGAAGAACAGGTGTCCTGTCTCTTCTGACGGCGCTCACGTTGTCGCTGAAGTTGATTTTCCACCAATCGCTCGACCGCCTCGTCGGCTCTAGCACTCGCAGCTCGAGCCGCCACAACAGCTGGATTCGGCTGGCGACGTCGGTTCTGAAAGCGCTTTGTCTCTTGCAATGCAATGAAGACCATCACGCGGATACGACCAGCAGGTTTGCTGCCTTTTTCCAGCGGGAACCACTGCTCAAGGCGCTCACCGGGACAGAAATTGGCCAGCGAGATGGCACAAACACCAATCACCGGACAGAAGAACACGTGCTGGCTCTTTACGCGAATGCTCACGATCTGGCGCGCCAGGTCCACGTCCCGTCGAAGGGGCACGACAAAGACCTCGTCCCACACTGTTTCACACGGCGTTCGAGCATGGAACTGCTGCGACTGCGTGCGCGTTCGACGAACGTGAAGCTGCTGGACGTCGGTGCAATCGATCGCGGTCATGTCGTCAGCAGTTGACGCTGTCGAGTCCTTGTTGCTCGCCCGTGCAGCTTTGCACGTGCCATCGGTATGGACGGTAGGGCCTACGTAGAGCTTGCAGTAAGCGCCTTGGGAAGACGAGTGCTGCAGCGCTTCAGCACGTTGCACGCGAAGCACGAGCTTGTACCGGTTCCTGTCGGTCTCGCAGACTGGCGCCATTGTGCTCCGACTTGTACGTAGGGACTTTGGTCTTGTATTGGCCAAATGCATGAGCTAGTGTTCTAGTTCTTTGTAGTGTTGCATCGTCACTGTGAGAGGTACACTGTACCACCGCTTGGGCGCTTAGGTCCCTCCGGGATCTGTAGCAGAAGTCATTTTCATTGGTGCCAGTGGCATCGGGTGTGCCCTGTGACGAGCTTTCGTTGCTCTTGCTTGCTCTGTTATCGTCATGTCTGTTTAAATGGGTGCCGTTCAGATCACTTCGGGCGTCTTTATTTTGCGTCTGAATGTGGACGTGGAAATCACTCACGTTTAGTTCCCTTAGCAATCGACAAAATCACCAACATGTTCGCGTATCCACTCCATACCTTTACTTTTAGTGGCATGCTGCGTACACTAGTAATCTTCTTTGATTTTTAGCACTTGCAAATTGGAGTGGACGAGTGCTGGACTAGTATTTGCGATAAAGTCAGTGCACGGTGACTGAATCCGACTTTACTACAAAGTAACTACGTCCATCCGCCACGTAGCTCCCACCCGCAAGGCTCGGTGGCGATTTATATCGAGAAAAGAAAGAGTAATGAACGCCTTCAAGTTGCTGACGCTGTATTAGAATCTGATTTGGTATATTGCGGTACGTGACGGAGTGTCCTTGCTGTAGGCTAAACACTGCACTCACTTCGGCTCCACATACATTAATCTTATTGCTGCGGTTAACACAATTTCCTGTGAAGTTGTCACTCAAATTTCGACTTTCACTTCTATCGAGTTTAAAGATTTTGAGCACTGCGCGATTTTTTGAATACACGAAAGCTTTCTGTTGCGTGGAAACATTTGTAAAAGGAGGGGTCAACTGATGCGCAATTGTAAAAAACGCCATCAATTAAAAAAATTAATAAATCCGTTTCCGTTGTGTCAGAGCTTTAAATAGTGATGCGGCTAGTTTTGCAGATATTATTAACAAAGAGATGACGGAAATATCCGCGTACAGTTTATCACGAGTAATTTTGTAAAGCTTTTCAGTGCCTTCCTGCTACTAAAAACTCAAACGGACGTTCTATACAACTCAAGGTAAAAAATGAACTTACATCTTACACGAGCCCAAAGAATGCGCTGCGAGCGTATATCTGCAATCGCTCATTGCACTGATGAACAACATGGGAAAGCATGTTCGCTTGAATCACCAACAGCATGAATCATCCCAGATTTATAAGAATACTTCTTCGCCTTAGGTCGTACACTCTTCCCTATCTCCTGCTAATTATGGCGGTCACACGTTGCCACGTTCGATCCATAATAAGATAGCATCTCGACCCGCCTTCTTCGTCACCCCTTCGGCTTCGATCGATCCATTTGTTTTTTGTCATTAGGTACGTTTGAACAGCTATAAGACTCTCAAGCATTACCTTTTTTGATATAATTGTTGGGCTTCAGACAATTTATCTACAATGTGATGTACATAGTATGTTTTACTGTCCACATCCTATTACTGAACGAATGTCCGTTTACTTTACAATTTACGTCACATTGCAGAACAAATGGCGGAAACCCAAATTCGAAGCTGCAATAGTGTTAAGTTCGAGGTATTTCGGCTCATTTATTTACAATCTCGCTTGCATTACATATATGCGCCTTGCATTATAAATGATCGTTGCAATAGTACACGACGCTTCGAGAAAGGCCTATTCCAGTCGTGAACTTTAGCAAGTATAATACTACGCGTTGCACCGTAAATATTTTTTCGTGTGATACTACATTTTGCGAGTATCACGTTCTGTTGACTCTCCATCTTATGGTCTTGATCGAGTCGTCGTGTAACCACCTTGCCGGTTCGTAAGGGCTCCATAGCACTTTTCTCAAGTATATCTGGATATTTAAGACGAAATATCAACACGAATGTGGAATGTTTTCAGTAACAGCAGCCACCTGGTAGAATCATCTTATCGTGAGGCTCCTTGTCTGGACAACTTTGCGCGGTCTGCATACATGAGTTAGTATGGCTGCAAGCATAATTTTGATTCCAGCTCATGTAAGAACAAAACAAGTTTGAGCTGTTGTGCGATAGCTCGTTTCATTTATTTTTATGAACCGACACAAAATGTACGAGAAGTGTTCGGCCACGACTTTCACAAAATGGTTTTGAGTAATTAGCTTGTGTAGAAAAGTTCTTACGATCGTGTTTGTGTCGCAAAGTTTCGTACGTAGCCAGCAAAATCATTCAAAAGCACAACTAATTAAGCATTGTAAGACTTTGACAGCTCGATCTCGTGTATAAGCACATGAGCAAACGCTGCTGGGAGGCCATGGACTATGAGTTGACGATTATTCCATCACGTGGCCCAGGTTCATTGCATTGTGGTCTGCTCAATCTCAAGTGTTATTGTTGTTTTGCCAGTTGTCTGTTAGACGTTGCTGCTGCAGTTTTGAATTTCCAGTCAATGTATCTGTGCTGGACTAACATTTTTTATTTAAGATATTAGCGTGAAAAATCAATGGTGATGAAGCTATACGCGCGAATATAACGTCGCCTTCGTCGCTTTGCGCGCGCCATAATCATATAAATGGACCTTAAAAAACTCTTGGATCGTACTGGCTCGTAAAGTCGAGTAATGAGCTACCATATTGCTAGTCCAGTAGGCCTATAGAAGATGAGGGGTGCCTACAAATTATCAGCAACATGGCAGGTCTCGCCCAACGTCCATCTTTCAACATTCGGCAACTGCGATCCGTGTTCTAAGCACAGCATTTCGCGAGATTATACCAAAGTATAAGGAGTAGAGCATTTATAATCAAGCACATGCATTCAGAAGTTGCCACGTCAATTACTCAGGCGACAGCACCACATGGTCAAGTGCAATTAAATCCACAGCGACTCCTCCTCACTGTCGCTAGAGCTTCCAATCTCTTGGTCTCTCTGGCTTTCCACGCTTTCACCTTCTTTTTGATCCGTCTGTCGATCTTTTGTCTCGTCTCTCGCTGCCTTCTTCTGCATAAGTTTGTTAACGACTAAAGCCGCTCGGATCTTGTCCAAAATGTCCTGCGGAATATCATTATTCACCAAACGCATCCTGACCAGCGATCTGTTTTGCACCACCGCGTCCAGCAAGGCGCTACCCCCTTCCTCGCCGATACCGTTATTCGCAAGATCTATCGATTTTAACGAACTATTACACGGTAGCACTTTGGCCACGGCCTTTGCCCCTTCATTTCCCACTTGGTTACTTGAGAGACCCAAGTGTTCAAGTGCTTCGTGACCGTAGAGAGAGTCACTTAGAGCATGCGCCCCTTTTACCGTGATCTGGTTCTCTTTTAGGTCCAGATGTTGCAAAGTGGCGTTTGCTCGAAGCATGTTGCCCATCGACATGGCCCCAGCGTCTCCAATCTCATGGCCTGGAAGCAATAGACGCTTCACTGTGTAGTTCAGCTGAAAGACGCGAGCCACCAGGTCTCCGCCAGACGAGCGTAGTAGGCGTTTTTTGGCTGCCATGTCCTCGAGATCGAGTTCACAAATCTCGTCCTGGTTGGCGCGAATCTTCTCGAGAATCTCCTTGAGAGTAGTAGCAGGACGCTGGATCGTCACGAGGTTGTTCGTGCTATGATCCTGGTGGCGCACAGTCATAGCCGAGAGGACAGACGTCAGCACGTCCACGTCGGACTTGTCACTTAACGGCATTTCGTCCATATGCTGTGTGTAGGGTTTCTTTATGATCAGGTGCGTTTGTTTGTGGGAGTTTATAGAATGACGAAAAGCTCTTTGAATGGACGATATGCAGTAGTATACAGGGCTGTTTGGCCATGAAATGCACAGATTGGAGATATGATGACAATGGAACATATGCCACGGGCGACACGTGTTATGAGGTAAAGAGTCATCATGACGGTGACTAAAATGTAATTTTTAGCTAGGTATCGAAATTTTATGAGCGAGAAAATCAGAACCAGATATGTGGCTGGTCGTGGCGGATCTTAGTATACCTTGAGACTTTTTTCTAGTTTGAGGGTGACTTGTTCGGCCCCTGCATGTCTGCACCTCGTCCAGAAAAGACAAAAAGAGAATTTGTCGTCGCGTTGATTTATCTCGGTACAAATTATGACGTCGGGCGTTGTTGACAGGGCTATAGATTGATGATGCGGCACGGGCATGAGCTCCTACTTCACGTCTCATGACGTTAAAAATCTTGCCGAAGTATCGCTATTGCGTTAAAGCAATTACAATTAATGGCGGTGCGTATGCTAAGTTCTCATCAGGAATCATTCGGTATTCTGTATCTACCCTTATAGTAGAATCTGATTTTTAATTAGTGACAAGTTGTCTCTTTAATTAGTAACTCCTAACGCGAACAACTATGCACATATCATCAGTTTGAAAGTAGTTTGCACATATTATCGCAACGTGGGGAAAAAGGATGACCGCCTTCCGTCTTCTCGTAGTATAGCTGCTTTTTATCGATTACTTTTATTATTTATAATTCCCAAAATAAGGCTTGGGCAACGGCATCGTTTTTGTTGAAACCTTCCCGTAGAGGTACACACGAAGCGGTGACGAGAATGTGTTATTATATATAGATCGTATTACAAGCTAGCAGGCGGGCCATTTGGAATGAGGCGATTATACAAGACGGACGCAGCACATCACAGCAAGGGATTTAGTTGATGGTAACTCAATTACCGAATGCAGCTGCACAGACGACGCTATGCAAGAGAAAGAGACCCTCTACATTACAGCGACGTGTAACAGCTTTTGACCTCAGTTCGGCGAATATAACGGAAAACTTGTTTGCCGTTGCAACATTTCAATTCCTTACTGTTTTTGTCGCTGATTTGCTGTTGTTCCATCAGTAAGTGTAGTTTTTTCGTGTGATCGAAAAACACATCATGCACATTAGGTTTTCTAAATCAAAAACGACCAATTAATTCTACAAATTTTGGCTTATCTATACTATCTAATTATCGCGTTCTTTGCATATTTTTAAGGACAAACCCTGTAACGGGGCACCCTGAAGCTTGTACTGGTGACAGTACAAGCTACTTATTCCGATAACAGAATAAGGCGGTGCCGCGTAACTTCACGGACACTGGTACGTGCAGAGGAAGACGGTAAGAAGAAGCGAGTACTTGAGTAAAGTAAAAAGTAGAACTGTATTTATCATAGTTAATGTCTGTTAATAAATCACTATTTATCTTCATCTAACTATGTCTAAATACAAATGTGTAAATCAACTATCTGCTCACCACTCATTGCGTGCGTCTGTCGTGGCGCGTCTTCGTTATTTGATGTAAAGGCCTATATCAACCAATTAGGAACTACTCGTAAGTGCTACAGAATATTTGTCCTTATGACAATATTCTGATAATATAACTCTTATAGTTATATTCGATTAACAATTTCTTATAAATTGTTATGTAACGATTCACCCCGTTACATCACCCCCCCTTAACCATCAGTCACTTTAGTGACTGATTGACTAAATGGATACTCGTCCCAAATCATTTGGGACAGGGTTTGCACTTGTTGGTCCGAGTCCACTTTCCAACATTTCATCGCATGGTTAACAAGCCAGTGCGATGCGCGAGCAAGGCCGCCGAGAGCGCGGCCGCACGTCTCTGTGCGGACGCCGAAGCAGTAACCACAGCAACTGATGTCTCATCGGTTGCTGAAGTGACCCAGCCTGTGTCACTTGGTGATGCAGGTGCTGGTCATGAAGACACTCATGTCTTCACAGAGTACGAGCTCGGTGTCTCGTACTCTCCTGATACGGAAGACGGATCCGTATCGACGGCGATCGAATCCAAGCCGCCTGCCAAGTGTGGCATGGACGATGCTATGCGTCGCAGCATCTTTGGTTCATCTGATGAATCAGATGAACCATCGCCGAAGCGAAGGCGCTCGAGGTCGCGAGACTCGGGCGCTAACAGTGGTGTCGGTTCTCCTATGGACACCACTTCACAGCGAGGTGCCAGTACTTCTGTCGGCACGTCACAGGAAGAGCGGGATCGCAATATCTTGCGTCTCGCTCCTGAAAAGAAAGCATGGCTGCCTCCAAAATCCGTCATGGATCACTTGTCGGCGACGACGAGTGATCGTTATCGAACACGGTTGTTCGATTCGTCAAGGATCCATCACCTTGACCCCAGCGCGAAGGACTATCGCGCTGAACATGAGTTCTTCATCGATGCTTTCTTCAGACATCGATGGTATAGTGGGAATCACAAACGTGATGGTCCCTCACTACTTCAGGCGTGGAACGCCTACATCCATAACCTCGAGGATGTAGGTCGTGACGCTTGGAACGACAAACTTATCAAAGCTCGTGATAAGTTTGAAAAGCGAACCCCGACAGGTGCACGCTACAAGCTGCATCGTCTGTCAAGGGAGAAAGGATTACCCTGCCTCTCTTGGGGAGACTCGTGCCCATGTTGTGTGAACAACTCTGCACGAGCACCTAAGGAGGCTTACCTCCTTACCAGCCCGTGGTGGCGCGTACGTGTCTCTACTGAGATGTACGAAGGGATTGACAACCTGAAATCCCTTTACGACCGTTCCGGGAAGACTTTCTCCGGCGGTCCTTCTGCGGCACAGGATGTGCCGCGTCGTACTGCTCGACCAGACCCAGTACGTCAATCATCAATTGGGAGCGGGGCTCCCAAGAATCCCAGGACGGGGGATAGCCGCGCCACCGGACGAGGTAACTCGTCCGACGTCCGTTCACGTCGCGGTGGTTCAACAGCTGCTCAACTAGATAGCGCTGGCCACCGCGAGAGTCCTCTAATGGAGGTGGAGGAGGAGGAAAGACGCTCTCCACACGATCATGTGGATCGGTGTGTTCCCGAGAGCTTCTTTGATCGCGTAACGCAAGGGTTACGCGACGATCTCGAGCATGAGCGGAATAGGCGTCTCCAGATGGTGGACACTGCCTCGAAGCATCGAGCTGAGTTTGCCTTTGCTCAGCTTGAGAACGAGAGATCTCTGACATCTCTTCGTGACGAGCTAAGGGTAGCTCGTGGGATTGTTGATCGGTCTCGGGATGAGATAGCTGCTCTTCAGACCCTTGTCGATGCCCACCATCAGGAGCACAAGGCTCTCTGCGAGATGCTTGAGCGCAAGGGCGTTCTTCATCGGAAGAAGCAGCGTACTGATGGTACGGCTTAAGCCGACCAACGTAAGACGTGGGATGCGTTCGCATCTTACGTGGTAACTCGATCTTGTATGCATTGCCTAGGCGGTGCAATACACGAAATGGGCCGATGTACTTGGGTAGTAGTTTACTGCTACCCAAGTTAGTCACTACATGCTTTGGTAGATTAACCGTAGACAGTAGGACTAAGTCACCTTTATTAAATAAAAGAGTGTTTGCCCTTCCATTCTTGTCAGCGTTTTGCTTTTGCTTATCCACCGCTTCGGCGATGGAATCTTGCACAAAACGGACTACCGTTTCACGAGCCAGTATGAACTCATCTGATGACTCGTTAGCTTCAGTGTGCTGTGAGCGCACTGCAGCAACATCAACCTTTTCTTCAGTGAGGGCTTCCGCACTCTCACTGGGATCATCTTCTTCAGTGAGGGCTTCCGCACTCTCACTGGCATCATCTTCTTCGATATCGATGTTATCGATATCGGCATCAAACGCAATGACTTCTTCGTCAGAGCGTGATGAGCGTGAACCAATTCGGTTTTTGCTCGCGCGAGTCCCTCCCCCCCTTAAACCAGAGTTACACTCTAGTAAGGTGGGTACACGCGGATGGCGCAAGCCATTCACGTAAAACGGTGTATGTGTCGTGGACGCATGCACCGAGTTGTTAATGGCAAACTATACCATTGGCAAAAACTCACTCCAACTCTTAAAGGAGTGTACGTATCCTCGAATTATCTTTCAAGGACACGATTGGCACGTTCCGTCTGACCATCTGACTCTGGATGATCCGATGTTGACATCTTCAAGCGCGTTCCGAGTGATTTGAACACGGAACGCCAGAAATCAGTAGTGAATCGTGGATCTCTGTCTGATACGAGTTCACCCGGCAACCCATGAAGTCGGAAGATGGTGTCAATAAAGACACAAGCACAGCCACTTGCCGTGATTGTCTCTGGTACAGCCACAAGGTGTACCATTTTGCTGAATCTGTCAACAAATACGAGAATACCCGTATTCCCGCGTGCGTCTTTGGGTAACCCGAAGCGAAATCCATTGAGATGGATTCCCAGCACTCAGCCGGAACCGGTAGAGGCTGTAAAGGTGCACGCAGTGAAGGACTTGACTTCACTCGTTGACAGACTTCGCATGCGCGAACATACTTTCGCACAAACTGATACTGGCGGGGCCAGTAAAAGTCTCGACTCACCGTGAGATATGTTTTCTCCTGGCCACGATGTCCTCTTATAGGAGCATCGTGATACTCGAACATGATCCGCAAACGCAGATCAGTATCATCTGGAATGACAACACGTGGTGTGTCACCAGAAACGGCTGTATAATACAGTAAAAAGTTGCGAGTAGTGTATCGATCTGATGCAGATCGGTACGCAGGCGACAATCGTTTCAACGATTCTCGAGATGGTTGGGAGAGATGTGACAAAAACTTCACTATCTCACCATCTTGGGCGTATGCCCGCCTCACATCATCATACAACGTTGTAGATGGGACTGAGGACGTCATAACCGCAACAGTGACTGTCTCACTGTTGGGTTCCGCGACTGTTTCAAAGTCGGGACGACGTGAGAGTGCATCAGCGACGACATTAAGTCGTCCTGGTTTGTACTCGACCGTAAAGTTGTATTCTGCAAAGAATGACAACCACCGCGCCATTCGTTGTGAAAGGTGCGGGCTGTTCACTGCCGTGCGTAATGACGCATGGTCAGTGTAAACAATGAAGGGTCTATCTCCTAATAGATAGACTCTGAACTTCGCGAGTGCATACTTCATGGCAAGGAGTTCCTTGTCATGCACTGGATAGTCCCGCTCAGCTGGTTGCAGCTGACGCGACTGATAGCAGACGACGCGTTTAACGCCTTCAAGATTCGTACTGCATTAATTCACAGCCGATTTCGAAATCGCTGGCATCACAGACCACATGAAATGGCCTGTCCTGATCGGCTATTGCTAGGACTGGGGATTGTATCAAGCTCTGCCTGATACCATCAAAGGAGCGCTGACATTCAGCGTTCCAAAACCACCTCTCGTTCTTTTTCAACAAACGAGAGAGGTGCACAGTCATCTCGGCGTAATTGCGTGAACACTTATGCAAATACGCCGCTAGCCCAAGGAATTTTCGAAGACCTTTGACATCAACTAGCACAGGCCAGTCGGTGATCGCCTTGATCTTTTCGGGATCAGGACGTACACCGTTCTTACCAACGATGCACCCAAGAAGTGGTATTTCGCTTGCTGCAAATATACACTTCTTGAGGTTAGCATACAATTGATGCTTTCGCATGATTGTAAGAACCTGTCGGACGTGGTTCCTGTGAACCTCAACGTCCGACTTTCCATCCATAGCTCGACTATGGATGAATACGTCATCGAAATAACTCGGCGCGAATTCTCGTACTGGTCTCAACAGATGTGATACACATCTGTTGAACGTGGCAGGGGCATTACTAAGCCCTTGTGGCATTACTAGCCATTCCCAGAGCATGCCGCTAGGCGTGCTAACTGCGGTATAGGGTATATCCCGTTCCCCGCATAAGGATTTGATAGAAGCCATCCATCAAATCCATGGACGAAAAGATGGTACTCTTTGACATACCATCAATGATTACGTCCTTCCTCGGTATCGGCGTCTGAGCCGGTACCGTTGCAGCGTTCAATTTGTTAAACGCGTGCACTATCCGCCACCCTCCTGTTGCTTTTCGCACACAGAAGGTCGGAGAGCTATGTGGGGAAGTTGATTCCCTCACATGGCCCGCTGCTAAACGATCGGCAAAGAACTTGTCGATCGCAAGTACTTGTTCACGAGGCAGTGGCCACTGCTTCATGACACAGTACTTCGAGCCTGGTTTAAGCTCGACCTCGTGTCGAATACCTTTATCCTTCGGTAATTCGCACGGAGCAGTTTCAGGGAATACATCCTTGAATTCAACCAAATCTTCATAGAGAGGATTTGTCTTGAGCGATTCCCACGATTGGGAGTCATATCGCTCAATTCGTGTCTTTTCATCTAGGACACTCCCGTCCATAGATGAACTACTGAGAACTCTCTCGTTCTCAGTAAACACTGTTGCTGACCTTATGTCGGTTGCACACTCGTCGTCAGCGACGAGTATGCAGATCTGCTTGACTTTGCCACTACGCAGATCACGCAAGAACCTTTTATGTTCGCGCGTTGGCAACTGAGTGATCTCCGAAGTCAACTTCGGAGGCGCAATCAGATCAAGTGTATAAGCGCCTACACTTGATCCGTTATTGACTTGGACATTCAATGTCTCTGTCATTTCCTGGGGACTTATTCCCTCAGGCTTCGAAGGACTTATTCCTTCGGCTTCCCGGGGACTTATTCCCGCGGGTTTCGGGGAACTTATTTCCGCCGTAATCTTGGGACTTATTCCCTTTACTTCCTCTAGCTGGGGTTGCGCAACCACAGCGAGATCCTCTACGAAAGACTCTCCAGTCGATCTAGGATTATCGTTTCGCTTAACCTGAGCGATCGATTGTTTCTCTTCTAGATGTTCCCCGCTAGGGATACATCTTTGTCCCAGTCCACCCGACTTATTTGAGTGGTGGACCTTCGGCGCAGCCTGTGTTTCCTCACAGCCGCCTGAACTTTGCTCCGAAGTGTAACCGTTTGGTACACTAAGGTTTTGTGCAGTCGTACTAACGACCGTACCACAAGTGAGGCCATCGCACTCACTCGTAGTACATCCACACGCTTGTGGACGCTCCAAAACGTTCATCAGATGGCCATCTGATGAACAAGCGGCAGGCATCGTTACTGTCCGATGTTGCCAGTTTACCCGTGGTTCGTACCTTCTGAGCCACGGTATTCCAAGGATGACATCAAATTTGTCATCCAAATCCAATACGATAAAGTCATCGTCATATTGGGTATCTTCTAGCTCATAGTGGATCTTCACTATACACTTCATGACGGTTACGGATGCGCCTGTGGCAAGACGTACCGTCATCCTCGTAGGAGGTGTGTCACACTCAACAAACTTAAAATGACCATCTTCTAGCGATTGGCGTTGCACAAAATTGTTGGACGCCCCACAATCGACTAGAGCTCGAAGGGACAACTTATTCGTCACTTCGAGTTTCAAGGTAATGCGTGAGACCTCATTACCTAGAGCAGCAACGCACAACGTTTGTGTGTTGGGAGCAACCTTCATCAAGAGGCCTACAAATTCTCTTGATGTTGCTGGACCAGTAGGGTGCTCCGCACCTACTGATCCTGTCCGTTTTTTGACGGTCCATCCCGTTGTTGCGTCTTTGCACCAACAGCGGACCCTCGTCCCTTCCCCTTTCTCATGGGTGGACGGTCACTACGCCCAGTGTTGCGAGACACTGGACGAGGGGCACTACACTCGTAAGCGTAGTGTCCTGTCTTCTGACATCTGTTGCATCTCTGCAACTTCTTGTAGCCTGTAGAGCGAACCTTCTCGCTCTCTACATAACAGAGTTCCATCGGCTCTGGACCTCCGTTGTCATATCGTCTCGGTTGACGATATGATGTCGAGCTGGCGCGAGCCTGTCTCAGACTGAAGTCTTCCTGCTCCGCAATGGAAATGGGTTGTTCTAGTGAATCTAGTTCAATCCGGAACAGGTGAGTCTTGACGGGACCATCCGCAAGACCCTGCATGAACACCGAAACCAACGTGTGTTCATCCACTGGATTGGAACTTATACAACTCGTAAGATGTCGTATGTGTTGAGCGTAAGCGTGCACATCACGCTTACCCTGCTTGAGCTTCAAGAGTTCGGTTCGAGCCCTGAACTCAGCTCTAGGCGGTTCAAACGTTTGTCTGAGCCGCGACTTGAAGACTTCCAACGACCCAAACGCATATGGGTCGTGCAGCTTGAGCCCCAGTGCCCAAGTCTTGGCACGTCCTGCCAGATTTGACTGGGCAAATGCAACTTGCATATCCCCGTCGTCGATGCGACGCGCCCTTATGGCGTCATCCAATTCGACGAACCATCTCAAGAGGGAGTCCTCTTCGACTCCCCTATACTTAGAGATGTCAATCCTCAAAGTCTCGGGTCGACGCGAATGCATCGACCCACCAGCAGCAGCCTGCTGCTGTCTCAACAGTATCAAACTGTTGAGCACCCTGTTCTCTCAACAACTCTGCTTGTTGAGAACCTTGTTGGTAAAGCAAGGCTACTTACTCGCGTTCTGCGTCAAGTTCATTTTGAATGAACTTGGCGATAGTAGCATGTTGGGCATCTCTATTGAGAGCCTCTAGCATGACGCTAACAGCATGGATGCCCATGGTTGAACCCATCCGTTCAACCGCATCCCATTCGACATCGCTCAGATGGGAGTAGCCGTCACGCGTAGCGTGAAAGCTTTGGTCATCTTCACCATCCAACATATTCATGTTGGGTGTGAACGCGGTCCTTGGACGGACTACGAAGTGCTACTAGGTGTAACGGGGCACCCTGAAGCTTGTACTGGTGACAGTACAAGCTACTTATTCTGATGACAGAATAAGGCGGTGCCTCGGAACTTCACGTACACTGGTACGTGCAGAGGAAGACGGTAAGAAGAAGCGAGTACTTGGTTAGAGAAAAAAGCAGAACTGTATTTATAATAGTTAATGTCTGTTAATAAATCACTATTTATCTTCATCTAACTATGTCTAAATACAAATGTGTAAATCAACTATCTGCTCATCACTCATTGCGTGCGTCTGTCGTGGCGCGTCTTCGTTGGTTGATATAATGGCCTATATCAACCAATTAGGAACTACTCGTAAGTGCTGCAGAATATTTGTCCTTATGACAATATTCTGATAATATAACTCTTATAGTTATATTCGATTAACAATTTCTTATAAATTGTTATGTAACGATTCGCCCCGTTACAAAGCCAGTAGTGAGTGTGCGCAAATTGGTTTTCGAATTTCAAGATCTAATTTCTGGTTAGTTGTGTCTGTAAATAATGTTAGGTTTGCTCAGCACGATATACGAAGCTCGATGTATGCTGTCGTATCCTTGTCGGTAGATACGCAATATGGCATGCCAATTTTTTTTAAATAGCTAATTGCGGCCGTGTCTAGTGTTAATCACAAACACGCACCCTTGTCCGCAATTTCAATTTAATCAAAAGTGATGAAGGGTGAACTAGTAGTACATGATAAAATGCTCGACACTGAGGTGCAGCGGAATTCTCGCACCTCGGTCAAACTTTAACATTTGAAGTGTTTTTCATATGAAGTATTTGTAAATGAAATAGTGACAATTGCCGGTCGCCTTTTTCTCTCGGAAACACTTACAGGTAAAACAAATTTGATATGGGTTTACTATAAGTCAATAACATGTCGTCGGCCGCACAATGATGCTAAGAACGGAATCAAGAAGAATCATCTTCTGTAACGGGGCACCCTTTGTCTGGGTGCAACGAAACTTCACGTACACTTGTACGTGCAGAGGAAGCTAGTCTACTCAACGACTAAGCTGAGTAAAGTTAAAAGAGAGCTGTATTTAATATTTTTGAGCTATCATTTTAACTTTAATCTTTATCTAACTATATTAATCTACATTGTCGTATGATGACAACCTGCTCACCACTCATTGCGCGCGTCTAGCTGCGATTGGTGGCAACCAATGGTTAATATGTCTTTTATCAACCAATCTTGGAGAAGAGGATGAATATTATCCTAAAAGGGGATAATATCCCTTCAATAATATCCATCTCGGATAATATTGGTAAAACATTGTCATGCTGGACAATCTCCCTTTTGACACCGTTTGGTGTCAATATCGTGAAACGGGCTAACCCGTTACATCACCCCCCCTTACCAATTAATCAACCGTTGATTAAATTAAAATTGATTGGGACAGGGTGACCATCATTGGATCACTTTGGGAAAAGGAGCACTTGTTGGTAAATTTCATTCATTTGCTAATCCTTCGCATGGTTCCAAAAACCACAAGAGCTGCTACTGCAGCAGCAAGAAGGGCGGCTGAATGCGTGTGCGCAGCCAAAGAGAGTACTTCTCACACCTCAGCAGCAGTAGATTCTCGTCTGTTGTCTCGGATCCTCCACGTGCGACAGGTACATCCGTTGCGTCTGCAGCGGGTACCGCGAATCGTAATCAAGACTAGTCTGAAATGGAGCTCATCTATCCTGGCAATTCGGATGATGTATCCGACTCGAAGGCTACACCTCGCGCCTCCGGATCACCAGGGGCGGACACTGCAAGATCCAGGTTGACTGGATCTGGTCAACTTGGCGGCATCATGTCCGAGATCTTTGGATCAAGCGATTATTCCGACGAATCTCCGCCTCTTGCGAGTCCATCCAACGATAGGACGCGCGGGGATGGTGGTGATGCACCTATACATCACTACGAGCGAAGCAACTCGAGGGATCGGGGTGTCACTGGTATCAGCGCTCGCGCTGGCACCAATCAAGAGGCTAGGGACCGAAATGTCCTGCGCCACCATCCTCAAGTGGAGTCTCCGTGGATGCCGTAATCCAGAGAGTTGGACCGGTTGGCCGGCATCACTACCGATCGAGATCGAATCCCGTTGTTCGATTGCAGAAAGATTTGCCCGCCTGATTCCAGCACGGAAACTATCCCTGCTGAGGAAAAATTCTTCATCGATGCGTTTTTCAAACATCGGTGGTACAGTGGCAACCGTGTGCAAGACGGAAAGGACTTGGTGCAAGAATGGAATGCCTTCGTCCTTGACAATGAGTGCATTGGCCGTGAGGCCTGGATACGTAAATGTGATGCAGCTCGCATCAGGTTTGAAAAGTGTATCCCAGTCGGTGTACGATACAAATTGCACCGACCGTCAAGAGAGACAGGGTTACCCTGTATCTCGTGGGGTCGTTTTAACTTCAACCCAAAAAAATCTATGTAATCGATTGAAGCTGGTCTAAAAATTTAATTTTAGTATCAAATACTTAAGGTTTTTTCTTCGTGTCCAAGTTGTCTGGACACCTCGAGTCGTACCCCTAGGGAGGCTCACCTACCTACTGTTCCCTACTGGAGGGCGCACATCTCTTCTGAGATGGCCGAAGGGATTGACGCTTTGCGATCCCTGTACTCACGTTCGAGGAGGTCGTTTTCCGACGGCCCTTCTTCGAACGCAGCAGGTGGGTCTCGTCACATCGCTCAACGAAACCCGGAACATCAACAATCAGCTGGGCGCGAGGCTCCCAGCTGTCCCGAGCCGGTGGATAGCCATGCCAGCGGACAAGGTAACTCGTCCGGACGCCATTCACGTCGCGGTGGTCAAGATACGCTCCACTAAAAAGCGTTGACCACTGCCTGAGTCCACCAAAGGATGTGGTGGTGGCGGGAACACCTGATCCGGCTCGAGGGTCGGTTCAGCTTGATGTTCAGGAACTGAACCGTGTAACGGATAAGTTACAGGATGAATTGGCTCATGATCGGACTGGATGTTACGAGCTTCAGGATCTTGTAAGGTATAATTAAAATTCCTTAGCGCTCGATCTTTCGAATGATCGTGCCGCGTTCGCGTTTGCAAAACTTTAGAACGAACGTTTAATTCGTTCTCTTTGTGACGATCTGGCTACAGCTCGTCGAGACATCGCTCGACTGCGTTAACACGTCTCTTCGCTAGTCGAGCTGGCTATTGAAACGGGACCACTCGAAGGTGGTCTCGGCTCTTGACCGCGGAGGTGTTCTTCGCATCTCGAATGGGCTCGTACTGATAGTACGAGCGGAGACGACCAACGTAAAATGAAGGATGCGTACGCGCCCTGCGAGGCAGTTAAATAGTGTATGCGTTGCCTATTCGGCGCAACACACGAAATGGAACGATGTACTTAAGTTGTAATTTACTGCTGCCCACGTTTGTCACTGCATGCTTTGGTAGATTTACTGTAGACAGTAAAACTAGGTCTCCTATAACACATGAAAGAACACTTGCTCTTCCATGTTTGTCTGCATTTCTCTTCTGTCTGTCTAGTGCATCTGCAATATAGTCATGAACGAAGCGGACAACCGCTTCGCGAGTCAGCAGGAATTCCTCTGCTTATTTATCCTTGTCAACAGCAGTGCGCTTCGTGTGCACTGATGAAAGAACGTTGTCTTTACCAGTGAGGGCGTCATCGTCCTCATTGCGGCAGTCATTGGCAATTCTGAATATACCAGCATCGTCGTCACCGTCATCACCGGTATCGGTCACATCAACATCGGCATCCATCACGTCGACACCATTGTCGACGGGTGATGAGCAAGAACCAGTTCAAGTTTTGTTCGAACGAGTCCACCCCCCCTTAAACTAGAGTCACACTCTATCAAGGCGGGTGAACGTGGATGGCGTAGGCCATTTACGAAGAACGGTGTTTGCGTTGTCGACGCATGCACCGAGTGGTTGATGGCGAATTCCGCCATCGGCAAGAACTCACTCCAGCCCGTAAACGAGTGGACATACTCTCGAAGTACCTCTTTGAGAACACGGTTGAAGCGTTTCGTTTGACCATCTGTTTCGGGATGATCAGAAGTTGACATTATCAAACGTGTTCCAAGTGAGCGGAACACGGATTGTTAGAACTCCGCTGTGAAGCGGGGATCCCTATCGGACACGAGTACACGGGGTAACCCGAGAAGTCGAAAGATAGTATCGATGAAGACTCGCACACAGCCCTGGGCTGTGATTGACTCCGGTACAGCAACAAGATGTACCATCTTGCTGAACCGATCAGTAAACACAATAATACCGGTATTTTTGTGAACGTCTTTGGGAAACCCGAAGACTAAGTCCATCGATATGAACTGCCAACACTCTGCCGGAATCGGTAGAGGCTGTAAGGGTGCGCGGGATGAAGGACTAGGCTTCAACCGTTGGTTAACTTCGCTAGCGCGTATGTATTTGCGCACGAACTCATACTGGCGGGGCCAGTAGAAGTCATACCTCACCAAGAGGTCAGTCTTTTCTCTACCGCGATGCTCACTTGATGGGGCATCGTGACGCTCTTACATGACGCGCAATCGCAAATCACTATGAGCCGGAACGACGACACGAGGTGTGTAGCCGTTGACTGCTGTACAGTACAGCAGTCCATCACAAACCGAATACTGTTCGATTGAAGAGCGGTATTTAGACGTCAATCTTTTCAAAGCTTGATTACGCGGATTGGATACGTAATATAATAACCGCAGAAGAGACTCATCTTCTGTGTATGCTTTCCGCACGTCGTCGAGCAGATTCGACGACGGAACCATCACTGTTAGTTTCGCGACAGTGGGATCAACCTACTGTTGGGTTGATTAGTCGGCTCGAAATCGTGCAGACGCGAAAGAGCATCAGTGACGACATTAAGTCGTCCTGGTTTATACTCGACGGAGAAGTTGTACTCCGCGAATAAAGACAGTTACCTCGCCATTCGTTGCGAGAGGTGTGTACTGTTTAAGGCCGTGCGTAACGATGCATGGTCGGTATAAACAATGAAGGGCCTATCTACTAAGAGATGTACCCGAGCCTTGGCCAGTGCATATTTCATGGCAAGGTGTTCCTTGTCATGTACCGGATAATTGAGCTCAGCTGCTTGCAGCTGGCGCGATTGATAACAGACGACGCGCTCAACGCCGTCTGAGTCGTACTGCATTAACGCACAGCCGATCGCAAAATCGCTGGCGTCACAGACCACATGGAATGGTCTGTCCTGGTCTGCAATCGCCAACACAGGCAATTGTATCAAGCTTTTCTTGATACCTTCAAAGTAGTGCTGACACTCAGCGCTCCATGACCACCTCTCGTTTTTCTTTAGTAGACGAGAGAGATGTACGGTCATCTCGGCGTAGTTGCGCGAGTACTTGTGCAAGAACGCCGCCAAGACAAGGAACTTTCGAAGTCCCTTGACATCAACTGGCTCGCGCCAGTCGCTAATCGCCTTGATCTTTTCCGGATCAGGGCGTATGCCGTTTTTACCCACGATGCAGCCAAGAAGTGGTATTTAGTTCGCTGCGAATATACACTTCTTGAGGTTCGCGAACAACTTATGCTCACGCATTAGTGTAAGAACCTTCCGGACGTGAATTCTATGAAACTCCACGTCCGTCTTTCCATCCATAGCCCGGTCATGGACGAAGACATCGTCAAAGTAATACGGTGCAAAATCGCGCACCGATCGGAACAGAGTCGTAACACATTTGTTGAACGTTGCGGGGGCGTTACTTAGCCACTATGGCATTACTAGCCACTCCCAGAGCATACCACTGGAGGTGCTCACTGTTGTGTAAGGGACATCCCAATCAAGCATGAGAACCTGATATAATACATCCATCAGATTCATGGATGAATAGATGGTACTTTTTGCCATACCATCCATGATGACATCCTTTATTGGGATCAGCGTTTGAGCCGGTACCGTTGCAGTGTTCAATTTGTAGAACGCGTGCACTATCCGACACCCTCATGTGGCCTTTCGCACACAGAAGGTCGGAGAGCTAAGTGGGGATGTTGATTCCCTCACATGACCAGCCGCTAGTCGATCGGCAAGAATTTGTCGATCGCTGTGACCTGTTCACGAGGCAGTGGCCACTACTTCATGACACTGTATTTTGAACCAGGCTTCATTTAGATCTTTTGCCGAGTGCATTTGTCCTTAGGCAGCTCGCATGGCGCGGATTCCGGGAAGACATCCCTGAATTCAACCAAATCCTTACAAAAGGATTTGTCTCTGTAGACTCCCAAGATTGAGACGTGTATCGCTCAATCTAGGTCTTCTCATCGAGGACACTCTCGTCCATAGATGAGCTACTGAGAACCCGTTCGTTCTCAGGAAACGCTTGTGCCGACCGAATATCGGCGACGTACTCGTCTCTGTGACAAGTACGCAGATCTGCTTGATCTTGTCACTACGCAGACCTCGCAAGAATCTTTTAGATTCTAGCGTTGGCAACTTGATTACCTCCGAGTCTGACTTCGGAGGTGTAATAGGGCAAGTGTATAAGCGCCTACACTTGATCCGCCATCCACCAAGACATTCACTGACTCGGTGATGTCCTGGGAAAACACGTTTGCAGGTGGTTGGGGATCCACACCCTCAACATAATTCTTTCGGGAGTTATTGCTCTCACAAACGCTGAAACTTTTTTCCAACACGTGTACCGACTGTGGTTGTACTACCACAGTCACGTCCTCTTCGATCGAATCTCTTTCAGTCGATCGGGCTTGCTTACGATCGACTATCTGATAGTCGATCTCGCTTCAACGTGTTTTTTTATCCTGAACACCACTCATCTCTCTTCTCGGATGCACCCTTCTTGGTGTGCATCCGTTTTTCAGTCCACTCGATCTGTTCGATTGGTGAACCTTCGGCGCAGCCTGTGTCTCTACACAGGTGCCGGAAGTTGGTTCCACAGTGCAGTGGCCTTCTACACTGTGATCTTGTGCAATCGTACTAACGACCGTACCACAAGTGAGGCTATCGGACTCACTCGTAGTACACTCACACGCATGTGGTTGCTCCAAGACGTTCATCAGATGGCCATATGATGAATAAACGGCAGGCATTTTCACGGATCGATGCTGCCAGCTAACCCATTGCTGGTACTTTCTAAGCCATGGCAGACCGAGGATGGCATTAAATCTCTCATCCAAATCTAGTACGATGAAGTCATCATCGTACTGTTTTCCTTCTAGCGTGTATTGGATTCCCACTACACGTTTGTTCACTGTTTCGGATGCGCCTGCAGCAAGGCACACCGTCATCCTTGTTGGACGGAACTCTCGCTAGACTTAGTTAAGCCTACTAACCTCTAGAGAATAGCGTCGAATAAAACTGTTCGACGCCCCACAGTCAACTAGGGCGCGAAGTGACATTCCACTTTTCACTACGATCTTCAAAGTGATGAGAGACTCCTCATCACTAAGGGCAGTAACACACAGCGACTGTGTAGTGGGAACAATCTTCGTCAAGAGTCCTGAAAATTCTTTTGATTTGCTGGGTCAGCAGGGTGCTCCGCCCCTACTGACCCCGTACGTTATTTTGACGGTCCGACTTGCTGTCGCGGCTTAGCGACATGGTCGGACCCACGCCTTGGACCTTTCCTTGGCCAACTGCGGTCATCACGTCCTGTCTTCGGACGTGTTGCAGTGCTCGGGACACTGCACTCATGAGCGTAGTGTCCAAACTTCTAACAGCGATAGCATCTTGCCGTTTGCTTGTGACTCAGGGAGCGAGAGTTCTCGCTCTCTATGTAACAGAGGTCCATTGGTTCTGGACCTTATGTTTTCTGTCGCCTCGTTGGACGATAGTTAACGAGTTAGCCTGAGACTGTCTCAGGCTGAAGTCTTTTTGTTCCGCAAAAGGTATCGGCCTTTTCAGCGTATGGAAGTCCTCTCGGAACATGTCGGTCTTCACCAGCCATCCACAAGGCCATAGATTTACACTTTGATGAGCGTGTGCTCATCAACAGGGTTGTCTGTAATGCTACTCGCAAGGTAGCGCAGGTGCTGTGCGTAAGCGTGCACGTCACGCTTACCTTGTTTTAGCCTTAAGAGTGCAGAGCGTGCTCTGGACTCGGCTCTCGGCGGCTCAAACGTCCCTTTGAGCCGAGACTTCAAGATCCCCAACGACTCAAATACGTTTGGTCGTGAAGCTTGAGCCCTAAGGCCCAAGTCTTTGCTTGTTCCTTTAAATTTGACAGGGCGAAGGTGACTTGCATCTCGTCACCCTCGATGTGACGGGCCCTGATGGCGTCGTCTAACTCAACAAATTGTCTCAAAAGGGAATCTTCATCGGTTCACTTATACCTTGAGACATCAATCTTCAAGGTTGCGGGTCGACGCATGTGCGTCGGTCCGCCCATCAACTGATGAGAGCCTTGCTGTTGTAGCAAGGCTATCTTCAGTCGTTCGACGGCAAGTTCCCCTTGTAGGAACTTGTTGATAGCAGCTTGTTGCTGGTCCCTGCTTAGAGACTCCAACATACTACTGATGGCGGGTTCGCCCATGAGCACACTCATTCGGCCGACTGCCTCCCATTCTGAGTCACTCAGATGGGAGCAGCCTTCACGTGTGACGTGAAAGCTGTCGTCTTCTACGTCCAACATGTTCACGTTAAGCGGACACTAAGTAGTCGTTAAACGGACTACGAAGTGCTTCCAGGTGTAATGGGGCACCCTTTGTCCGGGTGCAACGAAACTTCACGTACACTAGTACGTGCAGAGGAAGCTAGTCTACTCAACGACTAAGCTGAGTAAAGTTAAAAGAGAGCTGTATTTAATATTTTTGAGCTATCATTTTAACTTTAATCTTTATCTAACTATATTAATCTACATTGTCGTATGATGACAACCTGCTCACCACTCATTGCGCGCGTCTAGCTGCGATTGGTGGCAACCAATGGTTAATATGTCTTTTATCAACCAATCTTGGAGAAGAGGATGAATATTATCCTAAAAGGGGATAATATCCCTTCAATAATATCCATCTCGGATAATATTGGTAAAACATTGTCATGCTGGACAATCTTCTTTTTGACACCGTTTGGTGTCAATATCGTGAAACGGGCTACCCCGTTACACCTATTAAACGCGTCGCTCACTAGCCAGCCTACCTCTGCACGTGCAATGTGCTTGATGTGATGCACGGCACTACCTACACTGTTGTCACTTTAGGTGCAAAAGTACTGAAGTAGTGACCAGTGCCCCATTACATTTAGGCTACTTTTGCCTTATTGCACGTCATACTGTGAGGTCGTTCGAAGATTATTGAGCTCTAAGACATCTTTAATTTTTAACCACTTTGGCTAGCGCTATACAGTAGCTTTACATCCAATGTGACCCCAACATTTTTTGCTAATATGCAGATTTTGCGGGCTTCCACACACACCGTGCAGCATTTAGAGGGTAACACAATATATCTTACATCGTACCAGCATCAAAGAGGTAATTTACAACAGCAGATAGAGTAAAAGTAAAAGAAATTCTGACGGGTCGTGCCATTCAGTTTTAAGTATTTTTCGAAGTTGTCATCGAGATACATCGACCTCTCTGATTCAAGCCTTTGCAAGCGGACCCATGTACGGTGCTCCCACATTCCTGGAAAAATCGCTAACCCTACAATCTAACATCTGGCGTCCCTAGCTCAGTTTATGTCGAGTTAACGACAGTGCCATCACTCAACTTCAAGAACGGCGTATGGCGAAAATTCGACCGACCAGGTATTGCCCCATATTAAACGATAGCCCGTCCTTAACTGGCTGCTCAAGGCAGAGCTATCTCTTCAGGAGACTCCAAACCAAGTTGTTGAATAGATAGATTTGAAGAGATTTGGGTGCATATCACATTCCAAGCGTCAGGCAGCAGCCAAAATGCTCACAAGACAAATCAACACACGTCCTTGACGAACTACTTCCCACTGCACATGCAGTTCATTATTCAGCTCTCAAATTCCCCCTAAGCGACCGCATTCTTTAAGAATTGGTACAATCTGTCGTCACCCTCTCGTCGTCTACCCTTGCAACTGTCCACGGCTGCTTCCTAAATCCCGCCACAGACTGGAGCCACCTCCTTTTACTCAAATCCACAGATCATGCGGTGCAAAGCCGCGCGGTCTTCGAAAACGTCTCAGACGCGTCGCTCTATAACCAGCTGGTTGTCGTCCAGACGGAGCGACAGAAACCAGCAGAGGCGACATAGCCAGCGCAGCACGTCAGCCACCGCCTCGCGTGCATACAAAACACACCCGAGCGTCCAGCCAGTCCGCGCAAGGCCGTAACCCTAGTCGTTACCGACCGATAAGACAGGCGCGCTGCCTCTTTGTTCATTCGTTTCGTCGGCCGGCCGACGGACGTTGTGGCCTCGTTTCGCCCTTCCCTCTCTGCCCTCGAGTTCCTCATTTCTCTCTCGACGCCACCAGAGTCAAAAATGAGGCGATTCCAATGGCCGTCGCCTTTGCTCGGTCTCAGCTTCCTCGTCTTGTCCGCCGTGACGCTGGACAAGTCCCACGCAACTTTCGAAGCTCTTGCCGCTTCCGAGTGCTGCAGTAAGTGCATTGGGAAGACGTCCAAGGCCGTGTACAATTACGACCCCGTGATCTTTGATCAGTGCACGGCAGTGGACAATGGCGTCTGCTGCTTTGAGTGCGGGAACTTGGGCGACCCCATGTATGGCGACACGGTGTCATACGGAGACGACGGTGTGACGGCTGTTGTCAAGGCAGGTTCGTACATCTCGTTCACCTGGAGTGGCGTGGAGAACGTGACGTACGTGTCACTCAAGACCGGTCAGAAGAAGACCGTGACGCCGACCGTGTCCGACCAAAAAGCGACGATCAAGTCGGACACGTTCTTGATCTGCGCCAAGTCGGCCGGCACGATTTACTTTCGCGGGTGGGGCAGCGACGCGTGTCGCGAGGCGTCCCCGGAACATCTGATCAAAGTCGAAGCTGGGGACTCGAAGAGCGACAACACGTGCGACGTCAGTGACGTCGTTCTCGAGACGACGAAGGCGCCAAAGGCCGACGACTCGGCAGGCTCGAGTTCCTTTGCTGCTGACTCGACGGTCGCCCAATGCAATGCCCAGAGAGCCAGTGTGCAGGTAGTGGACGGCACGCGCACGTGCGTGTGTGTCTCGGACTGGACGAACCCACCCGAGTGTGATCGCTGGCCACTGTGGAAGTGGCTCGTGACGGTGGGCGGTGGCGTGGCGGCCTTGTTTTCCATCATCATTTCCATCCGGGCGTTCCTTTCGAGTCGCAAGAAGAAACAGGACGTCGAGTGTGCCCCGATGGGGACGAAGAGCAGCAACATGGAGACGATGCAAGTGACGCCGGACAACGACTACCAGGGCGCTACACATATGGCTGCGTACAAGTACGACCCCGAGTCGGATCGAGCGAATGGAGGGGCCAGGAAGGCGGATGACCGTGAATTCACGCTTTGACGAGGTGGAGAGGCTCACGGCACATAACATTATCTAGCGTGGCCCCAGACCTGACGCAATGTAAGCGAACAGCACTTGTCTTTGTGTATGTTGTTGTTGTTGTTGTTTGGCTGCATTCTCCTTCTTTTTCTCTTGTTGAATGTCCACACGACGCTACTTTCTTGATGCAAATGTGGTGAAAGGCCACTGCATCAGGCTTTGATGCCTCTACCGATCGATCACGTCTGACGACCTCACGTGCATTGGATGGAGTGTGTGTTTTGTACGATGAATGGCGACATCGACGACGAGCTTCTCCTAGCAAGATGCAAAAGTTGATAAGCGGCTGCGTCGAATCGAAGATGCGATGCGTCGATCAGCACGATTGTCGACACGGTTATAAGTGAAGCTTTTGATCACAGCCAGTGAATGATTGACTTCCTATTGTGATGTCAACCAGGTGAGGCGAGGCAAATGACCTTGGTATGGAATCCGTGGTCCAGCAATGTGTACAACTAGAAGCAATCGAGGCTTTTAGAAAAGATTTGGCTGGATATGAACATCGCCGCACGATGAGTCGCTTCCGGTAAGGCAATTCGTCCCTTGTGCGATCGACGTCTTTCCGTAGACGTACGAGCAACGACGTACGATACAGCGAGCTACCTAGTGGCGTACGATCCTGTCTGCACCTTGAGAGACACTAAATTCTTACCTCATCGCATTTGCTGAATGCCGGCCACATCTTGTAGAATTCGAACTGCGTTGTTCCAGGTCTTTTCTGCTTGCCGCATACCAACTAATGGCACCGTCGTCTCTCACAGCCATCATCACCACGTCGTGCCAGTCCACATCGTCGTCGATCGAAGGTTGTCTGTCTTTTTTGTCCTTCGTCACAGTCGCTCTGTCGTGCACTCGTGCAACTGAGACTTTCAAGACTTTTCGAAAGACTCCTCTGCTGCCATTCACTCTGCACTCGACAGCCTTTCAGCCACAATGGTTCTACACTGGTCCATTGTGCTGGCTTCCAGCTTTGCCTTGTCCGCCTTAACGCTCGAAGCGACGCAAGCGGCAATTGCCGCTGCTGACTCTTCTGAGTGCTGCAGTAAGTGCATTGGTAAGGCATCGAACTCTGTGTACAATTACGACCCCGTGATCTTTGATCAGTGTACGGAAGTGCACAATGGCGTCTGCTGCTTTGAGTGCGGGAACTTGGGCGACCCCATGTATGGCGACACGGTGTCATACGGAGACGACGGCGTGACGGCTGTTGTCAAGGCAGGTTCGTACATCTCGTTCACGTGGAGTGGCGTGGAGAACGTGACGTACGTGTCACTCAAGACCGGTCAGAAGAAGACCGTGACGCCGACCGTGTCCGACCAAAAAGCGACGATCAAGTCGGACACGTTCTTGATCTGTGCCAAGTCGGCCGGCACGATTTACTTTCGCGGGTGGGGCACTGATACGTGTCGCGAGGCATCCCCCGAGCACTCGATCAAAGTCGAAGCTGGGGACTCGAAAAGCGACAACACGTGCGATGCCAGTGACGTGCAGGTGAGTACAACTTTCACTGCCGATAGCACGAGTTCAGGGTCTGGTTCTGTAGCAGTGGATGAGACGGTAAAAAGCTGCAACGTCCAGCGAGCGAGTGTCCAGACAGTGGATGGCGTGCGCACCTGCGTGTGCGTTTCGGACTGGACGAATCCTCCAGAGTGTGATCGCTGGCCACTCTGGAAGTGGCTCGTGACAATTGGCGGTGCTGTTGCTGCTCTCTTTTCTATCATTATCTCGGTGCGTGCACTACTTTCGGGTCGCAAGAAGGAGGAGGAACAGAAACACTTTCGACAGGATGTGGCTCAAGTCACGCCAAAGTGTGCCATCGGGACGCTACAGCTGACGCCTGACACGATTTACCATGCAAATGGGGTGCCTTCGTCCAAGTATGACCCCGAGGAAGACCGGTCTTCGGCAGCCCCTCGGAAACCCGTGGACAACGAGTTCACGCTATGAGCTGTTGCGCAACTGCTGCATCACAAACAGCCGTACTGCACAACCACACCCTACTTTGCGTGGTCGAAGCGAACTCGAGCAGGTACTTAAGGTCTTTAGTGGCGGCTCGATTTTGCCATTGAATTAGCTACTGAAAATACAAATGATTCAATGTGCGTCCAAACAGCTGCGTGGTCGATCGACTAGCTAATGTCCCGCGAGTCGTCGATTGTTGTGCTCTCTGTAGCATGTATCGGCGCTGTTCTCGTCGTATTGCTTGATGCAGTACCGCGCACGGTTGAGGGTCGTATACACTAATAAAAAGTCGCCAACCTGCGATTGGCAAGAAGCCACATAAGTGGGCGATATCATGGCGACTAAGTCAGCGTCTCCCACTTGTCGTTCCCACCGATACTTTGTTGCATTAGTCAGCAGCTAACTGCACATCCGTCCGCTAACCATGGAAAAAAAAGCGTGATACACATACTGCTAAGCTTTCTTAAACCTGCACGATGCGAATGTCGATTTCGACGTGCAGACGTCCATTTTCCTTGCTCTACGACCTGACAATCACGCCACCATGTTCGCTGTCTTAAGTTTGAGTTAAACCAAACTAAATGATTATCTCTACCGAAACTGGCTTATGCACTCGCTGATGTTCATGCATAGAGTATGCTTCAGCCAGTCATTCGTGTGAGCATTCCTAGCATATCAGAAAACAAGCGACGCTCACGAATCTCAAGTGGCAAAAGTCTGTCAGGTACCCATCGACAATACAACAGGCTGCCCGTCCGCCTCTATTTATTCTTCTTACGCTTCGTGCACTCGTGCAGTCTGGTGTTTGTTGTCGATTCCACTTGTCATTTTCTATTACAAAGCACCTCAGCACTAGCAGCAGGATGACTCAGCAGTTCGTAGTCCAGGTTCTGATCTTCTATCTGGTAGCCATTTCCTCGTCCTTTCGTAAGGTCCAAGCCACCACGGAAGCAGTTGCCGGTAGTTCATCTACCGAGTGCTGCAGTAAGTGCATTGGGAAGACGTCCAAGGCCGTGTACAATTACGACCCCGTGATCTTTGATCAGTGTACGGCAGTGCACAATGGCGTCTGCTGCTTTGAGTGCGGGAACTTGGGCGACCCCATGTATGGCGACACGGTGTCGTACGGAGACGACGGCGTGACGGCTGTTGTCAAGGCGGGTTCGTACATCTCGTTCACCTGGAGTGGCGTGGAGAACGTGACGTACGTGTCGCTCAAGACCGGTCAGAAGAAGACCGTGACGCCGACCGTGTCCGACCAAAAAGCGACGATCAAGTCGGACACGTTCTTGATCTGCGCCAAGTCGGCCGGCACGATTTACTTTCGCGGGTGGGGCACTGATACGTGTCGCGAGGCGTCCCCGGAACATCTGATCAAAGTCGAAGCTGGGGACTCGAAAAGCGACAACACGTGCGATGCCGATGACGTGCTGGCGAGTACAGCTTCGAGTGCTAGTAGAACAAGTTCAGGGACCAGTTCCGGTTCCGGGGCGATGGATGAGACGGTAAAAAGCTGCAATGTCCAGCGAGCAAGTGTCCAGACAGTGGATGGCGTGCGCACCTGCGTGTGCGTTTCGGACTGGACGAATCCTCCAGAGTGTGATCGCTGGCCGCTCTGGAAGTGGCTCGTGACAATTGGCGGTGCTATGGCTACGTTGTTTTCAATTGCATTATCTGTGCGAGCTTTCGTGCAAAATCGAAAGAGGAAGCAAGAGGGGGAGGACAAAGTGCACGATGACTCGGACTCGACCAGTTACGGGGGTGCGTATCAAGAGAATTTGGCTCCGATGGGTTTGAAGAGCGACCTCAGTCCAATGGATTATAGGATCGAAAGTGAGTACCATAATGCTGCAGCTATGACCCCATCGAAGGAAGCTGAACGCACACCCGGTGGTACTCGAAGACCGGATGAGCGATTATTTTCACTTTAGTAAGTGGCGATTTGTACTTTATCTAACCGATGGCCGTTCGAGATCGCTCCTCCTATGCTCATGATCAGGAAAAAATATATTTGAATGCCATATGAGTCAAGCCCGTCTAAAGAAAGCTCTTGAGTCGTTTTAGTCTCTGACTCGTACCCAACTAGTTTTTTTTCCGTCCAAGCAAAAAATAAAATGAGCTGATGCTACCGCAGCTAATTCGCTGATTGTGCCACCGGATCGGTAGTCAAAGACCCCGAATTGCCTGTTCTATCACTATTTGACTAACCGCAACTATTAATGTGCGTGCTATCATCGAAAAGTGCTCTGCAAACATGCCATAAAAAATAGTTATGATTGCAGTCAAAAGCGCAGGGGTGTCGGCGCAGCTCTTCTTAATGTTTGCTAAATCCTGGGATGGAGAAATTAAGATGCGAATCTCGGGATGCTTACGGATAAGCTTGGCAATGTGATGATTGTGGCGTCGAGCCCATTTTGCAGCTCGCGTCGCTGTTGCATAAACTATAATATTACATTAAGTCGTTGCTGATAACTCACCAACTGATCGTCCAAGGTAGCATGTTTTAAATAGATAGCGCTGGGCCGCGCGGAGGGGTAAGACCTATCAGTCTGCTTACCAGGAGCGCACCATTTTATCATTCTTAATTTTAGTGATTGTAGCACGGACGAGATGCCTCCGTTACATGATACCTTACACATGGCAAAAACGTCAAGCATGGAAATTCATGAGAACAAACCTAATGTTCTTACAATTATGGCTAAATAAACAATATTGTGTTTCAGAAGTACTACACTGCTCATTGGTTGTTATAGAAGTAGTAAACTGCTCATGGGTTGGCATTGATTAAAAACATTAATTATTAAATTCGAGCCACGACATGAGAACGCGATGAGTGGTTAGCAGATAGTGTAGCGGAGCTACACAGCTCCTTAAGTCAGAGGAAGACTTAACGCTCTACGAGCAACTTAGTTCCAAAGAGCGTACGACTTTACGAGTCAACAAGCTTTACAACTTTAGATCCCTGTTCCAGGGGACCTAACGATTCAGTGAATCGACACCACTCAGTGATTAAGAGTAGCCACCTCAAGGAGGTGTTGTTAACTCTTAGTGATCATTGATCAACGATCAAGACGGCTCGCAAGCCACGTGTCCTTCAGATCAAAATGGGAACTGATTTTATTTTTGTTAAAGCCTATAGAATATCTAAATCCTACTCAAAGATCTTCCGTACCTAATGGATGACACTCGTCAGCCCCTACAAATGAATAAGACATTCTATATCACCTTCACAAAGGGGCACCCTCAGGTGTGTAACACCTCTGGTACAAAGTACCATAATTTCGTGCAACCCCGTTACAGATATTTACAAAGCACGCTTGTATCAAGATATAGCTATAAGAAACTAAAAAATGATTTATTAACATGAGATTAACGGTACTAAATAAAACTCTACGTTTTACCCTTTATCTCTGTTGTTGAAACATTTCTCTGCACGACGCGTGTATATGAAGTCTCGAGGCACCACCTTACTCTGTGATCAGTGTAAGCAGCTTGTACTATGACAGTACGAGCGACCGGTGCCCCGTTGCACGCACCGACTACAACATGTCAGGTAGACTCACATGTACTCACCCAAAAATTGGATGTCGATATTTTCGTCGCTATTGCAAGCGTAGGCGATTGCACCATTATTGAGAACTCACATTGTTTTCACAAAAAAAGCTGCATTTTCTCGTGTGTGCGTGTGCAGATAAAACGGCGAGACCAGCATAACATAATTTCCAAGGGTGACGCCTTCCTCGTGACCATTGAAAGATCGATAAGTTTCGTAGAAACCACACTTCTGTAACAAAGCATAATAAATTCGATAAAAGCCAGCTCGTTAAGCTTTAAATTACCACAAATGCAAAAGGCTGGGTTCATCTTCGATCGACTGGGTCATTTTTAGCTAAAACATTATGCATAAATCTCATGTTGTTGTATTGTCTTGTAAACAGCCCCCCCCAAAACGTGCGTTTTCGTGACTGACTAGCCAATGTAGTATTCCCAGGACGGTCTCGCGTTCCACCAACGATGTACGTTACCTGTTGCTGGGTTGTTTTGATGTTCTAGTCCGTGCACTAACTCCCAGCGTCATCGAAAGATCTCCGCGAGATCTCAAAAAAAAAATCACGTATTCGCACTTCAGCTGCGATTACTAACATCCACGTCTATTTTTTTCATGCGGATTTTCGATTATAGAGCCGACTGCGGCGATTTCAACGTTATGGATTCTCGGTACTAGCTATTGTGGTTGACTTTTTCAAAAAGGCCACTAGAACGCTTCGACGTGAGAGACCGCCTCTTATGAGCGATCGCGATTGCGCCGATGCATCATACTTAAATGAACGTAGTTTACTATGATGCTTGGAGTTTAGGTGAGTGATATTGCACCTAGTTAGGCGTCCAACAACGATATTTTTAAGGGAAATGAGCACCATCAGAAGGGTGTTAGGACTAGATCTTAGCCTTGGAATGCACTAATATCGTCGCTTTGTGCTTTGCACTGACAAGTAAATATATTTTGATATCAATTTGAATATGCTTGGGAAAAATTTCTGACTAAATAAGGCATATAGTGGGTAATCCCCTAAAAACATAAAAATCGACCCGGCCGAATAAAAATGAACCCAGCCGCTTAGCATTTGCCAAAAAATATGCAGAAGTAGGTGGCGCTAATCAAAATCATTAGTTTTGCTATTCCGTACTGCTAACACTTAAAAAAAACTAGCGGGACTTAAGCAGCTTAAAATGTTGTAATTTGTTTAAATAATGCGAGATATAGGAGTTCAGATGTACAGAGATTGTAGACCTTCCTTTGGCTTCTTTTAGTTTCCTGCATACCCCCTCAAACTGGCTTTAATTAAAACATGTAGAATAGCTGACCACACCGCATTCTATCATCAACTGCTACAAATTTCTACTAAAGCGACTGACAGTATACGCGCTGACCTAACGCGTACTGGGCAAGGCAATATCCCGTTTACACTAAATATAATGATCAGTAGATTCAGGAGTCTACATGAAACTCCAACCAAGTTGGCAGAATAAATACGGAGTAACACATGACGACGCAACTCAATATTTATTCTGTGCAAATCCCCACACGTTCGTCAGACGTACTGACTTGAGCAGTAGTGTTGCTGCACGTAACGAGTCACTCGATGCTGTAATAACTTGCATGCATACTGTTAGGGCACTACGTGCATCTCCAACACGTTGATACTGCAACTTCTCTTGCTAAGCATAAACAAGGAATCTCCGTCAGAATTGTAGAACGGAAAAATGGTCAACCACCACTCGAATCGCCTATTTTGTATTCACATTTGTTTATGCAACCTATGTCTAGTTACTGGAACTCTTGCTCCTGCATCATAATTTCGGTTCCGCGCATGACATAACGCTTCTATCTTCCACATTAGAGCACACACATCGATTGTTTTATTGAGTGTGTCCTAGGCACTTCGACTGTCACCGCCAGATGCTCTTACGGACTGCAAATGTCGTCGCTACAACAGTAGATTGTGCCAAGTGCAATCTATTGATGTAAACTAAGTGCTACGCCCCACCGCTCTCTACAAGCTCATGGTCACAATATACACGTCATACATTCTCAGAAGTACTCGTCTTGGACACATTGCTTCAAATAACTCGGCCGTCGCATGCGGCACAATGCCGACTACACTGCCCAATGTTTCATGATATGACCTTAACGGACGTCAAGAGCTTTCACGTCCTCGTTCATGTATCTTCTATGCGCTCCACTCTTCTAGCTTTCGTTGCCGCATCCTCTCCAGCTGAGTAGAAAAAGACCTTTTTGATAGCTTAGTACAGCCAAAGCCGTTTTGGTGCCGTCTGGCCCTCGTACAAAACGTCTCTTCAGATTTTATCGGTTTTTTTATCAGTTTTGATCCCGCTCAAAGCTCCAGCTTGGATAGAGCCGTCATGAGTATCTATGAATAAACAAAAGCAAGTGCAAGGACATCGCGGTAAGAGCGGGACGTATTTCTAAAAGTATTAAGAAGAAGAACTCGCTGTTGAGCTTGATGATGGCATCTTAATTAAAAATTATGCATAAAATCATTGTTCACGCTAATCTATTGTCCGCAAAACGTTCGACGCCTTTCAGTACGAATCAGAAAAACTCATAATTTATGATAGCTCCGATCGTAAAAGCGTGACAAATAAAGCAATTAGGACTCAAAAACCGCCCCCTTTATACACCAAACACTGTATTATCTAAATCTTTAAGAAGCTGTAATAGATCGAAATCTCCGGATTTACTTCTTTATCTACAATGAGCTTATTTAATTTCATCTTTTTACACCGAGCAACTAAAGAAAACAACGTATACTTCTACTCTAAGCTTGAGCTAGTTTCTTTAATTGTTGGTCGTGTATTGGGTGCATTTCTTTCGATAACGAGTCAGAGTCAAGTTTTTAGTTTGCAAAAAAATCTTCCACATCTTTTATTTCGATACAAATAGATGTAAAAGAACCACTTCTTTTTTGGTTAGTTTTAATTTCGTTTTTCATAAAGTAGACTTGAGTCACACAATTTTTCAGCTAAAAAAATAATATTAAAAATTGCTATTAAGTTTACAGTTAAAGTTAGTACGTAAAATGTAATAGGTAGATGTAGCCCATAGGCGTTTTGTGGCCCCCAAAATGTTTAAGGCCAGGCAGCCATATCACCTGAGAATGTCACATCAAAGTGGTCACATCGATCAGGGACATTTTTTTGTGATGGGCTGGTTTTCTGTGTGCAGTTATTCACAAAAACGATCGCAATACTGATTAAACTTGAAGCTCTATCGAATGGGCACACTCAGGCAAGTCCTGCTTCGAATTCGATCCTGAGACCCAAATTTATTGTTAAGATCTTCAGATGAATTTATCCTGAAGCGCTCCTGGCAAATATCTCGATAATTTGTGCATAAATCGTGTGCAATTTTACACTAAAATTAATTTTCTTCATCGTTTCTGCTTTTATTTCGAGCTGACTCGGCGCCTGAACTGAATCCTTTATGTTCCACTTGCACGTCAGTGAGTTTATAATAAGATAAACGTATAGAGGAGGGTGAATATTCTTGGTGTTTGTGACCAATGACTACCCTCACCAGCTTCCAATTTCCGATTGTCCATATCATCATCAAATGGTGAAAAAGGAGTCTGTAATCCAGCGAATAGCAGTGCATCGCATTTTTTTTCTTTGGTACACGTTGTTACTGCTACTGCCACGCTATAAGAAAGGTGCACTAACACTGTCACTCATACCTGTGTTTGTTTACTGTACTACCTAAGCCATCAGCTTGACTAATCTTTCTGCGATCGAATTTCCCCACAGCCAGTGAACTCAGCCCTAATTTAAATGAGCACAGCCATGGGTGCTCTTCTAAAGCATAGCCACAAATATTTTATAATGTGTAAACGAAGCTTATCTTCTCTTTATCAGATAAGAGATCAATTTGGTAGAAAATGGTCAAATTTGTGTTATAAAATAGATCAATCAAATGTTCTACGTTAACTGGATAACTCGCGACACAAGGATAAAGTGAATATGACTTAGTAGAAATATATATAAGCTATTTCCTTTTTTTATTTATATAAGGAGATGCAAAAAAATCAAAGGAGCATATGCAGATCATCATCCGATAACTTATGGGTGCAATCGACGACAATTCGATAGCCTCATTGAGGTTATAATTTATAGCGGTTGCTCTGTATTGTACATAGCGGAACTAACAACTAAATAGAAAAAGGAACCCGGGCAACTAGACCACCCCACTGCACCCTGTAACAAGCCAGATTTAAGGCTCAAATTTTTAATGAATGTTGGGATCAGGTGATGCGTTGCGCATGTGCGCTGTTTAATTACAATATATATATATATATATATATATGTTATGGGTAAGGGAATGTGTATGTTTCATTGTGCGCATGAATTGTAGTTTACGGTGCGCGCACTTACAATGTACGTACATAGCTTAACTGGGTTAGTGCGGCAACACCATCCGAGAACAGTTCCAGGATCAGTCAAAGAAAAATGAAAAGATTGTGCTTTCAGGTCCTGCTGTATAGGTTATATTACTTCCTGCCAGCTGTTACGTCCTGACTTCTTACTAGAATGAGTCCATTATAGCGATAAGATGGACGTCGTTGCTACAAACATTTGCACAGAAGAATGAACGTGCAGTAGATTAGAAGCGCACACGTTGGAGAATCATGCATTTATTTATGAAAACACATTAATAGTTACTGATTCGCTCCAGACTTAATCGAAGTTACGTATCAGGTTCCTTGTCTCGTTTGACTTGTGCCTAAAGACATAAAGCACGTTACCAATTTTTTCTCCAATGCAGACAATTACTAGAGAGCAAAGAATTCATGCAAATTTTCAGCTTTTACCACTATTTTGCCTGTTTAAACATTGCCTAGACGGTTAAAGATGTCGCATATTTGGCTCATTAATGGGCAGCGTATTGAAAATGCAAGGGAAAAAAATCCAGAATTATTGCAGCCAGTACTGGCTAAACGAACAACCAAGAAGTTCAGCCCTTCCAAAAAGCTTTCACAGGTATGAATCATAAAGATGATGCTAAAGCGGGCTAATCTTGAACCATGGAATTAATTAGCATAGATGCGAGGCACCGTTGGCTAAAATTTTGGAAAAGTAATATCTGCCTGCGGTAAGTCGTTCAGTTTGCCTCCTTCTAGCGTAGGCTCCTGTATTGTGGATATCTTCGTATACATTTTTTTCATCAGAGGTCATTTGCCTCAGGTGCATCCTTTCTTCGTATGGCTTTCCTCACTAAAAATTGCATCGGTCAGAGCGACATGTTCGTTGATGGACTGTGACCGTTGGTCACGACAAAATTCCTGAAGGGTGCTTGACCAGTGGTATTTCCACCAGCGGCCCCTCATTTTCCTACATCGGGTCTGCTTAATGGTCAACTTGTTCGATAGTTGGCTTCACATGCCAATTTAGCAACTCAGCATATCATTGAGAGCTCATCAAGAAGAATGCTTGCATTCTTGGTACTTGGTCCATCGTCATCCACATACCTATCTTGGTATCTTCATGCAATACAAAGTTGTGGATGCTAGTGTCAGTCTCCTTAAAAAAATTCGACGTCCTACCTCTTGAATTTTTTTTGTGACCCACCGTCCTCCTCCTGCGACCAACAATTTTCTCTATTCCGTGGTAGAACTTTTTAAGGATATTTTTCATACCATTTAACAGGGATTTGTTCATACTGACCCATCTACACGTCTGCCACGTGGCTATCGAAAATTGTTTTCGATTCGGATAATTGCACTTGATTTATTGTCGGAGAAAGAGAGCACTTTATCTGCCAGGTATAACGGATACGACTCGAGTCATGAAGTGCATGCCCAAGATGACATCTCGGTCTTAAATACGGCCTACACACACATAAAAAATGTACACCAGATTTCCCAAGCAGAGTAATCTTAATGCAAGTGCGCTATGCCGTAGCATATGCGTATTTTAAATGCTTACGCACTCTTGTCGTTTGCTTTCGTCAATTTGGCAGCCCATCTTACAATCGAAGGAGGTAGTCGCATGGATGTGTGCGCACCACTATAGATCAACAAATTGAAGTGATCATTTTGCTTAACTTTCTGGATGCTTAGCTTAATTTAACCACTTCGTGGGCGCATTACAATCAATGTCACCTGGAAATTTTCGATAAAAAGGCTAGCTTTAGCACTGAATTTCTTGAAGCAAAGTCGTTGGTTACATAAAAAAGCAAAAGGACCATAGTGTATTTCTCAATATTCTACATAATCGCAATCTTCTCAGCGGATGTGCTAATCTCGTTCTTAAGCTGATATTTACAGGGGCAAAGAAACAGATATCAGAAAGCTCAGATCATGCCAGAATCACACCTGATGAGCGTCCCACCTTAACATCTTCTCGGTCGTTTTTGGCAACATCCCATTGCTCTGGATTCTGTTGTGCTTTTGCCGAATCAAGTAGCAAAACTTTATTTGGCACATCTTGACTTCATGTGTCTTCCCATACCCTCGGCACACAATCAAGAAGCAATCCGATAAGTGGCCCTCCTTCCCACAGAGTTCACAGGGCATTCGCTACAAATTCCTTGTCTTTTTGTTTTCCGAACAAACAATGGACCGGCCGACGATGAGCTGATTTTGGTCCCCCTCCTTGGTGAAAAATGTTCATTATGCTTGGTTAGGTAGAAGTAAAAAAAATGGAAAAAATATCCTAGAATAAGGTGAAAAGGAGAAAAGCCGAGCAACCAATAGGAGGCCGGAAAACGAACGGACGAGAGAAGCCGAAACGAGTGGACGAAAGCCAAGAACCTGGGACAGCGAATAGAGCCAAGGGAGAGAAAGCCGACCATTTGACAAAAGGCATGGGCAACATCAGCTACACGCCGGAGACGTGGCCGCCACCAAGCGACACGGTACCACCAGTGCCAGAGCGGGCGGACTTCGCGAGCGGCGCTGAAATCAGCGCAGCCGTTCACGCGCGATCGTGCCTGCTATGGAGATGGCGCCGTAATTATGGCCGCCTGAAGAGGGACCGCGAGGAGTACCCCGATCAATGCGGGCTGGAACAGAGGACTGTTCACGCGAAGCGGGCCAAGAAGGCCAAAGACCGGCACGGAATCGCGCGGACGCGGAAGACGAAGCACCCCTGGAAGTAGACGAAGTTGAGCGGGTGTAGCGTCATAGCAGCTGTCACGGGAGAACGCGCCGCGGTGGACGAGGCCGGCCGCCAAGACGACGAAGAGAAGGACGATGCGGTAATGGACTACGACGGCGGCTGGGACGACGGTAAAGGCGACGGCGAGGAAGAGCCAAGCGAGGTGATTGACCTCGCCCAAGACTTGGAGGACGAAGAAGAGGCCGCAACAGAGACGAGCAATGGCTGATCGAGAATACGCCACCAGGACAGCCGGTCCCAAGGCCCACCTAAGTCCGCGAGGTGAAGATGATGCGAAACCCGGACAAGATATCGTTTTCCAACGAGGGCGTCCAGGAGGAGAAGTGCGGGTGCGTGGGGTCCTACGAGCTCACGGAGTGTGCATACGCAGTTGAAGCACAAGTCTGTGAAGAAGAGACGTGTTCCTTGGGGGAGAAATGGTGCCGAAACCGGTTTTGAACCTGTCGCCTGCAGTTCCGAGTCACGCGCCAAGGAAATAGGCGTGTTCGCGGCAAGGCCGATTGACGCAGAACAGTGGTGTATCAATACTGGGGAACGTGTGTAGCCACCGCCCAACCCAATGCAGCGTACACGATCAAGCTGAACGCAAGGGACGCAGAAGGGAGGCAGGTGTTCGTGAGCGCAGTGCATGGGGGCTGTAAAGCCCGGTTTGTCGCCCACGCCTGTAACCCGAACACCGATTACGTTGAGGTGCGAGGACTCCGCAGGGTTGTCGTGTCGCTCGTGTCCCAGAGGGCAATAAAAAACGGTGAGGAAATAACAGCGGACTTCACGGACGCACTGGGGACCTATTGTGGTTCCATTGCCATGACCCGGTCCACAATGAGGACAAAAACGCCGCGCTGCGGCTGCTCGGGATCAAACAGGAGCTGCAAGGTGAAGGAAAAACAAGGATGAGCAGGGAGTAGGGTCGATAGGGTAGGGAAGCCACCACCCCTTAATCGGAAGTAATGTGAATCAGGCCTGACCTTGGCAAAGCCCCACCGTAACCAATGAAATGTGACCCGGCGAAATACAACGAGGCTGGAAGACGCGTGCAGACGGTAGCGGCATAAATCCGGAAGCAAAACACCGTTAATAGGCCCCAACACACGTGGTATACCTTCTAATCACGCTAGTCAAAGTTCAGGGTCGGAGCTATTCCGGTTCAAAGGGGTCGGGACCCCAAAACAGGAAAACCGATACAAGAAGCTCGGTGAAATACAACGAGGTGGGAAGACACGTGCAGACGGTATCGGTATAAATATGGAAGTTAAACACCGTTACAATGCCCCAACGCACGTAATAGACACTCCAATCACGCCAGTCTAATTTCAGGGTCGGAGCTAAACCGGTCGAAGAAGGACGTAAACAGGGTGTAGAGAACCAACAAAGCGACCTCACACCTGCTAAAGAAGTGTGCGGCAAAATTGGGCCAGTTTTGAGTTGGTCGATGTTAAAGAAGCCATCGTTTGAGATGGACCCGTGTATAGGCTGTAGCCCGGTTGAGAGGCACCAAGTGCGACGAAGGAACTTGTTGATAGATCCGATCGTTTCGGTGCAGCCAGAGAGGGTGCAGAACCGAGCACCGGACAACGTTAAAGACGAGAAACAATTTGTGGTGGGAATAAAGCTGAAGGCTATCCGGGTTGAAGAATAAATCCTGGAGATAGAGCACGTGGGACCAGCAAATATCTTCAACAACGAGAGCAGCGATAGGCTGCAATAAGCGCGACCACGTATCCCGAGCAATAGGGCAGGCCCAGAAGAGATGGGATGTAGACTCGACCAAGCGACAACTGTGCGGGCAAGTCACCTCACCCGTGTGGTAAGAATGTTTGCGACGGACCCCCAGCGCAATATGTTAAATCCGAAACCTTAGGTCACTAAGCACGGGGATTACGAAACGGTCCGAAGATAAATCGAGCTTCCACAAAGCCGCCCAGTTAGGGGCCACGGGGACACCATTGGAAACGTGAGGATGTCGTGAGATTGGAGGCAAGGCATGTAGCAACCGATATAGACGATAATTCGCGAGACGGCCGCAGTCAACTCCCTAAGAGGACCACCCGTGAGATGCACATGTGATGAGGGGTGGGAGGAAGGGGCTAAAGGGGTGAGAAGCACAAGCAATCTCCCAGCCACGCACCTTCTTTTTAAAGGGGGAGCACTCGAGGGACCGGAGACGAGGGCTCCCGAAATCCACATGTTCCAGAATCGAGAGACGGAGCGTGGTGTCCGGTAGACGTCTAAAGCGAGCAAGAAATCACTGGGCCGGACGAAACCCAAATCGCGAAAGTGCCGCGCGAGAAGAGGAATCTTTAAAGAGGCGGCGCAGCGCACCAACGCGGTAACGATAATTTCGCCACAGCGGGACGTCCAGTAGCGAACGATCGTGACATGTGGTGTAGTGAGCTGAGCTGATTCCCGTAAACGGTACCAGGTCTGGAGAGTGGCGTACCAAAATTGACCTAAGATGGCCCATTTGAGGAGGAGCTGCAACCGATCGGGGTAACAGGCAAACAGCATGTCGAAACCCAGAAGAGCCGAGAACAGAAGGAAATAAGGTCATACAAGGCGTGATCCAACGAGAAACTCGTACAGCAGACCAGGCAGACGCTATAGCGTCCCGCAGAGAGCACAGCTTCAGTGACTGCGCAAAGACAGCAATATTCGGGAGGCCAAGGCCGCCTCGGGGGGGTAGGCCAGTACAGCCACTCTTCAGCCATAGGCCCCCTCACAATGGCCGACGACGAAATGTCACGCTTGAACAGGAACGACTTGCAAAGAGTAGTGACTTGAGACGCCACCCCCGCGGGCATGGCGAGACAGCAGCCGCGTACCACAAAAGTGGGAGAACAATGGTACGAATAAGAACCGCACGACCCCGAAGAGTGCGGGCCCGATTACGCCATAAATGGCAACGAGTGACCATGAGAGGGATGATCCGATTGTAGCGATGGATAGAGGGTAGGCAAGGGCTCTGATCCCCCTACTTGGTGTAGATGTTAGTCGGCCTCCCATTGATTTTAACCCCTAGGAATCCTCAGACCTGGTCCTTACTCGCTTCCGTTTCCATTAAATGTTCTTGCCTAGTACATCCTTCGTTTTTTTAAGTTGGATAGGATAGGTTCCACTAGCTCGATTTTCCAGATCATCCGAACTACATGCACAGAGCGGCAGTGTACCTATCTTCTCTGTCGAAAGATGGTATTTACTTTTGACAAAATTGAACAACAAAAATAAAGTCTTACCTTGTCATGCTTTCGTTAATTGACGCAATCTCAGCATGTTCTACAATCATTTTACATCCACCAGACGTAGCTTAGTCAATTTGTCTGCCAGGCACGGATCGTAAAAAACCTTAATCAAGTGCTCGACCAGTCAAGCTTTTAAACTTTGATGGACTTTTTTTGATCTTTAAGTTTTCCTGAGTCCAATCGCATTCCTATGGTATAGATAGTCCATAATGTATTCACTTAACACCCTTCTAATGGTATTACTGGCGGGCAACATCTACAACCACACCGCAGAATGGCATCTGGACTTGTGTGCGATAAATCATTCTAAATTTACTGATCAGATCAACCTGGTTGGCGGTACCAGCTTTGCGCTGGTTAATGGACCCTTTTATTTTTAAACAAGACACTTTTTACTTGTCCGATGCTTGATCTCTCTTGTATGCAGTACTTACAGCTGTTACTCAGCTCCATGATCGATCCTTGCCTCGATACCTCTCATGAAGTTCCTTGAGATCTGAGATCGCTAATAGCTTGTGCGGGGAATCATATTGTGCGCCTGTCCTTGTGTAGCATTAGTAATCCTTGCGGCGGTTCTTTAAGATCCTTTTGATCTTAGTCGTACTCGCATGGGCCGACCAACCCCACTTCTACACCAGACATTGTATGAATTTCGAGTCTTGCATACTTGGAATCGTGTCTTTTGTCGTCGTTTGTGCCCCCTTATCCCCCTCTGTCTACTTACTCGTTGGGTGTGTCGGTGGTAATTGGCGTGTATTAACAAATTTTGCTATCGCCGCTCCGAAGAACGTCTGCATATCGCCTACCAGGTTGGTAAGCACCTCTCTTTCAATTTTTTTAGGGAACTGAATCAAGTTCTGAAAGATCGCGGTCCATTTCGGGTGGATAGAGGCTAGGAAGTGGGTGACACGCTCTCTGTAATTTATTTAGTCGATGTGAATTGTTATGTGCTAATGATTATCGTTTATGTTGTTGAGGTGCAGAGTCGAATATGAGAGAGGGAGATGAAATTCGATTTTTACCGACAACGCAGTCATAGCAATGGTTTTCGACGACATATATTGTGTAGTGATGGAGAAAAAAAGGTGGCGTTAAATTCCTCTGCCACCGAGAGCGTAGGGTCACCAAAGCTTTATACCGATTCAGTTCAATAATTTCTTTGGACCCCCCAACACATTAATTATATCTGCAGGAGGTGTAAGCTATCCATTGACATTAAGTGTCGAGTATTTATTTTCAGCGGTCTGTATTCACGTCGCCACTTTTAAAGCAATCACATGCGGGATTCGGTGCGCTTGTGTAACCAGCAATTTACATGAGTCGTTACTTGTGACTAAGTCACAGAGATGCACCTGAACTGCTAAATTACCTCTGAGAAGATGAGGAAACAGCGCACTTGGTACGACATGTGAGGTACATCTAGTGTTTTTTTACAAATACACCCACATGAGGAGATATGCTATTTCGAACTTTTTTTTGTACGATGTGTAAGGTACACCTAGGATTTTAAACATGCAGACAGACAGATGGAAGTTGTCTAAACTGTAAAGCTTTCATTTTGCACACAGTAGGTAATGACTCCACCCACAGGGCTTGCAATAAGGAAATTAAAGGGTGCTCACATATACTTGCCAATGTGTATTGCATTCTTCTTTAAAACAATCGATATATGTGTTATCAGTTTTAAATTAAACTAATTGTAGAGGCAACTTAGCGAGGTTTGAGGTAAAAAGGCGTCTTTTTGTAGCTGCAATAAGGATTTATCACATGTGATTCAGTAAAAGGGCACACTAGCGGTGTTCACTTAAAAACAGTTTTATGTTCGTTTAGACTATTATGTTGGCATGTGTATCAGAAGTCAATACCACTCATCGTATCGATATTGGGCGACATGTTTAATTACTTTGAAGATTAATGATAGCGTCAATGTCCGCACCATTTGACACCGGCAGGTCACTTGGATTTCTGGAGGTTGGTAGTTAATCAAGTTCAGCTTTTATCACCCCCTCCTACAATGCTTTCCGAATTTTATATAATCTATTGTGCTCCCTCTTTTCATCATGTTTGCCCTAATTCGAGAAAAGCGAGAGACAAAATCAGTCTTATAACCAGAAAGGCTTTATGCACCTCATTATTAAGCTTATTTGCATTTTAGCCATTTGGTCGAGGATACTTCCATTAACAGAAAGCCGACTATTTTGTTTAGCTTTTCTATATTTATCGTCTTCCCAGTCTTTACGTAGATGTCGATGTCAAAGCGTTTAGGCCACCATTGGTAAACTGTTAGAGAAAGAGACAAGCACGAGAGAGTAACCCCTTTCTTACGGATATCTTGCCAAAACGGATAAACATGGTAGCAAATAATTGACCGATTATGGATAAAGACAATGACACAGAGGAAAAAAATTGGAGCCTTAAATGTGGTTTATGTAATCGAGTTTAAATCTCGAAATCATTCCTTTATTTAACTTACTATTCGATGTTTGTGCAGAGAAGTTCTTCCAAAAGTGATGGACGTGTGTAACAACGAAGTAAAAGAAAAGGATCATTGCACTCGGAAGATAATAATGGAGAGAAAGGGATCATGGAGGTTAAGAGACAATGAGAAAGCACAATTTGTAAGACCAGGGATGATCACGATGAGTTACCTAGTAAAGGATACTTAAAGAATTCGCCACGGCCCCAAATTGGTACGCCAGTTCCCAAGGATTCGACATTGGCACCCCAGGGTCGACCACAGTCCTTCATTGGAAGGCCCGGCCCCTATGGGTAGACCTCGGCCTATCAGATTCGACAACAGCCCCTCATTATTAAGCCTAGACCCTCACTGGTATTATATACGCCCTTCTAGGTCGGCTTCAGACCCTCCTTTAAAGGATTGAATTCTTGCTGGTAGACCTCGTCCCCTTGTTGTCGACTACAGTTGTTCATTGCTGATTCTGATTCCTGCTAGTAGACCACGACCCTACAGGATTGAGGGCAGCCCTCCGTCAGTAGACTTCGGCCTGTTGAGGTAGTCTGAAGAACTTCATTAGCAGAGCTCGATCCCTCGAGATCAAGCTACTCCTGGTCAGTTAAAAAATAGCATCAGAGCGTAGACGAGGGTTGAGTAAAAATTGAGGAATGACACAATTTTAAACACTAGTTAATATGCGATCCACGTGGTACGAATTGTTCTCGTTCCGGAAAAGGAATGCAATTTATTCTTCTTCATCATTGTAGACAGTCGCGTAGCAATACCCAAGTGCGAATAGAAACTTGGCAAGTACTGGCCTGTAGATTCATGTAACGTTGCATCCTCCAATGATCCGCTGTCGGAAGCGGACTCCCCCACCCAGTGGGTCGGGATCAAAGGAAAGGCCACTTGATTTACACCCCTAAGACAACCAAGGAAGTGCAAGAGATGACAAATTTTCTATCGAGTGTTCTCCTACTTGATCAACGAGTGAAACGTGTCTACTCGGGAGGCCCTAGATCTTCCTTTTCAAGCCATATGTACATCCTCACCCAAATTTTCCTAGGAGTCGAGCCTCTATCCGATGGGCACACAACGTGAGTTTAGGTATTTAAGCGGCGCCGGCGTACCCCATCCGTAAGTCGCTTATTCCGGCACAGTAAGTGGTTTGGAGTCTCATCACAAATTTATAGCAATCCACTCCACCACAATGGTGCGCATAACCGGATCTTCAGAAGGCACGATATTTGGCCCCGAGTCTCAAGAAGATAGATAGGTCCAAGTCAATATTCAGCAAAAGACATTAAGTCACTAGAAGATTGATCGCCAATGGCTAAAGAAGAAGAAAAGGATCGAGGCTCGATGGACGTTGGAAGGGATCTGGTTAATATGTTCAAGGTTACAATTATTGAAGAGAAAACTAGATACCCTTCTAATGTCCTCCCTCAAGGACACCTCGGGTCGTTATGCCAATTATGCTCCATACAACTATCATTATACGAGGATACCAAAAGTTACAGGTCACCGAAACAGCAAAAATAGATAGCGAAGTCCAAGCGAAACAGTTTAGAATGAAGGCGCAAGGTGTCACTAAGTCATTAGCCCCAAGATGTCAGGACCGTCGACCCGGTCGCTGATGGATCGATAACCTACCACCAGGGACGTAAGTGACCGACCGATGTCAAGTGACCAGGTCAATCAACCAGTCAATCGACCTAATCGATTAATTAAAGTGACCGAAAGTGACCCCTAAATCAATAGTATCGTAGAAGTGAATGCGACCAGTGTGACCCAAACACAAATGTAAAGACTAAATAAATTATGCTATCTGTCCCACTACTTTTTAGATTGTCTGACACTGTATATGGTTTACTCTAACGTAATACAGATTGACATGAAGCTCTTGTCAACACCCTTATCCGCCGCCTCAGCCGAACGATGTTGGAGCAATTGGGGCTCTATTCACATCAAAAAAGGAGAATCTAGTTTAATCGGTGCAAGAGCAGTAAAAATGATGTGTGTTTACATGAATACGCAAAGCATCAGTGCATTCAGAGGCCCAGCAAGGTCAACAATTCAGCTACCTACGACCGCGGAAGAAGAAGAACAGAGTAGCATTATCTGTCTCGACAGGCGTTAGAGCCAGACGTAATACTTGTAACCAGACGATGTTAAAGCACAACAGTCCAAGGAGATTACTGGACAACATAAAAAGAAGCGCTGTCAAATGACGCGTCAGATGGGACGCGGGAAGACGACGACATAATTGAGTTCGTGACTGCAACTATCCTGGCCGACGCAGTTGCCGAGTTGGTCTTTTTGTCCAAAGGTGCATCTACTGAGGAGGATAGCGAACCTTTTGATGATGTAAATAGTGGTTGTGAAAACGATAGAAACAGCTGAGTAAAAGCGTAGCTGAGCACGGAGGTATACAAGCATCGACACGATAAAACCATTCAAAGTCTGCTAATTTCAAACAAACATCTTTCTTGTGGCCGGTCAACGGTCTACATAATTATCATCATGGTCAATAAACTTGAATGAAAAGCTACCCATGGTTGTTCTTCGTCGAAACGCTTGGCTTTACGGTAACTTGAGGTGATCGTGTGGTAGCGTCTGCTGCTGAAGTTGCGGCAAGCGATTTCCGGCTACTTTCTGGTACGCAGTAGCTGCACTAGCAGGGCCAACAATAGCAGCAACAATGACAAATACATGGCATCACAAATCATAGTGAAAGGCACAGCAAAAACACATCAGCTTCTAAGTGTGCACTTGTTGCTGCTTGACTGCTTTGTCCAGCCTACGTTCAGCGCATCTGCCCGGCGCTCGCAAGCTGCACGTAGTTGGCTTTCCTTTTTGTTATGTCAGTAGCTAGCTGTATAAACAAATTCTAAGCTGTGATTAGCCGAGTCAAGTGTCTGCGGACGTAGTGTCTTTGACCGTGGTACTAACGTTAACGCCGTAGTATTGGTGCGTGTGAGGCTTAAGCGGCACCAAATGAGAAGACATTGTGTAAATTAAGGCCTAGTCACTTATGGTCACTTGATCGATCACTGTGACAGTGACGGCCATTTAAGCATTGCGAAAGGTCAATTAACATCCATGCCTACCACCGACGCCAGCTTGATGCGTTCGGAGAGCGATTCCATCACGAAAACCTCTAGATCCGGCTGCTTGGAAAGTTCGATGGACTGGTGTCGACCCTGTCAAGGCAGTGGACTATAATAGACGCTATCACCGCGATAGTCACGCCCCTTCGAGAAGCAGGCATGGGAGATACTATTTGGTCTACACAATCGCAACTTCATGTAAAGAACGGAAGAGTGTTGAGAGGATTACACCGACGCCCCAGTGTGTACAGAAGGTGAATATACAGAATTCTCGGCCACGGAAAAGGTTCTGGGAATGTGTCTGAGCCGCAGCGCTATGAGACAAATATGGTGGTCAAGGATTGTAGAACAAGTGACTCGCTAGTCGACATGACCCTTTTGACGCTGATGCAAGCAGACGAGCCCATATTATGCTCTCATGCAGATAGAAATCCTGGCAAACAGGTTAAAGGACGGTATAGGCGATGTCAACGCGTATGGACGAGCACTTTGTACGTCCTCACATCGACTTGTCGAACACGACACAATACTTCCTCTCTTACACAGCGCCAACACTAGATGCATGTAGCAACACGCTCCATATTCACACACACGTTTCCAGTGCTAATGTAAATTCCATACATACAAACACCACGTATCGTACGCCTGGAAACTGTCACACACACAAAGTGTCATCCTATGCGACATGAATCGCTGTTGACTTTACAGCAGCTACGACTACATCCCGGAAGAATTGTGCGCTTTAAAACTACATGCCTATTTTAATTTTTAACAAGCGTTCAAGTGACGATCGAAAAATGTGCCAGTCACAAAAAGTTCCATGATGGACGTAATTATTGAGTCGTACAAGCGACCCAGCTGCTCATCGGTTTTTACGATCTCACTAGTCAGAATGCGCATAAAACGTCACGTGTCCAATGTACCGACAGTCCCAGGATTCGGAGCTTTGCCTCAATGGTGCCTTTGTCAATGCAACCGTATTCTTCTTGTATGTCTCACAAAGTCGCACATCGCGATAAAGAACGAAACAAACAATTGAGCTTGGAGTACAAAATTTCTGCATGCAGTCTCTGCAACTAGAGTGACAACACCCTGAGCATGTCATTCACCTATAGCCTTCGGGACTGGGTCTCGGCGTGCAAATCAGCATCCGGATATTGTTGCGACTGCAGGAAGGAGACGGAGCGAGGTTGGCCTCGTGGGTAGCTGATCTGTCCCTGACGCAGGTCTTCAATGTGCTCCGCCTCAAACTCCGCCTCAAAATCAAACGTGGACGACAAGTGCGACGTCAACTGACCGCGGCTCGCAGGCGGGGGAGCCACTGACCACTCTGCAGACGAGGCCAAAGAGCTTTCTTGACGACTCAATCCCATGATCTGCGCGTATGGGAGATCCGTTTTTGCTAGACCCGACTCCTCAAGACTCTCTAGACGTCGAAAGCTGAAGCTGTCTCCATCACCGCGAGAAGCAGGACCGGGACGGACCGAATCGCCAGGATCGTCAACGTTGACACCACTAAAGCCAAACTGCGTAGCGTTAGTTTGGGCATGCGACGCCGCGCTCCTAGCAGGCGGTCCGGTGAACCCGCCACCTCGGATACCACTACCTGTGTAATCGAACTTCACGTTCACGGCGGACGATGCCGGGTTCGAAACCGTACCTGAGCGGTTCATTGCAGCCGACGCTTGCGCGATACGCGTCTGCTGTTTATGCAGATCGTCCACGTCAAATGTATCTGTATCTGTCACCCGGGCCTCCTCCTCAAACACCGCATCGCCCATCGATCTTTGATACTTCTTCTCGGCTTTGGTCTGGATAGCGCCCAATTTCGTGCTAGCACAGAAGGCGAAGAGCACGAGTGTGAGAATCGCGCAGGAACCCGACAGCATGAAACATGACACGGGGAAGGACGGATTCAGCAGGTACACAATGATCTGGACAGCGTAGTACACGCACAGCGACAGCGTCCAGTAGAGCGGTCGACGAGATGCTGGGAACATCTCCAGTGCAGACAACCACGTCACACTCATGAGGCTCAAACCTGCCGAAATATACAGCAGACACAGCAGTGCCTGCAGGAATCCACCGTCGGCCTTCGACACCGCTCCAATGACACCACTAGTGAAGGCGATCAACGACACGAACGGCAAAAACTCTTTCAAGATCGTTTTTCGGCGCACATTATCCATCAAGAAGCTGCCGAACGCGAAGCCAGTCGCGCAGCACAGAGCAAAGTATACTTGCCAATAGTTGTTGGATGCGCCGCTATCGTCTGCACGCACCTGGAGCGTTCGTCGAATCAAAATCGTCTGGGACATGATCAGACCAAACACTGCTTGTAGCGCAAACACGATCGACAGGCGGAACATGAGGTGGTTTTCTCTCGTCTTTTGGGCCATTTCTGCTTGGATGAGAACCAGCTCTGGGTTCACATTCTGACGCCGGCGCAGTCGAATCAGCACAACCCGAGCCAACTCTTCCTTCTTGTGTGCGAGAAGCCAGACCGGGCTCTCAGGCACAAACCACAGGATCACAAAAAAGCCAGCGATCAGCGCGGGCTGTACAATCAGAGGCTGGAACCGCCACATGTTGATAGGATCGTTGTCATAGTCCTCTCTTATTGTCGTACCATTTGTATTTGCCATCAACAACGAGTGCACCAGCCAACCAAGCATGGAACCCATCAGAAAAATGGTCACACTCTTGCCTCGCCAGCCCTTCGTGCAGATCTCGAAGCTGTACAGTAGATAGTTCATCGCCACCATAGCTGATCCCATTGCAGCCAGTGCAAAGGAGACCATGAGAATGGACGTGCTCGTGACAAAATTGAGACCAAGCGAAATGAACATCAGACTTCCACCGATTGTCATATTCACGCGTCTACCGAGAACGCGGCCAATCAGCAGCGATAGCAAAACGGCGACAACGCTAACGGCTGCGCAGATAACTTTCAGGTAGCCGTCCTCCATATAGCTTATCATCTCGCGTCCATTGTTTGGCAGCCTCGAAATCACAAAGTGATAAAACGATCTATTCATAAAATTATCGTCCGGGTTGTTTATGTATCCAAGCGTATACAAGAACGATGTCTGAAAGCCGTGGATAAAGCCGCCCAGCAAACCAAGCAAGATGCACAGCGAAGCTGCCACCTCCGATCCTGAGCTCAATGCACGCGAAAAGCCTCCATTATACATCGCACGCGTCTGGAGAATGCGCATGAATGGCAACAGAGACATCAAGAAGAGCGGGATGATCAGAAACATGCCCACAATCATGTCCATTAGAAAGCCTAGCGCCATCACTGGGCTCCACATTGCCACTTCCATCCTGAATGCACCGTTGAACGCTAGAGCGTACTGCACAATAGCATTGAAGCCCAAGAACATTGCGATCGAAAAGGTAAAGCACTTTTGCACCGACCAGCCGCCAATGGACCCGAAGATCAACGGAACCAAGAGGACGCCTCCGATCACACACAGTAAGTATAGAATGCCTTGAATAGTGAGCGAATTCAGCTTGCGGGTCTTTGACATACAGTGGTGTAAACGGTTGCCAAACCACAGCAACACCCACGTTACACCCATTGCACCAAACAGCAGGACAAACCACACGAGTTCAAACTCAGTCATGAATACGTAGTACATTGCCAACGGATGGCGAATTTCACGGATGCAGTATGTCAGGCGTCCCATCGGACCCAAAGGTAGCATCAAATCGACATCAGATTTCCACCAGTCCTCCCAGCCGTCTTTCAATCGCGATGAAGCAGTGTTTGTATCCTTATCCGTTTCCTCATCATTTCCATTGTCTTTGTCACTAGAGCGCATCATCCATGAGAGCCAATTTGCAATGTCAACCTTGGATTTTTGAAGAACCAGACCATCCGTGTTAAACACAAAGGGGGCCATGAGCCAGCACGCACCGAGAAAGAGGACAGCGAACGAAGCGATACCGTAACTCTGCGACTGGTTGCTAAAAGCTGCTAGCGACGTGATGTTCGCAGGTATCTGATCAGGAGTTTTGTTGCAGTCGAAGTCTGCGGTAGCGCAGTACTCCTCAAGCGCATCAGAACCGATATCAAACGAGCCGTATATCCCAAACAAAATCATGACGCCAACCAACTCCACCGCCTTGCGGAAGTGTGAAACGCCATATTCCTTGAAGAAGTTCACCATTGGGTCGCGCGTAATCGAGAAGCCACGACCGGTTCCTCGATATTTGGAGCCACCACGGATGAGTGCCACATCGTAGAAATGTGCCTTCGTACCCGTCAGAAACACGTAGAACACAATGCCGAGAGTCGAGATGAGCTCGATCACTTTCAAAGAAGCTTGCTTGAACCCGAACTCCACAAACAGCGTCGCGAACAGAGGCAGCGTAGTCAGCATACCAAACTGAAGCAGATATTGCGTGGTCATGACACTAGCGAGCGAGTCAAGGCTGCCCGTCTTCATTACAGCCGCTTGCTCTACCTCAGAGTGAGTCGCAACATACAACTTACAGTACGCGTACACATAGACGCAGAACACCGTAAGAGCGTTGCAAATGTAGAAACCGAAGTGGCCGTAAAACATGGAGTTCAGGCGCGGAAAATCCAGCGAATTGGTCAGGCGGTGGCCTTCACGACTCAAGCAACTTTCAGCGCAACCATTGGAAAGCTTTGCTTCGAAAGCATTGATCTGGCTCAGTGTCACGTCTCGGCCTTTTCCGCACTGCATGAACTCAATGTGCGACACCAATCCCCCGCGAAGAGTGACGTTGTAGCCACTAAAAACATCTTCAGACAGGTTAATACCCTTGCTAGCCTTGGACACACCTCCGCTCGTGACAACAAAAGACTTCTCGAATACATCAGGGTGACCGTAGTGCATACGCGAGCGAAGAGGCTTGGCCAGCACACGCTGCGTCAGCGTTACAAATACCAGCTCTTGGAGCGTCATAAAACGCGCGAGGGATGAAGCGCGTCCGGTGAATACGTGCTCCTTCATACCGATAACAGTCACCTCCTCCCCAGTACTCGTAGCTGTTGCCAAAAAGTTGGGCATCTTCAGGCACTCTTCCAAGTAGTGCTCCTGGTTCATATCGATGGTCTGCAGGTACTCGCCGCGCGTGAATGGCAATGCCACGTTTTGATTTTCAGGCTTGCCCTCGCCAAGAATCGGATTACCAGGCAGCTCATAACGGTAAACTTCGACAATCTCGCCGTCTTCTGCCTTCACGAGCACGCAATCGAATCGACTAAATTCCTCGTCACCCCTTTTCTCCGTTATTGTATCCACAAAACTGACACGCCAGCTTGGAAACTTCTTCATCAGATAGTCAATATCGGCTGCGCGGGGATCGCCACTTGCAACCTGTTTCGAGTAAATTTGACATCCCGTGATGTAAGAGAACTTCAGAGCCGATATGCGATTCATCTCCTCCAGTTTTTCCTGGATGCTCATCTCGTGAAGAGAATACACTTCGAGCCAGCGCAACAGACGGATTGCATCTTCATACAGCATCATGCCGTGGACCGTTCGGGCAAGCGTCTGGCCACGCATTGAAGCCCACAGCCGCACCTCGGTGGAATTGATTTCAAGCACCTCTTCCAATGATGCAGCACCCATCCTTTCCAAAAAATTGCTCCACTCTTCGGCGTGAAACGTGATCAAGTACTTCATAATCGTCAACTCCGCCCAACCCTTTGCTTTTTGCTTCTTCTCGAGCTCGGCAAACAATGGGTTCGAATGAACGGGGTTGTTCAGCTCATCCAGCGTGAAAAGCACAGTCTCAGAGTAATACGGAGTCATCACAGAAAACGACGGCATCGCCTCCATCGAGGCTACACGTGGCATCTCCATTGACAGCGAGTGCAAAAAGAAACCCATGCGACGCTTTGCATCTTCACAGCGTGGAAGTGAGCTCGAAGCGTCCAAGCAAAGCAAGAAGAACAAGCGCGTGCAGCTGGAAATGAAGTCTTCACCAGGACAGCGAGAATGTTGCACGGCAGGCTCTTTGTTAGGGTGAACGGCAATCAGGCCTGTCTCGGCCATCACGTCAGCCTTATACAAAGAAATAAGCTGCTGGGTTTGGAATTCAAGATCGGCCGTGGTTAGCAAGAAACGGCAGTTGTGTAGCTTACGCGATACCGTGTCATCATTCAACATAAGCTCTAGCGTCAAGGCGATGGAACGCAGACGGTCGACGACTTGAGCAACTTGCACATGCAGCTCCATTCGCAATTCCTCCGGAACAGTCTCCAGCGAGTCGATCGCTGAAATGTCCTCGGGCATATCCAAGATGACAGCAAGGAGCTCAACCATGTTTCCAGCCAGCTGAGGTAAGTAGGTCAGATTAAGCAGACTAACGATGTCTGGCGACGAGTAGATGTAATCTAATACGCTCAAAGCCCCCTTCTCTTCCTCCTCACCTAGCAACAAGTAGAAGATGTCACGAACAAGTTCCACTCCATTCTTCATCGCTTCCAGCGCATCTGCTGTAGCAACATTCTTGACCAGTGTCGCGGTATCCCACTTGTGTGATCGTGCTTTTGCCGCAACTTCGACAGCCTTCGACAACTTTCCGGCCAATAGAAAGATCGGTTCCTGAATACGCTCCCCTTTATTCAAAATGCGATACTGAAGGATAACCGTTTCACGGTCGTCAAGTAGGTCATTCAGACGAAAGTTATCAACAATTTGATTCCAAATGATTGCAAAGCGAAGGCGTACGAAATCGCGGTGACGCAGCTCGCTGGGATCACCACCAGGATCATGTGCCAGTGCATCCGCATTCGGCCTCTTCGTCTCGAGTGATACCACCTTATCGTCAAACAGCTTCGGCGCTCTAGCCATTCCAGTCTTAAGTTGAGCCAAGCCGATGTAATGGCCAATGTTCATGCGCTTGCCCATGACCAGACCGACTAATGACTGATACAGGATGAACCAAATTTGCGTGTCGTACATGTACACAACGAAGACAGGTGCCCAGAGCGCCATAATAAACATTATGTTGTGATCTGATTGGAACACGCCACCATCATCGATCGAGATGTTGTAAATCTCGACGGACGGTGCCATTAGCGGACGGATCATGAACTGCAGAGCGAACAGGAACTTGCAGCAGAAGATAATGTACCATGACAACGAGTACCTCGAATAGTGCTTCCATTGCTGCGCCGTGTTGCGGCCGACATACTGCCGACTCGTACCGTCTAGAGCGTTCACCATACGAATGCCCCAAATGGCGTTAGGGAAGAATGCTCGTACCATCGAAGCTGTTAGCACCGGGACGCAGTAGATCACCAGGTATACCAGTCCCATGGACAAGAACGATCCGGCAGTGCCTCCACCCGGCAACATACCACTCAAGGATCCAAACAGCGCCTGCTCGTCTGGCGAAATGTGAATAGCGATAAACAGACCAAAGAAGAGCGTGTGCCAAAGCAGTCGACTGAACACCCCAATTGCCATCCACATGTCTTTATATAGTCGCACCCCAAAGAGCCAAATCTGCATCACTGCTTTTATGGCCAAGAGTCCTGGGATAGTAATCAAAAGCGTGTAAAACGCATGTGCTCGAATTTGATTCTGGCTAGCTTGAAAAATGCGAAAAAAGAAGCCAAGACCCCCGTCATCATCTCCTTCGGCCATGTACGCCACGTACGTAATCACAACCATCCCATGAAACGACACGAAAAGAAAGTACCAGACACGAAAAAACGCCAGCACGGGGTTAAACACACTGCGCTTTTCCTTGAACGTCTTGGCATCGTGGACGCCCAGCAGCTGGGCAACGTTCGTCTCGCTACACTTGAGACACTGCGCAGTCCAGAAAAACTCATTCACATCGTCGTAATTCGTCGTATCTTGATGATCCAGTGGCCGTCGTGCCTCGTCTGCAGCAGTGGCGGACCGCATGGTCGCAATCACGTGGTACATGGGCCGCACGATTTCATTGAGATAAAAGCCATCGTCCACGTCCGGCAGCGTCTCGAGAAACGCGAGTTTGGCCGCCATTTGATGGTACAAAAAGCAGATACACTCGGGCATGAACCGGAGGTTCCCTGCTTCGCCCCAGAGCAGCAGAAACAGCGCCAATTGCGTCTCAAGCGCTGCTGTCGTCGTCGTCGACGTGGCCGGTGTCGATGACTCGTGCATGGCCGCACGTGGTTCCACCCGTAAAAAGCGGCACCAAGAAAAGTAGTTTTTAAAAAATTTGCCGTGCACGCGCACGAGCGCCGTGTGCGTGATAGCGCCATTGTTGCTCTGGTGGTCATAGCTGGTGGTGTCGCGTGCCACCCCGAGCGTCTCGGAGCGGACGCGCATTTGGTAATTCGAGATCCAGCACCCGAGGTTCTCCTTCTGATTGGCCACGCTGCTGGCTTGGAAGCCAAATTTGCACTGGAGCAGCTCGAACGGGCCTCGAGCCGCGGCGTGGAAACTCTCGAGACGATGGAGCGACTTTTCACGGTGCACGTCGAGGTAGTTGGTCTCGGCTTGCCGTCGCGCGGGCGTGTGGCCGCCGTCTGCCATGGTGTTGGCGGGAAAGCAAGTGATTCGGTGGCTCAAAAGTGCTTTTTTGAGGTGGGTACAAGGGGGGGGGGGTTCAAACGGGGGTTAGAGGGTACAATGGACGGTTACGCACACGCGCGCGGGTTGGGGGTGAACGAAGCGGTGACTCGTGGGAGAGAGCGTGCGTGCGGCTCGGAGCAAAACGAGGAATGAGAGCGAGAGTGGTTTTTGGCCAATCCTTCGACCGACCGTCGCAGCTGATTGCTAGCGAGGTGACATCCAAGTGGGTGAATTCGCACTTGAGAAAAGGTCGATGCGGATGCTTTGCTCGTCTGTTTTCTGAGTCGGAAAAAGGACGATTTACTGCTGTCCAACGGAGGGTGCGCGAAATCGGATATATCCCGCCGCGAGTTGCTGGAAAAGGTTGTTTTCCTGTTAACGCGGCCACAGCATGTCCTACAATGCCGTTTGATACTTTGTAGTTGGCGAATTTTGGCCCATCCGGTTGCCTTGCCATTCGTAACGTCAGTACTGGCAGTTTCGTAGAGCTCCTCACTCGGCGCGCGGGTTAAGTCGTATCTACTGATCTTCGGTTCCTTCTGCTGCCGCAAATGTAGAAATTCCGTGTCGTTCCGTGTACTTAACGAGCTGCCACGACAGTTTGCCCTTGCCGAAAATAGCGATGATAAACACCGTCTCAATGCTCTCACTCCGTACAGTTCTACAACTTTTGCACCGTGCGCTTCACCGCTTTTCATAAAGCTCGGGTGCACCAACGAGAAAGTAATTGCGCGGCGTTCAACCGAGTGAAATTATATGCTCGTCATCCTGGCATTCGTCGCTATGCTGCATTTGCTGGAATCAGTGAAAGCGACAAAAGAGACACGACATCAGGTCGCGACTGTCTGCTGTCGATGACGTCCCGCGAGCTGGCGTCGAAACGGACAAGGCCAGCTTGACGTGTTGTCCTGGCCTTGCACACAATAACAACAACCATGACCGGCCGTCTGCCGTGAAGAGATTTTTAGCGCTCCCGCAGTCCATCGAAACGTCAAATGAAGAACACAAGTCGTTATGAGAACGCAGGCAAGCTTACACCACCAAAGCCACATGTTCGCGTTGAGGCGCGTCACACCGATGCGTTGTATTGCCCGTACCTCCACTCGCACGGCCCACGCGGCGTCTCGAAACCTTGAATGCTAATGTTCGCGATCTTCAGTAAACTCTTCAGATACGACTCGACTTTTGCTGTTCGCTCGTGTCGAGGGGCACCGCAACCTGCCACCACTAGTTAACGTCGTAGAATTCATGCAACAGGGACATCAAGTCATCGCACAGTAAGAAAGTTCGATTCCGTCGCATGGATTCGGTAATTGTCGTCGTCACGAAGGCTTGAATAGAAAGAGAGTCCAGCTTTTTCGCTACTTATTCGGACGTGCAAACGTTTTCGTGTCCCTCCATCTGAAGGAAGCATTGCATCAGCTCGTGGAATGCGTGTCACTTTTGTACCGCAAGAAACGCAAGTGCTCTAAGGTTCTCCCAGCTACGAGCGAATGTATCGAAATCGCACGTCGATCCCTTCGTTCCCAAGATGACATTCTGATTCGAGTCCAAACTTTCGACAAACAATTTCAACTTTTGCTCTCCATCCTCGAGTCGTTCTTCGTCCATCAATGGTCTCTACCGATGGCTATGGGTCCATCTGTACCCCGCAGTCGCAGCTCTTCACGTACAACACCGCGTTGCGCCCCCTTGTTCAATTCACAGCGTACAAGGAGTTCCACAATGGGTCCAAGACATGCAGCAACAATTTCACGAAAGGTGTCAAGGTCTCACCTGACGGTCTCTGTCTATTGACCAACAGCGATGACCACATTTTGCGCTTATTTGAAGTGCACAGTGCACAGCAGCAGTCACGTACTAGTCTACTGCAAGCCAAAGAGGGCGGTACAGTGTACGACTACGAGTGGTATCCGTTCATGTCGTCAGCTGACCCGACTTCGTGCATCTTTGTGAGCACGAGTCAAGACCAACCGGTCCATTTATGGGACGCCTATACGGGAGAGCTTCGAGCTACGTACAGGGCTTTTGACCACCTGGACGAGCTGACAAGTGCCCATAGTCTGGCGTTCAATGCAACAGGCACGAAGCTCTTTGCTGGTTTTGACCGGATGATCCGTTTTTTCGATCTGTCGCAGCCTAGTCGAGACTTTAGGGCTCGACCTTTGAGCAAGACGCGACGTTCGCGTAATGGTCAGCGAGGGTTGATCAGTACGCTGCATTTCAACCCCGATCATTCCAAGATCTATGCAGCGGGGTCGTATGGAGGCACGACTTGTGTATACACCGAGGACGAAGGGGATGAACTACTGACACTTTGTGATCACGACGGTCGCGGTATCTCTCAAGTACGATTTTCTCCATGTGGAAGGTTTCTCTACACAACTGCGCGCCGCGATGCTTGGATTCACTGCTGGGATATCCGTGCAACGAAAGAGATTTGTCACACGTTCAACCGCGTGGCTGACACGAATCAACGACTGGAGTTTGACTTGCATTGTAGCGGGAGATACCTAGCTGCTGGAAGTCGTACAGGTCGAGTGATGCTATACGATGTGTTGACAAGTGAGCTGCTCGATGAGAGCATTCGGCTTCCTGATTGCGTCAATGGAGTGTCATTTTTCCCTAACGCGTCCAGAGCCACGATTGCTGTTTGCAGCGGTCAGCGGCACTTCGACTTGCCGGAAGACATGGAGAGTGAGGAGGATGACGTTGTAGGTCAAGCTGAGGTCGCCAAGGAAGCAGTAGCGAGCCCAAAAGTGCGAAACCTACTTCAAGTGTACGATTTCCAGACGCCTGAGTACGGAAGCGAGCACAATGCTGGCGCTACACCACCCGTTAACGCAATGGAGTCCGTAAGCACGCAAATGCAAAAATAGCACGACGATAGGAGGCAACTCAAATTGTAGCAGTATGATGGAGACACGATACCGCTGCGTTACCGTGTGCGACTCATGCCGCCGTAACTTTTACAGCGCTGGGTCTCCTGTCCTCCACTCTCTTGCTGTTCCCTAGCAACATCACACCGTGGTCGCACACCCGACGGCTCCAACCGCCCCCTCCACCCCGTCGCACTCGGCTGTGGTGCGACTTCTTCCTCTCCTTTCTGCACGGCCTCTCTCTCTTCCTTCAGCTTCTGCTCCCGTCGCTTCTGCAGCACCCGTTCAACCACCTGTTGCTGTTTCTGCTCGTGACTCATCACCTTTGTAGACCCTTTCTTCGCCTTCTTCCCGTGCTTCTTCTTGTCCTTCTTCTTCAGCTTCTTCTTCCCGTGCTTCTTGTCCGTCTTCAACTGCTTCTCCTTCGTAGCTGCAAACACGTTGACGCCTTCTTGCAAATCAAATTCCGACGCGAGCTCTTTACCCTCGTAAGCGTGACCAGGCAAGCCCCTCGGTCGTCTCTTTTTGCCCGCGCTTTCGTCATCCTCCGAGTCGCTGCCCTCTTGCAACTCCTTCGGCAGCTTGTACTTGAGCACGTGGTCCACACGCAGCACCCGGTCCAGCAACTGCCAATTGTTGAGGTTATCGACGGCCAAAATGGTACTGCGCTGATCTTCGTACTTCACGAAAGCGAACCCTTTCGACTTGCCCGTCTTGCCGTCGCGCACTAAATGGAGGTCTTCCACCTCTCCAAACTGACTCAAAACACACAGCACGTCTCCTTCGGACAGCTCGAACGACAGACCGCCGAGGAAGATCCATGCCGATTCACGGTACTTTTGGTGCCACGAGCCCGAGAGCGGCACGTTCAGCTCGAGCTCACGTTCGTTCAGGCGCTGGATCTCGGCGACGACGTTCATGTGGAAATAGAGCACGATGGATAGAAATAGAGACGTTTCTAAAGCGAAGGACGCGAATAAACGTTCTACAAAGCGACGGAAAGAAAGCGCGTTTTATATCAAGTATGTGCAACAGATTTGATCATGCGTTTGCTATACCGCGTTATAGGCTGGTCGGGAAAACGCAACCTTTGCTGCAAACAAGTTGAAAAGTCGCTTTGATTGACGTGATAACGACGAGTGCATTTTGTAACATTCAAAGATGCTTTGATGCACTACAAATGATGTTGGCCATAACGGTATAGATTCGTTCGCGGCTGTACAGTTACATCCAGTTGCGACAGCACGTCAAACTTAGCAGCAAACGCACGGACAGAGCTATTGCCGTGGACTCTGTGCTTCGACATTTCCGCGGCCTCGATGATCGAGTCGATCTGCAAGCAACGCCACCAAACGATGGCCCTTACCATGCGTAATTCGAAGGATACGTTGCGCCTCTGCCAGATACTCAACCGCCTTTGCATCGCACCGATCCGCGGGATCTGCTCCAGTCTGTGCCAGTTGATCGTACAGATCGCCAAGCGTGAACAGATGGAGGCCAGTCATCGGGTGGTTCGAACTGTAAACGCGTCTGTAGAACTCCAGCATGCGCTCCCCGTATCGACACGATGCTCGCACACTCCCACGTTTTATTTCAGCGCTAAAAAGCGTCGAAAGCGTCTGCAACTGCGCGATATTTTCACCGTGTAGGATACCATCCTGCCGCTTCGCTAGTTTTTCAAGCGCTTCAATGCGGTGCTGTTGCTGCATTGCTAGATCTGTCTCAACAGCACCGCGACTGGCAGCATCACTAATTTCCTTTAGCGCCTGCTCCACCTCGTCTTGGCGCTCTTGCGTCCAGAACTCTTGCGGAATACCATCAATGTCGGCGTCGAGGAAAGTGTCTGGACTAGTGCCACCTTGCAAAGACTGCGCACAACGGGCACAGTTGCAGCGGAAATGATACTTGCGTTGCAGTCGCTGTTGCCTCTCTCGACGCGGCAACGCAACATCGACTGGAGCAATCATGCGTCACGATCATTCCGACACAAGCGTGTACTACGAGAGGTACTTACCGTAAGTCTGCGTAACCTCCTGTCCAGACTTGATAGGCCTCATCGCCCGAAACTCCATATCAAGCGTCTCAGGGACAAACCTGAATCCAATTTCACATGGTCAGTCCAGCACTTGACCGCCACCACCTTCATAACGACCAAAGTACGCACGTGACGGCACAATTGGGGTCGCAGCTATGGTTAACCATCGCGCCAAGTGGGAAACAGCCCGCACCCAGCGGCAACAACAGCTCATCCGAGATGGAAAAGTTGTTGTTTCGAAAGCGACTCAACATGCGCAGCATCTCGTCCATCGAGTACGAATCAGCTGTACCACATTATCACAACCAGCACATTTTCCATCAGCCAGACTTGACAACTCTTTGTAGTAACGACCGCATCCTCCACGATCCTCACCTTACCATCCACCAGATTCAATTTCTGAGCCAACGCTGCCAGTAAAATCAGTTCCTGATCTTTCAAATCTTCTTCGTACCACACGAGCTCCACCGGCTTGAGTCCTTCTGCGTCTTTACGTCTCAACACGCGTCCCAGTAACACCACGTCCATCACTTGGTCACTCGTCAGTTCGAGCTGGGCCAACTGCTTGAGACGCTTGCACTCCTTCTGATGATCCAAGCGCCAGTCCATTTGCTGACACTTTTTGGAACCTTTCATACAGCATAAAGACATCAAGTTTGGCAGTCTCGCAACCCTTTCTAACATAATCAAAAGCTCGCATGGATAAGCAGCAATCAATCGAGCCATTGACGCACAGTAATAGACCGTCCGACAGCATCCACAGCGACTGAGACGCCTCCAGTCCGAGCCACCAAAGCACTTGTGGCAGTGCGAGCCCCAGAGTTCCGGCAACAGCACGACAGCGTGTGCTGAAGCCCGTAACGCCAAGTCTCCAGCTACCAGCTCTGTCTGTGTCTCGATGCGTCTGCCACGGTCCCCCGGGACGTCGTCTGCTGTGTCGAACACTGCCGGGTCGTGCACGATGCGCATGGTGGCAGGCGGTATGTTCTTTGGTAGGCTTTCGTGCTGCGTCGGGTGAGCTCGTGCATGTCGCTCGAAAGTCGCCCGAGTCGGTCGCTCGTTCTGTCACAAAACAAGGCCCTCGGGAGCCGATAAAGGACATTGCGTGGAATATTTTATTTTTCTTACACCGCTGGACTTGGGACGTGTCACTCGCCGTGTCTTCTGAGCTCCCTCGACCGAGTGACTACCACTCTCTCTTCTGTTCTCGCACCGCCGCCCGCCCTTCACAACGGTCGCTCGGGGCCTGCCCTCGATCTGCACCTTGCAACCACTGGATCGCGCTCTAGCTGTGAAAACTATCATCTGCGTGCCTCGATCTTGGTCTCCGATAACTCTCGCGCCGGCGTCTCGTTTCTAGCCTCCACAAAACCGAGGTAATGAATCCGTAATTTATTAAAGGAGCCTTTCTACCCTTGTCACGTTAGCCCTCCGACACGTCACCAAGCTATTGAAGGCATTAGTCTACCCCAATGAGTCTTCCTGGGCACTTGACCCGCCTCTGAGCGCATCGTGGGTGCCAAAAGACAGCACATTTCCACGGGTCAAAATAAATTACCACCACACGCCGTAATTTATATTTGGGCACTCCAAAGCCTGCCTTTTCGGCGATTTAACTAACCTCTGCTCATCGTTAAGCACCGAGTTAACTAACTGAATCTTTTTCGCTGTTGTTGTTGTGTCTAATGCTGGTAATGCAGGTTACTAGAGTGCTTTGGGGCCAGAAATAAAAAAGAGCGTGGCAGGTGAAGCCGTTGGCGCTCCGACACTTTTTATCGGCTGCAACAGCTTCAGTGCAGCTAGTCCATTGCAATTGCAGAGGAAGTTGGACCTCCAGTAGCTCGAAGACAACTCGCCGGAGATTTTTAAGGACTTTTGTATGTCCATTTCGCAGCAGTCGATGCTTCCTGGATCACAATATGCACCAAATCCGACGACAGTAGCTGGTGCTTCTGATTCCACTGCCTCGACGGCAGGAAGTAGTGTACGTCACGCGCACGTCTCGACGGGGGTGGCTGAGCAAAACAGGACATGCAGTTTTTTAATCGGATGTGAAAACCTGTGATATGTGTGAACCTGATTTTGTGTGCACAGGCAGCGAACGCTAGCGCTTCAGGAGACTCGGCGTCATCAGCGGTCTCTACTCCTGCTTTAGACGCTGTTACGGCCGCAACAGGTGCACAATCAGTGGCCCCGTTCAATGATAATGCAGCGTATTTAGCGGGTGGCACTTCTTCTGGCACTTCTGTCGGGACAGCCACCGATTGGAGAAACAAAGACGCCGATCGAAGCGCGAGGCAGCATATTGCACGGATTATGTGCGTATGAAGAACTTTTGTTAACGATGACAGTGGAAGCTGATTGACTGATCTTTGCCGCGCTGGCTGTAATCGTGTGCAGCTTGACGTTAATAATGAAGAGTGCGAATAGACCAACATCCGCTAACTACAATCCCCGAGAGATTGCAAGGAGATTGGAACACACCTTGTATATGGGAGCGCCGTCCAAACAAGAATACAGCAGCGTACAGACTCTAAAGGTACGGCTACAGCAAGCTTTGGACAACTCGAGGCGACGGCAAATGCAGCAGCAGCAGGCACGACTTCAGCAACAGCAGCAGCAGCAGCTCCACGCGTCAGGGACACCTACGAATCCTGTCCAGCAACAAACACAGGCACAATTGCTTCAGCAGCGGCAAATGGCGCTGCTGCAGAGACAACAGCAACAGCAAATGGCCGTAGCCTTGCACAATCAGCGAACAAACTTGCAGGCAGTCCCGTTTTCTGAGACTTCCACTGCGATGCCGCAGGTTCCTCGGTCCCAGCCTCTTCAGGTGCCAGTAAGTATGCCAGAAGTGACGGTGAAGACTCCAGGATTGGTCAATGTAGTAAATGTGGCTCTAGGTGCGGCTACTTTGAATTCTGGCAGTGGAGTAGAGGGTTCAAGTAATTCCATATTGGATGAGTTGGAGCGCGAGGCAGACGAGATGGCTAATCGAGTGATTGATCAACCTCTTTCAATGCCGGAATCTGAGCTACACGTGTCTACGGCGGCAACTGGGGTATTGGATACTGCCAGTGGAAATAAGTTCGTGAACGCAACACCACCACCTGCTTCACCTGCCGTGATTGCTGGTGTCGGACGGGACTCATTTAGCGCCGTTCCATTGAGCATGCCACCGGAAATAAGTGCTAGCGTCGCCACATCTGTCGGTCTTGTTCAGCCGGATCTCACAATGGCTAGTGCTGCCCCTGTGACTACTGTTGCTGGAGCGAATATGTATCACGGGATGAGTTTGACTGCACCGCAGATTCATCAGATTCAGCAAATGCAGCAGCTAAGGCAGATGCAGCAGCTCCAGCAGCTTCAACAGCAGCAGTTGAATGGAAACGTTAGTGCTGCCCAGCTGCAGACTAGTACTACCGTACCGACCAGCGGTATGTTAACTACACACCCATTAAGTCCCGCTACCGTGGCCGGAAACGGGATTGCGCCTGGAATGATTCAGATGGATGAGGTGTCGATAGCTCAAAAGCGAGAAGAACTAAAGCGACGACTGATTCAGCTAAAGCACGCGCGAACGTGCACCTCGGATGAATGTGGAATCGATCACTGCAGCCGCACGAAGGCGTTGCTTTCACATGTGTCTCGCTGCGCAGACGCTCAGTGCGTAACGCTGGGGTGTAAGTCGACTCGACAGTTACTATCACACTTTCGTAAATGCCGCAACCTACAGTGCGACGTGTGTAGTGCTATCCGGCCTCCGATGAACGAGAATGAACAGCAACTGGTATTGCGACGTCAACAGGAGCGGCTTTGCATGCTACGCCACGCTAGTACTTGCACAATGGAGAATTGTGTTCTGCCGTATTGCGCTGGGATGAAAGTGCTCTGGAAGCACATCTGTGAATGCCACCAGCGTCAGTGTCGAACAGACCATTGCATTTCTTCGCGTTACGTGCTATCTCATTTTAAGCAGTGCAACAAGATGATCTGTGAAGTATGCGGTCCCGTGCGAAAAGCTATCAAAGTAGTGGACTCTTGTCGAGGGAACCCTACCCAGCTTCAGTTGTCGGCAAGCCAGTGTCCGGACGGCGTGCGCGGGTTGATTAAAATAATGAACACCACCATTGCAGCAAATGCTTCAGAGACCTCAGCTGTTGCTGCACAGGCAGGAGTCGGAAACGATGTGACAGGCGGTTCCCAACCAGCAAGCGCTAAGGCAAAGGGGACACCTGTGGCTAGTACTATCGCTTTTGGTGCGGCTAGTCCGTGCCGCACTACTGCTGCCAGCGAAGCTAAAATAACAAAGATGAAAGAACCGAGTCTGGCGGAGGACACGAAGAAGAAACCATTGAAGCTTCAGACCGAAAAAGAGAAAAAACTTCGCCGGAAAGAGCAAGCTAAAGTCGCGAAGGCTCGTGCCCAGGCAAAGGCAGCCGCGGCGGCAGCGGCAGCACTCACTGGACCTATTGCTGCTTTGACAGCGACAGAGGCTGCACAGCCTGCGGTGCACAATGGTCTCGTCGTTCGTGGCACTCAGACGGAGCTACGCGACGACCACCATATTTCGCATCAAGACATATCTTTCCTGGATTCGATGACAGAAGGCCAGCTAGATGAGCACATCCGTTCACTTCGGTTCAATTTCTGTGGACACATCTCGATCAGTGAGTTAAAGAGTCGACTGATGCCGTTGCTTACTAAGCTCATGGAAAGTGATTATGGTTGGACATTCAACAATCCGGTGGATCCTGTGCAGTGGAACATCCCTGACTACTTTGACATAATCAAGTGCCCGATGGATCTTGGCACGATCAAAAAGAGGTTGGAAAGTGAGCACTACAGCAGTGTTGAGTCGTTTGCAGGTGACGTGCGTTTGGTGTTCGAGAATTGCATCGCATACAACAGCAGTACGAACAAATTCAATATTGCAGCAAAGCAGTTGCTTGCTTCATTCAATAAGGCATTGGCAGCGCTCAAAAATGTGTTGGAAAAGCAGCTATTTAAACGCTGCGAACAGCGTCGCGAAGAGATGTGTCAGCTGTGTGGAGGCGACTCATTTAAGTTCGCGCCGTGTATGCTTTTCTGCAGCGGCCCTTGTGCTGGCCGAATACGAAGACATACCCACTACTACAGCGATCCTCGAGGAGAGCACCATTGGTGCTCAAGTTGCTACAAGCAGATGAAAGACGGCCCAGTTGACATGTCGCTTGTGCCTCAATTGTCAAGCGCCACAACTGAAGTAGCTCCCCCTCCTGGCGCTGACCTCGTTCCTTTCGATGGTGTACTAAAGAAAGCGTCGTTGGTAAAGAGGAAAAACAGTGAGGTTGCAGAAGAGCCGTGGGTGGAATGTGACTCCTGCAAGTTGTGGTATCACCAGATCTGCGCTTTATTTAATGAACGGAACCACGCAATCTCAGGCGAGCAAGAACCGTTCGTGTGTCCGATTTGTGTAAAGAAACAACGCGTCGCTGGAGTGAAGCCGTCACTACTCAATGGTCTTAAGGCCAAACGCCTTCCGATCACACGAATGGCAAAGCTGATTGAGACGCGCGTGCTGGATTCTATTGAAAAGGCGGGCAAGGACGAAGCAGTACGTTTGGGTAACATGGGCAACTCTGACAGTATCGGCTTTTCCAGTGGCGCCAAAGAATCTTCGTCCGACACGCAATTTGGAGTTACTATTCGCGAGGTTCTCAGCATTGATAAGCAAGTGCAGGTCAAACCCAGGATGGCTAAGTTACTAGCAGCAAAGTATGGGAAAACCATGAAGACCGATCACGGTGCTGGGGTTGCGGCTGGGCAGACGAAGTCGCTAAAACGCCCGCGCCCGACAAAATCCATTGCTGGCAAGACTGCTATTGCAGCGGCATCGATGTCTTTGTCGTTGCAGCTAACGTATCGATCGCGATGCATTTGCGTCTTCCAAGAACTGGATGGCGTGGACGTGCTTATCTTCACACTTTATGTGCAGGAATATGGCCCGGACTCGCTTTCACCAAATGCTGGGCGAGTGTACGTCTCGTATCTGGACTCGGTAAACTACTTTCAGCCGAAGAAGCTGCGTACGTTGATGCATCAGCAGGTGATGTTAGGCTTTCTGGAAGACTGCAAAAACCGTGGCTTCCACACGTGCCACATTTGGTCTTGCCCACCGCTAAAGGGCGATGACTACATTTTCTTCTGCAAGCCGGAGAACCAGAAAATTCCAAAGTCGGCGCGTCTGCGCCAGTGGTACCAAAAATTGCTGGTGCAAGCCAAACGGGATGGGCTCATTGCCAACGTTTCCAATCTTTACGCTGAGTACTACACAAAGAAAAAAGCAGCTCACGATCTGCCCTACTTTGAAGGCGATTACTGGCCGCGGCTCGCTGAGGATCTCATCAAGCAGCTTGAAGAAAAAGACAATCGTGCAAAGTCGAGTGGTACAGGTGACGGCGATGATGCTGGTTCATCTGGAAATAAGGTGGGCTACAGTGGTGCAAAAAGTACACCCGCTAGTGGCTCGAAGACACCTACGTCTCGATCTCCTTCGCCGAGTGAGTGTGGCGATGAAAACGGTATTGGGACTGATGTAGCAGCTGGGTCCAAGTCTAAAGCATCGATCAAAGGGACGATGACACCTGCTACAAACATGAAGAACAAGAGCAAGCGCAGCAAAATGGGTAACGTTGCCACTGAGCCATCGGTAACGCGGAGCAGCGCCTCGAAGGCTCGTTCAAAAAAGAGCAGCAATCCGTCACGCTCGTCGAGCTGCTCGAAAAGTGTGGTAAATAGTGACCCGCTCATGCAAAAGCTAAAGGGTATTCTGGAACCACAAAAAGATGACTTTTTTGTAGTCGACTTGCATCCGAAGTGTCATAAATGCGGGGCTCCGATCGTACACGAAGGCTACTGGGAGTTGAAAACAATTCCTTCTCCTGCGGCTGTGAACAATTTGCTGGAAGCTGCTAAGAAGTCCCGTACCTCGTCGTCGAGCTCTCGCAGCTCGCCACCGCGCCACTACCATTATTACTATTGTAGTTCTTGTTACGAGACAAACAAGGTCCAGCTATTGCATCGTGTGGAGGTGTCTGTCAAGTGTGCGAAACGCGCTAAGGAATTAAGTGACCGTGTTTACCCGTTGAACGAGAAGGCAGCCGTCGCCGAGCTTGCTGAACTAGATTTGCAGGAAATTAAGTTTGAGTTGACACTCAAGTTTGTCGACCCAATGGAAGACGCTGAGGAAATAACCCATTCTGAGGGACGATCTGGTGAGGTGACGACATCCGGGGGCAATGCAAAAGAAGTCGATGGTGATCCTGGATTACTTTCTAGAAAGTGTGCCGTTGCGGAAGCAAGTAGCGCGGCTGTGGGCGAACGTGCGGTCAACAAAACTGCAAGCGGAGCCACAGAAAGTGCTTTGTTGCTGACCAAGGACAGGAAAATCGAAGAGAAGGATGAAGAGAAGAATGGTGTAGCAACAGAACAGACCAAGCAGCCGAAGGATGTGGTGCGGAAGAAGATCAAGCGAGTGATTGGAGACGATCTGGATGATGTGATCATGCCCTGTGAGATCTTTGACACGCGTGAGGCTTTTCTGCTTTACTGTCAAAACAACCATTGCCAGTTTGACCAGATTCGTCGAGCCAAGCATTCATCGATGATGGTGTTGTACCACTTGTTTAACCAAGGCACGACTGGATTTACGTTTAGCTGCTCGAATTGCAAGACGACACTGCTGAGCGGTAACCGCTGGAATTGCTCCATTTGTCCCGTATTTAATCTTTGCGATGCGTGTCACACAAAAACAAAGCATGAGCATCAGCTACATTTGTTCAAGGTGGTATCGATCCCACAACCTGGCAACGAGGTGTCCTACGAGACGGTGAGTACAAAGGTCAAGGGTGTCATCTACAGTGGTGATGGCGCGATAGGCCGTTCCATTAAACGCGAAGCAGGCAGTTCCGACCTGAAACGCTCGAAGCAGGCGAAACATGCAACAGGTACTGAAAACAAGGTGAATAGCTCTCGAAAGCGCAAGTTGCACCAGAACTCCGCTGCAGTTGCGACACCGGTCGCTTCGACAGCTGTAAAGTCTGAGATTGTAGCAGCATCGGCGCAGGAAGCAGCCCCTGTACAGAAGGAAGGTACTGCAGCTACAGCTCCGACTACCACGACCGAGTTGGCGGCTGGGATTGTCTTGAATGGAGGTGCAAGCGAAGGCGACGCAGCCAAGAAGCGACGAATTCACAATATCGACCCGCAACTTTTGCTGCAGTTGGAGCACGCGAGCAGTTGCACAGTGGCAAACTGTGCGTTTTTCAATTGCAATCGTATGCAGGCCATGCTCAAACACGGTGCAATTTGTGAGCAGCGGCTTGCTGGACCGTGCGTGCTGTGCAAGCGTATCATTGGACTTCTCTCCGCTCACGCTCGCCAATGCACGAAAGATTACGTATCGTGCAAGGTACCCCGGTGTGCTGACATCCGTCGCCATTTTCAAGCGCAGGTTCAAGCTCGACAGCAGCAGCTTCAACGTCCGAAGCAGGGCCAAGCTCAAGACCATCACGGAGTTGACGAGTCGGGTACTACTACTGCTGTCACTGATGAAAAGCACGATGCAGTGACGTAAGAGGTGCAGATGTGACAACGACATGTGCGATGCAAGAAATTAATAAAGAGGAGAGCTGTAAAGCTGGGAGGTAGGTGGTAGGAAGGCATAGAAATCTAGGTTAATTGAGGCATCGAGCTGTCATAGCTGACAGTTTGGGTCTCTCATTTTGGCAACGAATGCGTAAAATGATTTTTAACTTCAGCAGGGTCTCCACTAACAGTTGGCACCGATGATGGACAAGCCGCCGAGCACAAGGGACGTTTGTTTTCAATTTCGTTGGTCACTCCGTTTTTTTGGTGCTTTTGCTGCCCTTCTAACCGAAGTCAACACGGGTTAGCTGGCACGATGAAGTAGTGGTGTCAGGCGTCAAGAATGCTTTATTCAGTGCTGAATCTGAGATCGCAATCATGATCCCGACATTCTGGAACGGTCAAGACGTCTCGAATGCAAAGATGTACGACAGAGTATACGGAGTAAAATGCGTGGTAATTGCTAGTCGGTAGTCTCAACCTCGTAAATTAAAAACGTTCCTGTTCAGCCAGAACTTAACCATTCAGTAAAAGTAGGAAGAAGTCTCTAGCAACGGGAGTCAAATAATATATGGTACACGCGAGTTGCTGTATGCACAGTAGGTGCTATAGCTCGTTCAATTGACTAACACCAAGTATGGACGTTGAAGTACTTCGCAATTTGTTGAACGCAGACAAGACCAGAGTGAGCGAAATCTGACTGACCTGATGCTACGAGCAAACTTGATCACTTATTCCATGCTGCATCGAGATACAAACAGTTTTCTAACCTGTGATTGGCTGGATTTAAATGTCTGGACGTAGTTTAAGCGTCGGTGACCCTACTCTTCGTGTATGTGGCTAAAGCAGCACCCCAAGTGTCAACGTAAATAAACCTTAGTGGATGCTACTCTGTCCCGTTTGTTCATGAATTATCACGTTTTCAGCTCGCAATTCTGACACAGCCCGTATTCTTTGACGAAAATAGCACCAGCGTAAAGAGCTCATTCTGAAGCGTTTTATGCAATTTATGGAGCCCATTCAAGTGCAGGAATCGAAGAAACAACCTGGTATTTGTCTGATGGTGCTTCAAAAAATTACTTTTTTGATGCAGTGATCTCAAAAGGTGTAGTTGGATTTCACTCGAGCCAAAAGTTTGAGCCAACCAAAAAGCAGCGTGACAATATACCCAGCAGTTTTAATACAAAAAGCTGCAGAATGGATGGAAACAGAAGTAAGATTTTTCACTTAAATTTGGCGGGATGTGCCAAAAATGATTAATATCGAATGATATCAGGCAACGAGAAAAATACTCATTTTTGTCACTTTATTATACTTGCTCAAAGATTAGATAAGCCACTATTTGTAAGAACATGACTGATCAAAACCAAGCGCATAAGCGATCCAAAACGACGAGGGAAGCGCTTTTTAGAATGCGATACCTCTTGCAGGTCGTCGAAGTTGAGGGAGTCAACTGCAAGATCTGTTACAGGTAAGTTTCAACCTCACCTGATCGGCTGTTATTCTGACAACTTAATAGGTGGGACACGGAGAGACAGACGCCACATTGTGACGACAAGGAAATCGAGACAGTGGGACCAGGCGATGCATGTGGCATGTGGGATCTGCACATGGCGACACACGAACTGGACGTGCGCCATCTGCAACTTGGCCTGGCAAAGCTGAAGTGTCGATGAGAATACATGGAGGGTAGTGTAAACGAACGAAGTGGACGCAAAACATATAATTTTTACTTCCAACTAATCTTGCAGAAGTGTAAAAGAGACAACTCTCTTTCCACAGGATATGAGCCAAAGAAGTAAGCTGACGGGAAGACCATCAAGGCCAACCCCGATGTGGTGGGCAATGTTCAAGAACCGATCATCGACCTCAAATTGGAGGGAAGTCGACAGTACCCACAGCGGCACTGGAAAAGATGCTCGCGATGCTAGGCAACTTGACGAAGCGGATGGGTAGGACAAAATCCTTCCGATCCGGATAAGTGGACGGCAAGCGCAGAGACTTTCCGGAGACGGGAATCTCTGTTTCGGTTCTCGTGGCAAGGATTAATATGACATCCAGGCTTTGGAACGCACCTCGCCATCCAAACATTCTCTGAAAGTCTCGCCGTCAACGTATTTTGCTGCTCGACGACCATCCCATGCAAGGATAACATGTTTTACCGACCACCTCAAACTGGATTCGACTACGGTAGGGACCATAGAAATGAGCAAGCGTTCAGATAAGATGCACCCGCAGGGATTCTCCTGAGCATGCATGTGCCGGGTACGATATAACATTAAACTGGGCAGGTACATGAAGGACGTGAAAGGAAGCTGTTGTTACAACCTTTCGACGGGAAGGAGCTCTACTTCAAACTTGGCAGTGACTTCATCGAATGGGGCAAAGAGTTTTTTCGACAAGTTGCATTTTGTTGAGTGCTTGCGGTTTCAAGTGGTCCAAGGAAATCAAGGTTGTTTTTTTCTCGGCTAACACCTCGCCGAAACGGCGCAGAGGTATTACCAACGGCAGGTGGAAACTTGATGGTCTGAAGCCCGACCTTAGGGCATGCGATGCAAATGTTCCTTTAGACCTTCAACACCGAGATCACACGTGCCCAGAGTATGAACGTGGCTACTGTGTCCAATTTGTCCCAGCATAGCTGGACACAAACATCTTTTGTACTTTACCGCTGTGAGGGAAGCGTGCGGAGTTGCGGACAACCTCGTTCTGGACAACATTGTGCATTATGCCGATCCATCAATGCGCACGACCATGTAATCCCGGAGAAATTTAAAACGGGGTTGACTTACTCCTCCAAGATGAAGAGCTCGCTTAACCTGCGCATTCAACGGATTATGACGTACGAGTGGAGCACTTCGGTCGAGAAGTTTTAAACCCTGTCGAACACCCTAAGCAACCCCGGAGGTCAGAACATGTACAAAAGCTTCACGATACACAAAGCCTTAAACAGTATTACCTATGTGGAAGCACCAGAAAAGTCAAGATGCAGCGTCTAAAATGGACCAAATGGAAGCAAGATACAGACACTGTCTTGACAGTTTCCGGGGGCACAATTTCACCTAGTCATTGGTTGTTGGACATCGGATCGGGTCGTCACTTGGTGAACGATTTAAGCTTGCTGGATGATGCGATTGACCGCACGACCGAATGCGTTATTGCTTCTTCGGAGAGTTCACCGTTCCAAATCACTAAGCGAGGAAGCGTGATAATCCGGGCCATAGTACTTGGCTCCACTAAGACGATCCGACTTCTCGATGTTGAATACGCATCCAATTCGGAGCCAACATCAATTCCTTTTGCGATTTAGAACTGAGGGGATGTGTTTAAAAGTATCGCGAAGGGAGGCGCGTCTTTGTATCGCATTCTGGTGGTTCGCCCATTTAGAAATTCGATCGCATCAACGACGTATCGGTTGTCGAAGTTCTTAATGGTATTTCGTTGGATGATTTTCGTGGAGTTATGTCGCCTCGTGACAGGATCATGTAGGTTGTTGAAAACGTTACGGGCGATGTCGACACAGATGTTCAACATGGAACCTTGTTCTATTTCCATCAGTGTTTGGGTCACCCGTCTTTCGACACCGTCATGAAAACGGCTCGGGACCCCGCCTCTGGTATCATCCTGACTGATACCGCGCGGTTCAAGTGTTTGGCCTGTGCACAAGGCAATCAGATGATGAATCGACGATCTCAAATGGACAGTGGGTCGAGTCCACCCATAAAAATGATCGGGGGTGGGTGGTATGTTTGGACCTGAAAGGATCTTTGACCCCGCGTAGTCGGCTCGGCAATCGATACTTGGTCAGTCTTATTGATCGCCGTTCGAACTATTGCCGAGTGTACATTTCTAGGACAAAGGATGCAGCCACAATGCACTTCAAGCACTTCTTGGTGGCCTTCGAGCGTCATTTTAATTGCCGCCTTCACAATTTTACGTACCTACGGTGGGGGCGAGAAAAAGCCTCTGGATATGTTTTGCAAGGATTCTGGTACCACTCGTCAAGTGAGTGATCTTGAAAACCAGGCTAGAAATGGAAAAGCCGAACGGACGCATTGAATCATTATGAATTTGGTGCAAAGCATGGTGTTTGCAAGTGGTTTCCTTTGAAGTTCGGGGCGATGCCGCAGAGTATGCAGCAAACATCCTCAACCGAAGTTCCACTAAGGCTAACCAAGGTGGTATCTCTTCGATTGAGACGTTGAACGAGAAGATACCTGCCTTAAGCGACATTGATGTCTTCGGATCTAAATGTGCCGTCCATTGAACGACTGCGAACAAGTCGTAGGGTGCTCGAGGGAAGCCGGCCTTCATTAACGGAAAGAATGACGAGATGAAGGGATTCGGGTATGCATACCAATGGAAGTGTTGTGGTAGTTACCAACATGTGAAGAGCGTGGAAACCCTGACCGATATACCTGGCAACGGTATGACAACGACTATAAACGGTGCCGATGGTCAGGAGGAGCACTATGACCAGGATCACCCAAAAGACAAGACGACAGGACCGTCAGAATGGTCGCGCTATCTACACGTGATAAGATCAATACGGAACAAACAAGTTATACCAAGTGATGAGGATGCAAACTACAACCAAGTTGGTACGGTCAATGTTGTTTGCGGGCGCGATTCGCGGAACTATGGAGAGGCTGTACGGAGTGAAATCATAGACAAGTTGGCCGTGGGCATCGTAGATGAGATGACAGCTCTGGAAGTAAATGGCGTGTAGGTGGTGGCTTTACTACCGGAAAACGCACACATATTGCACAACAAGTGGGTTTATAAGACGAAGACTGATGATTATGGGAAGATTGAACGATACGAGGCCAGACTTTTTGCGTGCGGAAACAAGAAATTTGTTTGGTATTGACTACAACATGGCTTTCGCTGCAGTAATGGAGCTTGGAATTGTCAAGGTCATACTGATACTTTTGCGGAGACGGGGCATACCAGCAAGACACGGTGACGTTTTAAACGTGTATGTCAAGG